TGCGCAGCTATAAGCCTTATAAAAAAGAACACAGGAAAAGTAGACCGGCTAAAAGTTGCTCAGATAATTAAACTCCAACCATCAAGACTTGAAATCTGAATTTTTTTTTTATCAAAACTTAGTTTTACGACCTCAAAGTTTTCAAATATTTTGTAAACAAAAGGCCATTTTGTTTCATGCACTACTTTCACTGCAGATGTATGGTGTACCACTAGTGGCATAGTGAACAGCAATATTTCCCCTATGATATGAGGTACACAAAGCTATGAATGTGACTGCATTTAACACAGTGTGTGCTACATTGTACAAATAGCCTTCATATTCATGATATGACATCTGATTACAATAATAGCAGCCTTTTTTTGGTGGGGGGGGGGTGGGGGTTCATGACTTGAATGCATGGCTATATTACAATGTATGTATGTCTGCTAAGGCGTATTACATGTATATAGTCATACCATTATAATGATGAATGTACTATTTGTGTGTAAGATAGAGAAAGATGGGGTTTAATGTCCACTAGATACAAACTAGGTCATTTCGGGATTAACTCATAGTTCAAATATATTTCAATAATTCGCTTGCGCGTAGGGGTCTTTAGCAGTGGGAGGAAACCGGAGGACCCGGAGAAAACCCACGAGGTTGGACAGGCGACCCTATACTCCTTGTCACGTACAACCGGGGATTCAATGACAGGCAAACCTTGTGATCAAATGTGCACGTGTTAACCTTTCGGCCACCCAATTTACTTAAAAGGACTTCATCTTATGTACAGGTATGTACATCAAATGGAATAATCCACATTATTTACAATTTGTTATGCCCACCTGTTATTACATTAAAGTCAACAAATCCTAAATCACATTTCAGTTCTGGCATTCACTAGACAAGTATTCCTATATTTCTGAAAAATAAATAATTTTAAGGTGTATGTTTCTATTCTTTTCCAATTCCTTTAATTGTCAACATACAGTATTAAGCTACTCATATGCACTGTATGTATGATGTATTTCTTTGATCTGAAAGCTATTCCATTGCTACCACATGCTTTCACAATGTATTAAAAATATAGCAATGATTTTCCACCTATCGTTCAGATTAATGATGACCTTTTTGGAAATCTTGCCAATGAAATGTGTTTAAAATTATGGTATCACATTCCAGCATAATTCTTATCTGTTACTACTTCCACCAGGTACCGGTACTTCAATATCAGTATTACATGTACTTTCAGCTCTTCTTGGTTTGAATGTAATCTTCATTATGAAAAAAATCATATGCAACTGATAAATCAAAATTCATAAATCACTCTCCCAAGATGAATAGTATATACAGTACCGGTATATAAAGGGTTTCATTGGTATATTCATTGTTTTGTACGAAAGACAATTAGGGTCAATCAAATGAAAAAAAAATATTCTGATCAAGATAATCAGAATGTTTTGGTTTTATTTGATTGACCCTAATTGTATTCCGTAGTTTTGTGATTATGATGGGTGGAAGGGAATATAATTCCTCTTTATTTTGAGTGGCCTAGCAATTACCATAATGTGTACCTCATGAGTGAATTCAAGATTTAAAAATTTAAACTTTTAAGAAAAGCACTTACTGTTGGTGTTCCAGTTGAAATATCTGGAAGGGAATCCGTGTCCGATATCTCAACATCAGGAGAAATTTCATCACTTTCATTACAGGTTTCATTAATTTTCTGGGTATGAAGATAAATTCTAACAGGTGAAGTGTCAATTTGTTTGACGTAACCATCAATATTGAATGCATCTCCATTTTCAAGATTTGGTGTTATTTGAGTTCCAGTAAAATTGGGACCTCCCATTTGGAAAATAAATATTCTTTATTTTTTCCTCTAATTGAATCAAAGTACAGTCTTTTGATACATCAATGCGTGTTGTACCTCCACCTTTAGTTACAGGTATGATTGAATAAGTTGAGCTATTGTTCTTTTTTATGTGTTTCCATCCAATGTGTATACGCCTGGTTGTTTTTCTTTTTTTACGGGCATTTTGCCCTTTCTCGGGTTTCTTAGTTTCATCACTCTCTGTCAGATAGAATCATGATTATCTTGTCCCAAAGCATCGACCAATGAAATTGCTTAGCTCTGCTTAGCTTTAGCTCAAACTGTTAATCATTGAACTCAGTCAAGACATTCACCTAATGAACATCTACATCAAGTTTAACCATTCTACTTCAATTAAAAGCAGGGTTGTTATGTTCCAAAATCTTGACCAATCAAATTGCTTGTCACTCTTTAGCCTAAGCAGAAAATTCTCAAGGTAATAATATAATGAATCTATATTAAGAGTTTCATCTCTCTCACTTCATTATAACCAAATATATCGTGCCCCAAAGAATCAACCAACCAGATTGCTTATCTCTGCTTACCCTAAGCAGTATATGCTCATCTTCGAACTCCATCAAGGCATCGACCTCATAAACGCCTACACCAAGTTTGAACATTCTTCCTCGATTAGAAGGAGAGTTATTGTGTTCCAAAGTCTCGACCAATCAAATGTTTGAACATTTTAGCTCAATTAGAAGGAGAGTTATTGTGTTCCAAAGTCTTGGCCAATCAAATTGCTCATCTCTGCTTACCCTAAGCAGAAAATGCTTATCTTTGAATTCCATCAAGGTATTGACCTAATAAACACCCACACCAAGTTTGAACATTCTAGCTCAATTAGGACAGTTATTGTGTTCCAAAGTCTCAGCCAATCAAATTGCTTATCTCTGCTTACCCGAAGCAGAAAATGCATGCTCATCTTCGAATTCCATCAAGGTATTGACTTAATAGACCTATGTTTCAAGTATTGTCAAAATCAGATAAAAATTGTGACCTGTAGAGTGTTCTCTCGCAAAGCAAAATCCATCATGGCATAAGAAAAACATAATAATTTACAATAAACATACCATTTAGTTCAGCTCTACATCTCTGAACAAGTCGTGTTTTGTTGCCGATCATAGTCACACCCAATAGATTAAACTCTGTGTCAGACAAACCTCGGTTGGTCCAACCTGTAACAAACAGTTGATAAAAAACATTTAAAATAAGATATTTACTATTTACAAATATATCGTACTGAATTAAATGTATAGCCATTAGCTACTTACAGAGTTTTGTTCAAAAGTTTCATTTAAATGACTTAGGCCGAGACTTCTTAGTATCTCCTCCATTTATCAGATCTGAAAAATATATGCGAAACTTATTAGGCTATTAATTCATACAGTAAAAATACATATGCCTAATACAATAACTTGTCAAATGTAATTTTAATATTTAAAAGTAAAAATTTCACATATAGTGAAAAATTAATTTTCATGATAGATAATCTAAGTGTTAAACAATCAATTATTATCACTAAGGAAAGATTTTCTGAAAATTTCACCCAAACTGATTCACTAACAGAAAAAGTAATGACCATATTGAATTTAAGCTAAATTAGCAGCTTGGGAAGAAAATTATTTTTCATGTTTTTTTATTTAATACAGTTAGCTATATGATCTTGATCGAAAAAAATTGTTCTTTTTTTTTTTTTCATTTATTTATTTTGGGGGTGGGGGGGGGGGTAATTAGTTCAAGTAATCATTTAATTATCTGTACATCAGAAAATAAACTATTCAAGTTATGTGTCATGTATTGGTATGGGTGAAATAATTATGTCTCTAGCACCTTTCGTTTCTGAGATATGGAGTGGGGTTGAAAATTGAAGCAAAATGGCCAATTTCGCAAGGGGCTTTGTCATTTGGCGTTACTAAATGGACTGTGACTCCGTCAATTCTGCTCCGATTTTGATAAACTTGGTGTGCGGCTTTCGGATTATAACAAGGTTATTTAAAACAAAGTGGCCATTGTTACGACGAGTCTCAGCCAAGTTTCGAACGAATTCCAAAATGGCTTTGAAAAAGGAGCAGTATTTTCAACGTCTCAGAACTGAAGGCAGCAATTAAGAGATTAGGGTTAGGGTTAGGACTATTTTTACGACTATTCAGATTTTAAACTTCGCCGATGGAGGGCTGTGAAAGCATCGTCGTAACAATAGCCTGAGGACTATTTTTACGACTCGTCGTAACAATAGCCACTGCCTATTTAAAAATAGCTGCCGGTCGCTATTGTCATTACCGTTGGAGTCGAGACATGCGCATTCTTCAATCGTTAGCCAATCGATTACACAAGTAACAATTATATGTGCGTCATGCTTCACAGACGCCAAGAAACAGTTAAAAACGAATCGGTCGACATTTCACTCTCTTTAAATTGAAATCAGCTCTTATCAATTGCATATTTTACATATAACAGCTTTCGTCTGATGATGAAATATGAAGAAAACCGTAAAGTTTGTAATTAAGAAGAATATTTGATTCTAATATACAATATACGTAATATGATGGGACTAACATATGGTTTATCTTTATTTCAATAATTTGTGATCTGGATGATTGATTCAATGACAGGTCTTATGATCTAAAGAACACACTATAGACTAGACTGCACAACCCTATAGAATGTGGGTGCCACATGGCCAAAGTGGGTAACTCGCTAGCCCACTAGTCTGGAGGTCACGTGTTCCATTCCTGCATTGGCCGAGAAAGTTCATAGGGATTTTCCGACGTGGTTTTGGGAGGTTCGATGGTTAGCACGTGCGTTGTATCATAAGGTCTGTCATTGAGTCAACTGGCGTGGTTTCGATTCTCAGTTGTACGTGACAAGGAGTAGGGTCGCCTGTCCAACCTCGTGGGTTTTCTCTGGGCCCTCCGGTTTCCTCCCAGGCAGTTGGAATTCGATATAAGAGTAGTCCATAGCGCCGCTGTCCAGGCAAAATTTCCCTCATAGCACATCGAAGGGCGTACACCTGTCTTCATTAGCCAAGTCGGAGCAGAACAGTAGGACGTTAAACCCCATTTCATTTCATTTCCTATAGTAGGTATATTACATACTCTACAGTAAATTGTACAACTGTGAAATGGTATTAAAAGATTTAGTTTGATGACAACATGGTGTTTTAGGAAGCGGACCACTAGGAACAAGAAGTATCGTGTGTTGGCCCTTCTTGTGGTATCAAGATATTCTTTTTGTTTTTTTACGGAGAAGACTTAAAATAGTAAGTTTATTAGTGGTGTCTCATCAATTACAGAAAGGAGTTAATACGTTTACAAAAAAGGGTGACGCCTCTGTTCAAAGGGAAATTAAATAAAATGAAATGTGGTTTAACGTCCTACTGTTTTGTACCGACAGATGCAGCTTTCAGGAAGTTTTAAAGTAACCTTTCTCTGGATTTAATTTGAATTAATTGGTTAGATAGGGGGTGATAATTATTCTATAACACGGTTATATACGTACAGTCGCTGCTCAATTAATTGGTTAGATAGGGGGTGATAATTATTCTATAACACGGTTATATACGTACAGTCGCTGCTGAATTAATTGGTTAGATAGGGGGTGATAATTATTCTATAACACGGTTATATACGTACAGTCGCTGCTGAAAAGTAGGATGAATAACCCCCATTTTATGTCGAAGTCCTTTTTTTTTTGTCGGGTTGTTATATTCTGTACCCTCATGGATGACAGATCATGATCCAGTTTATTTTCTAAAACAGCAAATAAGACGATCGTTATTTATCAGAAAATGGAGTTATTTCCCTTGTCAATCTTCCTAACTTACGGTATCGTGTAGATATAGGAAATGTTATATTTTATGATTTGGTGTCAATTTCAGGACCAATCCTGTGATTGTGACAAAATTTTGATCTGTAGTCCAGGACTTTAACGCTTGGGCTGAATAGAGAATCTCCTACAAGTATTTTTTGATATCAAAAATATCAACAAAAATCGATAAAGTAAAAAAAAAATGAAGCTTTGCCGAGTATACACCGACCAGAAAACGCACAAGGTCGCCGGCAAATGTGAACACAACGCGACAATATGTCCCAAAAAATTACAAACTTGAAAAAAGTCGCGTCCATACAGCTGTATGATCGCAGAACCTTGGCGTTTGTTTTGAACATGCTCAAAACAAACGCCGTGAGTCGACGATCATTGGTGACAATGGAGACCACAGTACTATATCAGGCGTTTCCACCACGCTTATGGCGATCTTGGTTTAAACAATGTTTTATTTCTATTATATCATGATTATTTACAATACTGATATTGTGGATCTGAAAACAAGCCATAGTTTATATAAATTCATCTCCATGTAAATTGTAAATTTCAATAACATTGCTAAAATCTACAAATTTCAAAGGTATTATATCTAACATTTTTACAAATAAACAAATAAATCATCTTCATGGTTATCATCATCATCAGCATCATCTTCATGGTTATCATCATCATCAGCATCATCATCATTTAACATCAACCACCATCGCATGCCAATTAACTTATCTATTCAAAGCGTTTACTAAAAATCACTTCGTTGTACGACTTACTTTCGTTGGGATCGCCATATAGGAACGCTTTGTATGTTTTGATTTAAGGGCAAGGTAAAGTGACACCATTTTGTCACAACACCTGAAATGGGGGGTTCTCAAAAAGGGATTTACACCAGCTTTAATGCCAATATGTAGGTATCTACATGTGCCTGAGATGATACAGAACAATAAAAAATGGATGGAAATCCAAAAAATGACTTTGAAATAAAATATTTACCAAATAATGAAGCAAATTCCTAAGTCAGGACTGCGCAGCTACAAGCTTTATAAAAAAGAACACAGGAAAATTAAACTGGCTAAAAGTTCCTCAGAGAATCAAACTTCAACCATCAAGACTAGAAATCTGAAAAAAAAATATCAAAACTTAGTTATAGGACCTCAAAGTTTTCAAATATTTTGTAAACAAAGGGCCCTTTTGTTTCATGCACTACTTTCACTGCAGTATGGTATACCACTAGCGGCATAGTGAACAGCAATATTGCCCCTATGATATGAGGTACACATTGCACAAATAGCCTTCATATTCCGGATATGACATCTAATTACAATAATAGCAGCCTTTTTGCAGGGATTTTTCATGACTTGAATACAGCACAGGGCTATATTACAATGTATGTATGTCTGCTAAAGCTTATTACATGTATATAGTTATACCATAATGATGAATGTATTATTTGTGTGAAAGGGAGGGACAGAGAGAGAGAGGTCTAATGTTTCCTGGACACAAACTAGGTCATTTCGGGACTAACACATGGTTCAAATTTATTTCGATAATACGCTAGTGTGTAGGGGTCTTTAGCAGTGGGAGGACCTGGAGAAAACCCACCAGACTGGACAGGCGACCCTACTGCCTGTCACATACAAGTGGACAACTGAAACTACGCCACTGGATTCAATGACAGACCTTGTGATCAAATGTGCACGCGTTAACCTTTCAGCAACCCAATTTACTTAAAAAGCATTCAGCTAATGTATGTACATAACATGGAATAATCCACATTATTTACAATTTGTTATACCCACCTGTTATTATATTGTGTAATATTAATAGTGATATTTTGGACATACTCTGCCCATGCACAACACTCGTCACTTTCCAAAGTGTAACTTAACTGTCTAGATAGGAAATGTTTTTGATTGGCATGTATGTAATGGTTGCTTTTGGTATGCTAGATTTAAAAAAAGACAGTTACCATTGTAGATACATTAATCATCAGTTTGGAGGATTTTAAATCCACACATACATGTATTCACATATTTTATTTGACTCGGAATGTTTAATGTTTCTGAGTTTTTTTTCATATAAATTGACAATACATACCATTTTAAAGTTGTTTTTTTTTGTTGTCATAAATGCATCATAATTTTTAATGCTGCTTTAAATTCCATAGAAATAATAGTTTTCCTTGTTTATCTGTCAGGGGGTTGGATGGCCGAATGGTAAGGACGCGCGCGCTGTATCATACGGTCTGTCATTGAGTCAACTGGCGGGATTTCGATTCCCCGGTTGTACGTGACAAGGAGTAGGGTCGCCTGTCCAACCTCGTGGGTTTTCTCCGGGTCCTCCGGTTTCCTCCCACAGCTAAAGACCCCTACGCGCAAGCGAATTATTGAAATAAAATTGAACCATGCGTTAGTCCCAAAATGACCTAGTTTGTGTCGAGTGGACGTTAAACCCCATTTCTCTCTCTCTCTGTTTATCTGTCAAATTACACAAGTCTCTAACTCAATATCATCCAAAGTCTTCCACCTTGAAAATACAAATTATTTGTCAGTTTAAATCAACATTGTGATCTTACTGGGAAAAGATGGGTTTCTGATATCCGATATTTAAGACAAAATAATCATTTTACCATTGGTACAAGTATCGTGTACCATAATGCGTTTCAGGACCTTTTGTAATAAGGTACTCGAAGAACGAGGCTAGAGCGGTGATGCCATATTCTTATCTGGAGAGTATGCACAATAAATACTATTATTGTAGACTGGAATAACCAGACGCTAGAGATTGTCATTCAATTGAGACTTCTGGCATATTTCGCCGAACATAATTGATTTGAAATTTGAGCAAAAACGGAAACGATTGAATGTCAATCAGTTACATTATTATATGCGTTGCTACCCATTTGTGTCAATTTCTAGGTCTCAAATATTAGCGATTTACCTTCTTTTATTTTAAAGCAATACGGCCACCATAATCTGCGTTGATTATCTTGTCCAATTCTGTAAAATAAGAATAAAAATTACAAGGTATATCATTGAAAAGTTTATAATAAACGACACATAATTATAATAGTATAATTATTATATAATAATTTCAAAAATGAAAACCCCAACAAACCATGTCTTAAATAAAGTAAGACACAAAAAATAATTTAATAATATAGGCCTAGGCTAAAACTTGATAATTTTAACTTATATATAAACCCACAAAATTTATCACTAGAAGAAATTGAACATATCCAACAATTAATTTTCAAGTTGATAATAATGCATATTAGCAAAGTTTTAATTTCAAAAAGCCCAAATGATTAGGCAAATAAATTGAAGACTGTCGTCTTTGGCATGTGCTACCTGTGGCGTTCCGTAGTCCCAAACAAAATACAGGATAAGCAATTAAAAACTTTTTTTTTTTCCAAATTGATACAACCACAACATAAGTTGCAATATCTCTGTAAAAGATGACTATCTTCAACACGTAGCGTTTCAACACGCGGCGTCAATCATTGGCTCATCCATTGTTTATATAAGACGTTACTGGTTCGGGCGGAATGAAGTCTGTTACTCAATTTAATACCCATTTACACTAATTCGTAAATAATTTGTACCTACAAATACGTCAAACGTCTTTATTTATTTTTCTAATACATAAAAAAAAATGTTTTAGAATTTAAATTGTCGGGGGAAAAAAGTTAATATTTGTGGATCTTTAAGTCGCATTGATGTCATCCTTATCAGTGACTGTCGCGCCTAGCAAAATATTCAGTGTGGTGGTGGCTAAGACGCTGACTCCCTAGTCCAGAGGTCGGGTGTTCGATCCCTGCATTGGCCGAGAAAGTTCATCCAGATTGTCCGGCGTGGTTCACCCTTGTCAGTAATGCAGAACGAGGGGGCCTGGCAAGGACAGCTGTCTAGTCGTTCGGAAGGGACGAAAGACCGAGGTCTCGTGTACACATTGGCGTGCACATAAAAGATCCCTTGACAGTTGGAATTCGATATAAGAGTAGGCCGCATTGCCGCTGTCCGGGCGAAATTCCTCTTTTAGCACACTGTATGGCGTATGCCCTTCTTCATTAGCCTAGATTGGAGCAGAACAGTAGGACGTTAAACCCCATTTCATTTCATTTCATTTCAGAACATGTGCTTTTAGACTCCGCTAAGGTTCCAAAGATTGGGTTCCATACTCCCTTTATGTAACACTATCTAGCTCTTAGTATATCTTTGGTGATTATTCTTCTTTGGCAGATGCTACTTGGAACTACGTTATTCGTGGCTGTAGTGTTAGCATGTTCAGAGGCCCTGCAACGACAGACCCCAAGCTGGTATAATACCCGAGGAAGACGATGTAAGATACATTTCGATTTCTTATATTAATCTAGTGAATAAATGGAGAGAGGAAGAACCAAAAAATAGGGTTTAACGTCCACTTGACACAAACTAGGTCATTTAGGAACGGGACTAAGATATGGTTCAATTTTATTCGAATAATTCGCTTACGCTGAGGACCCGGAGAAAACCCACGGGGTTGTACAGGCGACCTTAGTTCTTGTGGTAGCACGTCATTTCGGTCTCGCGTCATTTCAGGCTCAGTTTAAAGACGGCTCGGACTTACTTGACGACTTTTCGGACTGGGTCTGGCGACGTTTCGGACTTGGATGAATAATTAAAAGACAGTTGAAAATTTGTGTGATATATTTGTAACAGCTGTTTTTTGGTTGGTTTTTTTTTTTGATTGTTTGTTTTTTTGAATTGGCCTATTTTTAATAAATTCATCATCTACTTTTTTTATACATATTACAGATATAAAGAAATAAAACATTCTTTTCATAAACATTCAACATTGAAAAATTTACAGTTCCTTGAGAGATCTATACGGAGCGTGATCTACGATTCCACGTGCTTTACTTGATTGCGAGCGGTAAATTTTACCTGCATGTTATTTTTTTATAAAATCGCTTTTGGTACATTATAGATTGATTTGACAGTTGCGTTCAACCTTTCCTTTCAACTTATTCCCGAGTCTGAAACGTCACCTACCATTAACACATTCTACAGTAGATATCGCTTTTGTGATAAATTTCATAATTTATTGGTCAATTAAAAAGGCACGTCTTGTTTTTTGGGTTTTTTTTTCAAAGAACAATTCATTTTTTTTTATTAAAAAGTAACTTCTTCTTATTAGAAATGAACTATTTTTATTTAATTGGCCTTGATGGAAACACCGGGTCAATATAAGGGACTTTGCAATGGCTGAATTGCTGTCAAAAAATGATGCATCACTAAGCTGTAATTTTTTTCAGGCTGGGGCTATTTGCCACATGTGGTAAGACAATCCGGATACTATTTGCCACATGTGGCAAGTCTCCTTACCGCAATTATCAACCAATTTCAATGAGATTTACAGATAACGATAACATTAATAATATCTCAGAGTAGGTAAAATTTCGACCACTTCCGGTTAGCGGTTTCGGACATATAAGGTTACCACAATTTCATGTGACACGGCTACAGACCACAATTATCAGTCGATATCCATGAAACTTACAGAATATGATGACATTAATATTATCTCAGAGTATGCAAAATCTCGACCACTTCCGGTTAGTAGTTTCCGAGATATCAGGTTACAACACATTTCATGTGGCACGGCTACAGACCACAATTATCAATCGATATCCATGAAACGTACAGAATATAATGACATTAATAATATCTCAGCGTAGCCAAAATTTCGACCACTTCCGGTTTTCGGTTTTCGAGATATCAGGTTACCACACATTTCATGTGGCACGGCCACAGACCACAATTATCAATCGATTTCCATGAAACTTGCTGATTATAATTACATTAATAATATCTCAGAGTAGGCAAAGTTTCGGCCACTTCCGGTTAGCGGTTTCCGAGATATCAGGTTACCACACATTTCATGTGGCACGGCTACAGACCGCAACTACCAACCGATTTCAATGAAACTTGCAGATTATAAATATATTAATAATATCTCAAAGTAGGCAAAATTTCGACCACTTCCGGTCAGGGGTTTCGGAGATATCAGGTTACCACACATTTCATGTGGCACGGCTACAGACCACAATTATCAGACGATATCCATGAAACTTACAGAATATAACATTACAAATATCTCAGAGTAGGAAAAATTTCGACCACTTCCGGTTAGCGGTTTCCGAGATATCAGGTTACCACACATTTCATATGGCACGGCTACAGATCACAATTATCAACCGATTTCCATGAAACTTACAGAATATGATAACATTAATAATATCTCAGAGTAGCCAAAATGTCGACCACTTCCGGTTAGCGGTTTCCGAGATATCAGGTTACTACAGAATATGATAACATTAATAATATCTCAGAGTAGCCAAAATGTCGACCACTTCCGGTTAGCGGTTTCCGAGATATCAGGTTACTACACATTTCATGTGGCACGGCTACAGAACGCAATTACCAACCGATTTGAATGACACTAGCAGATTATGATGACATTAATAATATCTCAGAGTAGGCAAAGTTTCAGCCACTTCCGGTTAGCGGTTTCCAAGATATCAGGTTACCCCATATTTCATGTGGCACGGCTACAGACCACAATTATCAACCGATTTCCATGTAACTTACAGAATATGATAAGATTTATACTATCTCAGAGTAGGGAAAATTTCGACCACTTCCGGTTAGCGGTTTCCGAGATATCAGGTTACCACACATTTCATGTGGCACGGCTACAGACTGCAACTACCAACCGATTTCAATGAAACTTGCAGATTATAAATACATTAATAATATCTCAGAGTAGGCAAAAGTTCGACCACTTCCGGTTAGTGGTTTCGGAGATATCAGGTTACCACACATTTCATATGGCACGGCTACAGACCACAATTATCAACCGATTGCCATGAAACTAACAGATTATAATTACTTTAATAATATCTCAAAGTAGGCAACGTTTCGGCCACTTCCGGTAAGAGGTTTCCGAGATATCAGGTTACCACACATTTCATGTGGCACGGCTACAGACCGCAACTACCAACCGATTTCAATGAAACTTGCAGATTATAAATAAATTAATAATATCCCAAAGTAGGCAAAATTTCGAACACTTCCGGTTAGCGGTTTCCGAGATATCAGGTTACCACACATTTCATGTGGCACGGCTACAGAACGCAATTACCAACCGATTTCAATAAAACTTGCAGATTATAATTACATTAATAATATCTAAGAGTAGGTAAAATTTCGACCACTTTCGGTTAGCTTTTTCGGAGAAATCCATGCCTAAATTCATCTCCCGAGGACATTATTTTCAATAAAATATAAAGTACATTGTATAAGATTGTAATCATAAATAACAAACTGGTGTAAAGTTACAAGGTAAAAGTGTTACTCTCATTTAATTAATCAAAACGTTATATTGGTTTATAGTATAAATAAGTTAAAGTACGGAATGTAGTGGAAACGTAGTGGGGATTGCGAAATGACTGCTGAGTTTAAGTTCATTACCTCAAAATCATGGGCGGCTATTGTAACTTGTAACCGACATTATATTTATTGATTTGTGCATGATTGGGTGATAAGTAAAATCTTCTACCCGTCTTTTTTGATATAAAAACAAATATCTATACTCTTCGATAGAATAAAACAAAAGAAGAAAACTCGGCAAAAACTCGGGGTTTTGTTGGGTTTTTTTTACTTTTTTGACTTGTGTTGATATTTTTTGATATTAAAAAAGACCCCTTGTTGTTGTGCTTAGTGTTTAACGTCCGCTTCAACCAAGGATGATATCGCAAACAAGCTGTCTTATTTTCATTTTTATCTTAGTGCATGCGAAAGGGTCTTTCCTGTGGGAGGAAACCGGAGTACCTGGAGTAAACTCACGAGGTTAAGAAGGTGCCCGTATCTCCAAGCTACATAGGGGCGCCTTCTAAGCCTCGTGGGTTTACTCCGGATACGCGTAGGAGATTCCATATTTATTTACGTGCGCTAATTCTGATTAGTAGAAATTGTGAAAGGATTGGTGAGAGGCGTTGAACACATTTTTTGTAAACCAGACTGAATTGAACGATACTAACCACCCTCTGCCTTGTCCTAGTCACAAAGAGAGTTTAATTAATGAACTAACATTACACCCCCAGGAAGTTAAAGGTATGCTTAGTTGTATTGATAAATTAAAGTCTTCTGGTCCCGATAATATTAGTGGTAAATTACTTATGTCGGTTGCTGAAGAAATTTCTATTCCACTATGTTCTCTTTTTAATCTCTCACTCAATACCTGATCTTTTCCCCAAACTTGGAAACATGCAAACGTTTTGGCTCTTAACAAAAAAGGCAGTAAATCAGATTGTTCTAACTTTCGACCGGTCTCATTGTTTAGTTTAGTTTCTAAAATTTTTGAAAAATGTATACACAAGCATATATTTAACTTCTTCCGCGACAACTCACTACTTACAAAGTTCCAAAGTGGTTTCATGAAAGGAGACTCAACTATAAACCAACTTACAGACATAGATGACGGGCACTATGTGAGAATTGTGCTCTGTGACATCAGCAAGGCTTTCGACAGGGTCTGACATGCCGGTCTCTGTCGTAAGCTGGACGCTGTTGGTATTAGAGGAGGCTTATTGGAGTGGCTTCAAAGCTATTTAACTGGTAGAACACAGTGTGTCGTCGTCGAAAATGCCTTCTCTGGTACCTCAGTTGTCACGACTGGTGTTCCGCAGGGCTCGGTTCTCGGTCCTTTACTTTTTCGGATCTACATAAATGATATTGTCGAAAAATTACAGTCAAATATAAAATTATTCGCGGGTGATACATCATTATATATGTTGATGAAAGATCCTACAGAAAGGTGCCCAAATTTTAAATTCAGATATTGAGAGAATATACACATGGGCTAAAACATGGCTAGTTTCCTTTAATCCTGAAAAAGAACTGAAAGATTAACAATATCAACCACATCTAAGCACGATTCGATTCCTCTTTGCATGAACACGGTTAAAATAAATGAAGTACCTCACCACAAACATCTAGGGCTTATTTTTCAAAACAATCTTAAATGGAACATACATATAGAAAATCTTTGTAATAAATTGTCAAAATTTATCAACTGCTTAAGATCGCTCAAGTACCGACTAGGAAGGAAATCACTCAAAACAATATATACTTTATATATTTTACCACACTTTGACTATGCTGACATTATTTGGGATGGGTGCACGGATTACTTAGCTAACCAGTTAGAACAATTACAATTAGATGCTTTATGCACAATATGTGGCTCTGTGAGGGGAACTAGCCATGATTTACTATATAAAGAAGTCGGTATTCTGCCTCTAAAACAACGTCGCGAAAGACATAAGTTGATATTTTTATATAAAATAATAAACCATCTAACCCCTGATTACCTGTATCATAATCTAAACAAAAAACAAAGTAAATACTCATTAAGAAATGACAAAAACCTACCATACTATTTTTGTAAAACTAATCTATTTTATAATTCTTTCTTTCCTTCAACTAGACGACTTTGGAACAATCTAGATTTTTCTATACGTAATTCAGATACGTTATTCATTTTTAAACAACAACTCTCAAAACATGATCACTTGGTACCTTCTTATTACAATATAGGAAAAAGAAAAGTTCAAATCATCCATTCAAGACTTCGTTTATCAAACAGTGATCTAAATGGACATGCATTTTTAAGACACATAACCGACTCTCCAACCTACCGGTGTGGACACAATTTTGAAGAACCTTATCACTTTCTGTTGATATGCTCCTTATATTCAGATGCACGAAATATAAAAACTTTACCAACAGAATACACCAACACAAAATTTCTATTCTATGGCTCTACAGATATTTCAGTTGAACAAAATAAATTAATATTTACCGAGGTGCAAAACTTTTTAGAATTAAGTAATAGATTTTAAGTACTGTAATGTCATTTATCATTACCATCACTAAATTATGTTTACATATTTGTACACGTATGGGGGGGGGGAGACGGGGGTATAGATTTTCGTCATTCCTAGCTTATCCCACTAAACCTGTGTTTATGCGTATGGGGGGGGGGGGTATAAACTTTCGTCTCTCCTAGCTTATCCCACTAAACCGGTGTTTATGCGTATGGAGTGAGAGAGACGGGGCTATAAACTTTCGCATCCCCTAGCTTATCCCCTACACCGGTGTTTATGCGTATGGGGGGGGGGAGACGGGGGTATAAACTTTCGTCTCTCCTAGCTTATCCCACTAAACCGGTGTTTATACGTATGGGGTATAAACTTTCGCCTCCCCTGGCTTTTCCACTAAACCATTGTTTATGCGCATGAGAGGCGGGGGTATAAACTTTCGCCTCTCCTAGCTTATCCCCCTAAACCGGTGTTTATGCGTATGGGCTATAAACTTTCGCCTCTCCTAGCTTATCCCACTAAACTGGTGTTTATGCGTATGGGCTACAAACTTTCGCATCTCCTAGCTTATCCCATTAAAACGGTATTTATGCACATGGGGTATAAACTTTCGCATCCCTTAGTTTATTCCACTAAACTTATGCGTATGGAGTGGGAGAGACGGCGCTATAAACTTTCGCCACTCCTATATAGCTTATACCCCTAAACCGGTGTTTATGCGTATGGGGTGGGAGAGAAGGGGCTATAAACTTTCGCATCCCCTAGCTTATCCCCTAAATCGGTGTTTATGCGTATGGGGTGGGAGTATATATAATATTATGTTGTTGTTTGTATCTTTTGACGATCTATTTCAGTATGGCTGATCAATAGACTAGATCATAATAGAAGGCAGTGTGTCGTGGACTACCGGGAAAGATTTGGATTTAATACCATATTTACTGTTAGCCGCGGTGGCAAGTGTATGAAATTCTACTGTTCTCCCAGATTTGGAGTTCGTCTTATCAGTACCAGATCAGGTACGGTTATCAGATTTTATACCAGAAATATTAAATAACCCTAAGCCTTACCCTAACCCAGATCATCTACAGTTACCATGTTTTATACCAGAAATATTAAATAACCAATCGGGTTTTGTTTTGAGAAGCGTGGAATACGCTGACGCAACAGCTTTGTCTCAACAACAGCTTGTCCGAAAATACATCTTGGATGTTGAATAAATTTGATAAGAATCTAGAATCCTTGAAGAAATCTGATCTCTAGGGTCCAATTGCTTCCAACCAAATCTGGTCTCTAGGGTCCAATTGCTCTCCAACCAAATCTGATCTCAAGGGTCCCTTTGCTTCCAACCAAATCTGGTCTCTAATGTCCCATTGCTTCCAACCAAATCTGATCTCTAGGGCCCCATTGCTTCCAACTAAATCTGATTTCTAGGGTCTCTTCCAACCAAATCTGATCTCTAGGGTCCCTTTGCTTCCAACCAAATCCGTAAGACTGTGGGTTATGAGAGGAATCATGACCCCAATGATTCAGGCCAAATATCAGACAGATCCATTAAAATTATGGCGTTTTAGAAAAGGCGGCGTAAGGGGAATTGTGTCGCGGAACGCTGAATCTCGGTAGGGTTCATTCTGTCATGACCCAATTTACACTAAATTTTACAACAATGTCTTAAGAACTATATCCGCTATAGTGTTCACAAGGAGTGATGACTCCGGAAGGCGTAATATCCACCAAATTTGAAAGACATCTATCGCGTTCACAATGTTTTTGGACAAGAGAGATCACTCTGTAACGAAAAGTCGCTTAATGCTGAAAATGTATAGGGTTGATCCTTCATGACCACAATGCTTCATACCAAACTTGAAAAACGTCCCGACGTCCAGTCAAAAACTGTGGCCTCTATCGCATTCACAAAGGCGGGTAACTCTGAAACGAAAAGTCCCAGAACGCGGAGTATTGACGATTTTTGTCATCTAATAACCCACATATTTCACAGTAAATTTTAAAAAAAAAATTGTTAAAAACTATCGCCTATATCACGCTCAAAGAGGTTTAGGCAAAGGGGGGTAACTCCGGAGCGGAAATCTCGCAGGACGCACTATAACAAATCTGAAAGGAATCCGTTGAAATATGTAGCCTATATCGCGTTCGCAAGAGGCGAATACTCATGACAAGAAAATGCTTCACACCAAATTTGAAGAGAAGCCGACAATACGCCGGCCTCATTACTAAATTAAAATGATTTTTTCCCAATATTAAATACCCTTGGCTCCTATATAAATCATCATAACCCCCAAAACCATAAATACTTTGCATATGGCGTGTCTAGTATTATAGGACTGACAGGGTTTCGATTTCCCGGTTGTACGTGACACCAACCTCGTGGGTTTTCTCCGGGTTCTCTGGTTTCCTCCCACTACTAAAGACCCCTACGCGCAAGCGAATTATTCAAATAAAATTGAACTATGTGTTAGTGCCGAAATGAACTAGTTTATGGTAATATATAAAATAGTAACAAAGAGTTTTGTTTACTGGGGTTTTGAGAGTTTTTTTGTTCTTGGGGTTTTAATTTGGGCGTCATCTAATTGCTTACATTGTCTTACAATAAAATAAACGGGTGGGCCGCAACTATATTTCCCATGCAATGAAAAGATATTGAATGGAAATTATTTTTGTGAATGATAGTATGTTTAAATTATATAACCCGGGCCATTGGCAATATTATCATTATTCCAAATATATTTATATGTCGAAATAGATCTCACAACGTAGCTCTAATCAATGTTTGTTAATGTCGTGATTTTAAGTTAGGGGAGGCTGACGGCTATCCTAAGTTAAAATTGATTTTAGTTAAAATTGTGAAACGCCACTATTTTAAGTTAAGATACAATTTTAACTTACAATATTATTTTAGTGGATTTTATCTAAAATGCTTAAAATCGTTTTGTGAAACGCATCTATCTTAAGTTAGGATGGAATTTTAGTTTAAGACGATTTTAAGGAGATTTAAGTTTTTGTGAAACAGGGCCCAGGCGCTGTTACTTGCCAGGCCCTCGGTTATGCAAATAAGCATTCTGAACATGGGTTATTTTCCATTGGCTTATATTGAAGATTCAGTGGCCACATAAGAACTTCATATTGGTGTAAACCGTCCTTTTTACATAATTAGTAATCAATGGCTATTTAGGAGATGTTAATGACCGGCACCCGTTAATGACAGCATTTTATTAGGATTTTTCTACCTGCGATTTTCATTCTGGTCAAGGATACCGAAAGCAGATTCGCCTGGACAGATTTTGATAGAAAAGACGTTTTATTGTGGTTGCACGTATTCCAAAACGAACTATATTATAATCGTCCAATTAATACGCTACAAAATTATGTATGGTTCGATAATATTAAGATAGATATGACACTTTATATATACCTAGCCCCTTTTCTTTCACTTTTATTGAATTGGGACATTTTGAGGAAAGGGTAAATTTTGGCCCGTTTTTGAAATAAATGCACGCTTGGCATTCACCCTACCAAAATGCGGCACGTCATGGTCTGCCGTGCTGCGATAATTTGATTTTTAAATTCTCATTTTGTGATTCATCGCTTTTACTAATCGTTAACAAGATTTTTAGAAAAAATGGTTGGAATGGGCGGTAACCAGGGAATATCGATTGAGTTTTTCCTCCCGTAACCAGAAGGTTCTCGGAAAAGGAACGAATGCTGCACGCCAAATGTAGTCTTTAGGGCGTTAACAAGACCATTATTGACGGACATGGGTGACGGCATACTACGCCCTTACCGAATGACAAGAAGGTTAATGATCATTTCTCTTATCTTTAGGGAGGGGGGGGGGTGGATGGCTTAGTGGTTAGCACGCGCGCGCTGTATCACACGGTCTGTCATTGAGTCAACGGCCGGGTTTCGATTCCCCGGTTGTAATTGACAAGGAGTAGGGTCGCCTGTCCAACCTCGTGGGTTTTCTCAGGGTCCTCCAGTTTCCTCCCACTGCTAAAGACCCCTACGCGCAAGCGAATTATTGAAATAAAATTAAACCATATGTTAGTCCCGAAATGACCTAGTTTGTGTCTAGTGGACGTTAAACCCCATTTCTCTCTCTCTCTCTCACTCTCTTTTGGGATATTTTCTCGCGTTGTGTTCACATTTGCCGGTGACCTTGTGCATTTTCTGGTCACAGTACGGTCGCAGCAGCGCAGTAAAGACGCCACCCCGGTCTGATGGGGGCTTAACAGGGGAAAGTGTGACGTTGCTGATTTCTGAGCTGTTGTCCGGGATTGCCTCTGGTTGTTTCGTCTATCATAACGTAAATTTCGTTTAAAAACAAGGGGGTTTCGATTCTCCAGTTGTACGTGACAAGGAGTAGGTTTTCTCCGGGTGCCCTGATTTCTTCCAACTGTTTATATTAGCACCATTTTAACCGCATTTTATATGAACAATATATTTGATAATTAATGAGCTTAAATAGCTTATTCATTAGCTACTATTAGCACCGGTTTCCTCCCACTGATAAAGACCCTTACGCGCAAGCGAATTATTGAAATAAAACTGCCATGTTAGTCCCCCCCCCCCTCTCTCTCTCTCTCTCTCTCTCTCTGTTCAGTTTATAATATTATATATTTAATTTCGGCATTCGAACGGTAAATTTTAAAGACGATTGATATAAAACCAATGCCGATTAATACAGAAGATCTGAAAGTGAAATTAACTTTATTGATACTATTTGTTTTTATTTGCTACAGGATGTCCGTACAATGATAGATGCATAAAACGGGGTGGACAGATAACAGAAGATTGTGCGACATATGAATGTTATTTTTGGTCTAGGAAAACTCAAACGCACGTGTCCTTTCAAAATATTTGGTACTTGAGGAAAGAAGGTAATTATAAATGTTTAACTGTCAAGCAAGAAAACGTTGTGGAATGAACACGATAACTTTGGTTCTAATTGGTTGGGAGTGATGAAACTCATTATATCAATACCTTGACTAAGTTCGATGATGATAAATTTATGCTTAAGCTAAGTGACGAAAAGCAATTTGATTCGTCAAGACTTTGGAACATAACAACTCTGCTTTTAATTGCGGTAGAATGTTTAACTTAGTGTAAATAGGTGAGTGTCTTGACTGAGTTCAATGATTAACATTTCGAGCTAAAGCTAAGCGAAGCTAAGCAATTTCATTGGTCGATGCTTTGGGAAAAGATAACTTTGATTCTATCTAATAGAGAGTGATGAAACTTAGTGTATAGTTGATAATCAGTTTGATTGCTTGATACTTTTGACAAAAAATAAATGTACGATTAATTATTGTCATCTTTTTATTTTGGGATTTCGACGGCGGGCATCATGTTGATGTTCTTAATGTTTAACGTCCGCTTCCACCTAAGGTGATATCGCAGACAAGTCTTATTTTTCATTAATATTATCTTAGCGCACGGCGGCCATCAGACTCACTGTTGGTTTGTATTTTTAATGATGTCTTTCTGTGTCCAAGGATCACTAAGTATCACTAAGTACCCAATCCAATTTCGTTTCGTTTTTATAGTTCAAAATTTCGAGGGGGATCACGTGGCTAAGTGGGTAAGACGCTGGCTCGCTAGCCTGGAGGTCGGGTGTTCGATCCCTGCATTGGCCGAGAAAGTTCATCGAGATTTTCCGGCGTGGTTCCCCCTTGTCAGTGAGGCAGGACGGAGGGCCTGACAAGGACAGCTGTCTAGTCATTCGGAGAAGACGAAAAACCGAGGGCCCATGTATACATTAGAATGCACGTAAAAGATCCCTTGGCAGTTGGAATTCGATATAAGAGTAGGCGATAGTGCCGCTGCCCGGGCAAAATTTCCCTCATAGAACACTGTATGGCGTATACCCGTCTTCATTAGCCCAGCATAGGAGCAGAACAGTAGGACGTTAAACCCCATTTCATTTCATTTCAAAATTTCGATTTTACTTGTCTTTACTCCACTTGGATCTGGAAGCGTTGTTATTTAACTCGTGTTCTGCTTGAAATGAGGGGTCAGCCAATCAAATGGTCTGTCGAATCGAGCGTTTGACCTTTTTTGCGCGGAACTGTGGGTAGACATTAGCGGTAATAGAAATCAAAACAAAGCAAAAGTAGATAAAAAATACATGCGGTCGCTAATTGGTTAATCGAATGACTGACGTAATCGGGTCAAATGTCGCTTGCTTGGTACCTGACGTCAAAGAATGTGAACTCCCACTATAACTTGTTAGATCTACATGTAGTGTAGGCCATCGAAATATAGATCTATATTTTGATTAGATTGCTAAGTACCACTAAGGACCACTAAGGACCATTAAGTACCACTAATCACCACTAATTACCACTAAGTACTACTAATTAAGTGGTAAATAATATCTTCATCTTTACGGGTGCTGAGACTCGTTAATTATGTTAATTAGCGATTACTAACTAACTAAGTGGTAAATAATATCTTCATCTTTACGGGTGCTGAAACTCGTTAATTATATTAAATAGCGATTCTAATTCTTGATCGACAAGCGCTGAGCGGTGGGACAAGATAACTTTGATGGAGAGTGGAGAACTTTGACTAAGATTAAGTATAGATAATCAGTTTGTATCATCTATTTATTTTGGGATATCGACGGGGGTCATTAGCCTCACTGTTGGCTTGTTTATTACTAATAGCGTACAATATGATTAAAATACAGATCTATATTTCGTTTCGTTTATTTATACTTTCGATGGCGTCTACTACATGAAGATCTGGTCGGTTGCAGTGGAAGGTCGCGTCATGGGTCATACGAGTGGCGTTTGACCATATGAGGTCAGACATATGATTAACCAATCAGCGAGATCTCGCCATAACAGACGGTTTCATTAGCTAATCAATCACGTCATCCAGAACGCGGGCGGGTTATATAACAACTCTTCCAGATCCTAGTGTAGTAAAGACAAGTAAACCGAAATTTTGAACTATAAAAAACGAAACGAAATAGGATCTGTGTTTTAATCAGATTGCATAGTCGTGGGGTTTTGTATATCTCTATGTATATAATATAATATATCAACATGTTCACAATTATTTTAGACATGGTTTATTTAAGAACCCATCCTTGATAAGATTATAGCTATATATTTAATTCACAATACATTTTAGCAAGCCAATGTTTAATTCGGAATGGATATATAATCAGTAATCACCTCATAATCCGGTTTGTTTGTCTATCAAATTTATATTCTAAAGAAAATATAAACTGAACTGAAATAGGCTTGCAAGGATATCTAATCTGCTAATGCTTTGATATCGTGTTTTTGTTTCTAAGATATATAACATTGATGGAAATGGGCGGTAGTCGCTTTAGGGTCTGTTTAGTGTGAAACTTTTGAGGCACCAGTAACGCTCTTGGTTCCAATTGGTGACTAAATGGGTAAGACGCTGGCTCGTTAGCCTGGAGATCCTGCACTGGCCGGGACAAATTCATCGGGATTTTCAGACGTGGTTTCCCCTTGTCAGTGGTGTAGGACCCTCCAGAGGGCCTGACAAGGACAGCTGCATAGTCATTCGTATGGGACAAAAAACCGTGGGCCGGTTATACTTTGGTGTACACGTAAAAGATACCCTGGCAGTTGGAATTCGATATACGAGTAGGCCATAGTGCCGCTGCACGGGCAAAATTTCACTCATAGCACATGGCGATAGACCATCTTCATTAACTTTCACAAAAGGCAACAGCACTAAAGAGCTAATGGTAAACTAAATCCAACACAACCACCATAAGCAAAGGGATGTGTTTATCAAATAGAGTGCAATACCTGGGGAGGGAGGGGGGGCAAAACACCCATTAAATAAAAGGATAGATGACCACAAGTCGAAAGCAGCAACCAACAACTCAGTGGTAGTTGAACACTTGAACTCCAAATCCCGCCACAGAGTCCAATGGTCCAACATTAAACCACTATGCGAGAATATAAGCAACAAGAGGGCGCGCAGATTGCATGAAGCCATTCAAATACGAAGACACAAGCCAACGATGAACAGTGATCAAGGATTGTTCCTCCCCAGGTCGTATGATACTCTTATTACATAATTATAGACTAAGCATAATAATTTTTATTTAATCACATTTAATAACCTAAGTTTGTAATAATTACTATAAATTGTAAAAAAAATGAGAATTAATAATTGGCTACTATTTTTACTTTTCAGGGCTGCTGTTATCGAAATTCAATGCACTTATTAATTCAAATCCTGCCTTTCTAAATCACTATAGAATCCTGTGAAAATACTACTCATTAATTCAAATAGTCGGCCTTCAGGGGACCAGTTATAATGTGTGCAGTCATTGTTCTAAGAGTTTTTCGTATATTAGTGGAATCACTTACATCAACATGGATTTATCAATATTTTTCGTTACAATACCAATCAAATCTTATTTTTTTAAAGTGTTAGTGATTATAAAAAAAACCCTGATCAAATCATAATCTATTCATTAATCATTTGTGTTTATAACATTTTATCAAATTTCATTTCCTTTGAACGTTTGTCATTATTAAAAGCTTAAAAGCTAATATATCATTGTATATACTCCATAACAAGTTATCCATTATTCAATTAATCAGTTTGTGTTAATTTTCAGGCAAAGTGGTTTTATTGAATGTCGTTATTATCATTAAACTTTATTATTCTTAATTAAATTAGATTCCCTTTGTAATTAGAAAGGTATCTCTGGTTGATCAGCATTAATGTTGTCTACATGCAGAGGCGTAGCCGTGAAATATATATTGGGGGAGGGGGGGGGGGGGGTCCGCAAATGAAATTATATAAAATGTTGACAATCTGTGACACCCTATGTAGCGCGATAGGGAGAGTGTGGGAGGGTGACTCTCCCACTGGGGTTAAACATTGTTTTGGCATATTTTAAAGGGGTAAAATAAAACATCACACCAATACAATGTTTATCATGTTTAAGTCAGGGGGTGCCGTATTCATATTTTTTTCATGACTTTTACATATTGAACAACACGACAAAGAGAGTTTAGTAGGGGAATTTTTATGAGGAGGATTCAAATGAAACAAAACTTGATCACATAACTTTAGTTTATGAGGGTGCATATTTGACAATCACCTTGTTAACTATACAATACTATATACATATACACATTGACATTTACAAGAATGTTATATAGATATTTAAAGTATTTTGTACATTTTGTGTATTATAAATGGATTTCAAAAAGTAAACATAAGTGTTTGTCTTTTAATTTGTACATTGTTTTATACAGAGAGAATCTAAACTAATCCTAATAATTGTTGTACATAAATAGGAGTTAGGGCCCACTATGTAAATTTTGTAGGGGTCCAAGTATATTAAGCCCCCCCCCCTCCCAGAAAAACAATTGGGGGGGGGGGGTCGGACCCGCCCATGTGTGATGCCCATGTGTATATTGTCTTATCATATTTTCATATTTTATCATTGCTTGATAATGACTAGAGAAGCCTAGTCGAAACGTCGCTCAGTAATAAGCAGTAATTGTATTCCATAGAATTTTAACCTGTATACTTCATTAGACTTTGTAATAATTGGGTTTTATTCTTATGGAACAATCATAACGAAGAAGATAGCACCGGTTATCTTTGCTGGTCGTGAAGAAACAGAGCCTTGAAAATATAGGTCTGCTACTGCACTGTCGGCATTATGCTGAATGTCGTTGTCCTTGTTAATTCTATGTACTGACCGTTGTTGTACTGACCGCTGTTGTACTGAAGTAGATTTTGAAATGTTTTTTGTTTATTTCAGGTTGTTTGAATCGAGGTAAATGTCTGGCAATACGCGAAAAATTTATTGACACCAAATATTGTGGTGTTTATATATGTTATAAGAAATATGCCGCGGGTAAAGCTAAATATGATATGGTGCTAGCGGAGAATAGTAAGTAACATTTTAACTCATAGTCAAAATAACCATTTTTAGAAGACTGAACTTAGATCCAATTGACCGATCGCTAGGCCGGACGTAGCCACGCCCCTTATAAATAAACGGGGGTGGGGGGATGGCTGAATGGTTAGCGTGCGCGCGCTGTATCATAAAGTCTGTCATTGAGTCGACTGGCGTGGTTTCGAATCCCCGGTTGTACGTGACAAGGAGTAGGGTCGCCTATCCAACCTTGTGGGTTTTCTCCGGGTCCTCCGGTTTCTTCCCACTGCTAAAGACCTCTACGCGCAAGCGAATTATGTAAATAAAATTAAACCATATGTTAGTCCAGCAATTACCTAGTTTGTGTCGAGTGGACGTTAAACCCCATTTCTCTCTCTCTCTCTCTCTCTCTCTCACTCTCTCTATAAATAAAGGGAGATAATCAAATAAGCTTTGGTATGGGAATAAAGGTTATCCCTCCTGTCAGTCTCTCAGGGTATCTATTGTCCGAATTACACCTACCCCAAGCGCACCTCTTTACCATTATAACGGGTTGGTGGTTAACGTCTGCTGGAAATACCTTTATTTACGTCTGCTGGGCCAAGTTGACGGGCACAATGGCGGACAATGGCGCACAGAAGGGAGGGCGTTTTTTGATTGGTAGATTTATTATTTTGATTGACAGTTGGGATCGGTCAATTTACCTTTTACCCCTCTTAAATTGGTTAGGTTTAGAGAGAAAGATGGAGATATTGTTTGATATTGTTTTTGTACATATTGTATTTATTTATTTGTTTGTACTGTATGTTATACCTGATGAGTCTTTGACTTAAAGGATTAAAGAACTTGAACTTGAACTTGAGGAGAGAGAGAGAGAGATGGGGTTTAACGTCCACTCGACACAAACTAGGTCATTTCGGGACTAACATATGGTTTAATTTTATTTCAACAATTCGCTTGCGCGTAGGGGTCTTTAGCAGTGTGAGGAAACCGGACGACCCGGAGAAAACCCACGAGGCTGGACAGGCGACCCTACTCCTTGCCACGTACAACCGGGGATTCGAAACCACGCCAGTCGACTCAAGTTAGGTTTAGGGTTAGTATTCCCCAAAATACTGATTTATATAAAGTGGTCATTGTGGACTCCGGAAATTCCCGAACCTCCCCAACCGGCCTACAATTAGCATTCACCAACTTTCCATTATACACGGATGTTCTTACACAGATCAGCAGTGAATATTCGCTAGGCCACTACAATCACTGAGAGCGATGCCATCACACTGGTCAGCAGTGAATATTCGCAAGGCCACTACAATCACTGAAAGCGATGACATCACACTGGTCAGCAGTGAATATTCGCTAGGCCACTACAAGCACTGATAGCGATGACATCACACTGGTCAGCAGTGAATATTCGCTAGGCCACTACAATCACTGAGAGCGATGACATCACACTGGTCAGCAGTGAATATTCGTTAGGCCACTACAATCACTGAAAGCGATGACATCACACTGGTCAGCAGTAAATATTGGTTAGGCTGCTACAATCACTGATAGGGATGACATCGGTTCAATTTTTGAAGTATTAGAAATATAAATATCTTTTGTATTATATTGTTCATTCCGGTTTCCTCCCACTGTACGTGACAAGGAGTAGGATCGCCTGTCCAACCTCGTGGGTTTTCTCCGGGCCCCGGTTTCCTTCCACTGCTAAAGACCCCTACGCGCAAGCGAATTATTGAAATAAAATTGAACCATTAGTTAGTCCATAAATGACCTAGTTTGTGTCGAGTGGACGTTAACCCCCCCCCCCCCTCTCTCTCTCTCTCTCTCCCTCTCTCTTCTCTCCCCTTTTTAAGAAAAACAAACACCGTTTTTGTACTTTTATATTTCAGGATGTCCGTATCTAGGTAATTGTATTATTATAGATAAACGTTATATACTACAGTTTAAAGGTATTTGTAACATTATACAGTGTAAATACAAGAAAACAAACGAGGGAAATATGACGTTGAATATCCTCGAAAACCGTAAGTACCCAGTTATATTTTGTTACATTTTATTTTCGTTCAATCCGAACGACTAGGCCATGTTCTTGCCACCTTGCATCTCTGACAAGGGTGGAGGAGGGGGTACCCCACAGGAAAATCCTATATATAGAACTTCCGCGGCCAAATTCTGTACCTCCAGTCTAGGTGAGCCAACGCTGCTCACAGGGAGGCTTACAATCCCTGCAAGGTAAAAAATCCCAGACGAAAGGGCAAATAAATATAGACTGAAAGTCCATACACATTAAAAGCTAGTCTTATCAATATCAAAAATTCTCAATGGTCAAAAAAATTATTAAATAATTATTAAGGACTCCTTAGTATTTCTCTTGTATTTTTTAAATACTCTTATATTCTGTCCATCCTCGTGGGTTTTCTCCGGGTCCTTCGGTTTCCCACCACTGTTAAAGAGCCCTACGCGCAAGCGACTTATTGAAATAAAAAAAATAAACCATATGTTAGTACGGAAATGACCTAGTTTGTGTCGAGTGGACGTTACCCCCCCCCTCTCTCTCTCTCTCTCTCTCTCTCTCTCTCTCGCTCGCTCTCTCTCTCTCTTTCTTATGGGACGAATAACGGAAACGGAAAGTGACGCATAAAAAGGAAAGTGCGTGTTATCCTTGTATATAACTGATTGAAGTTGAGAAGGCTAAAAGATACAGAAATACTGTTTTTAAAAGGTATACAGAAATATATACTGATAAAGTTTCAATATATATTTTTTTTTAATAGGGTGTGAGGAACCAGATGGAACATGTTCGAGAGAAGGCACAATCAAGCAAGCAGATGACTGTTATAGGGCACGATGTAAATCTTTATCTGATGGTAGAGCTTACTATTATACCGAATACAGAAACACCCTGGCTTGTCGACGAAAATACGGATAACATTTAACATGGCGCTCGAATTTTGGTTTTAAATGATAAATGATTCCATTGAAACCCTCTACGTGTTTAAAATTATTGATCACAGTTTTTTTTCTCTTAGCACAACACGAATAAAATGTAAAGACGATGTAGAATTTCAACATTTCTTCCCATTTTCAAAGGAACTAAACCTCCTTGTCTAACTCAAGGATAATGTTTCTGTGTGGGTGTGGGTGTGTGTGTGAGAGAGAGAGAGAGAGAGAGAGAGAGAGAGAGAGAGAGGGGGAGGGGGGGTAACGTCCTAGGATATCACTGAAAAGTTATTTTTTAAAGGTGTTCATCTTGACGCAAAATGGAGAGGACTAACACATGGTTCAATTTTATTTCAATAATTCGCTTGCGCATAGGGGTCTTTAGCAGTGGGGGGAAACCGGAGGATCCCTAGAAAACCCACGAGGTTAGAAGGCGACCCTACTCCTTGTCACGTACAACCCGTGAAATCGAAATCCCAACTTGGTGGGAAAATTTACTTTGCGTAATAAACCACACAAATGAAAGGAAAATACATTTACTCCGCTTGTTATACATTTAACACATTGTTGCAACTTGAGGAAGCTCCGGGAAGTTCCTGGTCACATGGATGGTTGGTAATATGTTTTCACATTGGCGACCACGTTGTTCATGAAGGAAAAGTCTCTTTTCTGGTAAAAGTAAGAAAGTGTTGCCCATTGAATTAACTTTGATGTTCTGGATTGTTTTATTAAGATGAAAGAGTTTATCTTCAACAGTGGGTTAAATTAAAAACTATCTCATTCCTTTAGCTATTCCGATAGATTTTAATTCGAACTTAATGTATGTGTAAAGGACTTGGCTTAAAGGTCACCGAAAAAACTTTTTTAAATAATGCTAGAAATTGTGTATACATAAGTATAACAACACCAACCCTAATGTCAATATTACCTGCAACAGGTAAATTTCAACGTTAGTAATTTCTGCCATTCTCCGTGAGTAGTGGTAACTTTCCGTCAATAAACAATCCGTGACGTCATATTAATCCTTCTGATAGACTAGAATATGAGCAGAAGGACTAAAATGACGTCACGGATTGTTTATTTAGGGAAAGTTACGACTACTCACGGAGAATGGCGGAAACTTTTGCAGGTAATATTGACATTTGAGTTCGTGTTATACTTATGGAAATGATATGTTGACATAATTACTTGCATTATTTAAAAAAAATTGAAGCTTATCCGGTAACCTTTTACTTGATAGTAGTAAAAGCTTTGGTAGAGGTAGTCGTCAGTATAAATAAACGCCTTTCTGGTTTTAAAGCACCTGGATTAACTTTGATTTTGCACAAACGAACTAACAATCCTTAATCCAGAATAAGCTTGTTCGACTAGCACAGTTTGATCAGTGAAATTGTCTATAATTGTTTGGAAGTATGTTTGAGCTTGTTGGTAATTCTTGGTTCTTGCACATATTTCTCCTGCTATTAGTAATATTTCGGGTTGATCGGCTGACTTCTCTGCGAGTTTAGTTGCATAAGGCAGAGCATCCTCATACTCCTTGTCTTCGTGTAACATTTGGGTGAGGTGGCGCAAAAATGTCTGAAATTACAATACATGATAGAATCATTAAAATGACGACGGAAAGGTTGGGTGGGTATTAAATGAAAAATGAAATAAAATGGGTTTTAACGTCCTAATGTTCTGCTACTAAACTGGGCTAATGAAGACGAGCATACACCATACAGTATGCTAAGAAGGACATTTTGCCCGCACAGCGGCGCTATGACCAACTCTTATATCGAATTCCAACTGCCATGGGATCTTTTACGTGCACGCCAAGGTGTACACGTGGCTAGATAACTGTCCTTGTCAGGCCCTCCGTCCTGCACCAATGACAAGAGGAACCTACGCCAAAATATCGCGATGAACTGTCAAGTACAACCGGGGAATCGAAACCACGCCAGTTGACTCAATGAGAGACCTTATAATACAACGCACACTCGCTAACAATTCGGCCATCCAACCCCCTAATATATCAGGAGATAGAGTGACTTGGTTCAATTTTATTCCCCACCCCCAACAACGGTAAGAACACTCGATAACTATATATCAAAGCCTACAGTCATTGCTTAATTTTTGGTTCAAGAGTAGAGGTATTTTATCCTACAATCGCAAATTAAGAACAAAAGGGTCTCACCGTGTTGTCTGGACATTTTTTTACTGCGTGTTTACAAATCTGTAGAAGGGCTTCCCTTTTCCCTGCATTCTGGCACCATGCCATTGCATTCTCATAAACGCCATCTTTAATACTGATGTGGTCATACGACTTGTCTAACTGCTCCAATAATTTCTGTGTTTCCTCTTTAGGGATAAGATGGGATTCTGCTAATTGTTTTAATAAAGTGAAACTCTCAGGCCATCTACAAATACAATGAACATGGATTTATTATTTAAACATACATTATACAAGAGATAAATCTGCCTATTGCCGGTCTTTCTTTAGGCCTGAAATGTTATCTAAATTATTAATTAGACATTAATTAACCTATCTAGACCATAATAAACTCTCAATGCCATCGTTAGCCTGCAATAACATTAAGACTTATACATTATGACGTCACATTAATAATGATGTCATTGTAAGGCCTGAAATGTTATATCATAGAACTAGAACTAGAATACTAGTATTCTAGTTCTATGGTTATATAGACTATTAATTAGACATTAATTAACTAATCCAGACCATAACCAACTCTCGATGTCATCACTATCCTGCGATATTTACTGGATTTGAATCCGATCTGCTGCTCAACGCTCATTGATGATTAAATCAAAAAATGCATAATCGAGACTATTTTTTTTATCGTACCGACTTTAGTAATGATGGTCGAGGCTAGGCCTAAAATTTAAAAGCTAATATCTCGGTTCTGAGTGGATCAATTTGACTGAAAGTTTTTAACTATTATAGTGAGAACTGCGATAAAGTCCCTTTAAAGTCTCAATGTGGAATTAGTTGCTAACTACAATATGATGAAAGATGGATATCGTCCAAAATGGTTCATTTCCGTTCAGTATTTACGAAGATATGTTAAAATGAAATTTCATAGATCTACGCTGCTCCATATGTAATAAGTCAGTAGACATATTTTTGTAGCGAACAGAGTTGATGTGCCCATCTTAAATCTGAACGAACCTAAGTCGGCAGTTCATCTATTGATAATAGTTAATGTTATTTGGGATTCAAAATGGATTGGTGGGCATGCATTTGATTCCATTGTTAGCCAAGACGCTTTGCACGTGCGTGCTGTATCATAAAGCCTGTCATTGAGTCAACTGGCGTGGTTTCGAATCCCCGGTTGTACGTGACAAGGAGTAGGATCGCCTTCCAACCTCGTGGGTTTTCTCCGGGTCCTCCGGTTTCCTCTCACTGCTAAAGACCCCTACGCGCAAGCGAATATTGAAATAAAATTAAACCATATGTTAGTCCCGAAATGATCTAGTTTGTGTCGAGTGTACGTTAAACCCCATTTTTCTCTCTCTTTCCAAGACGCTTTCTTGAGATTATTCAGTCTTGTTGTTCGAGATGCATGATAAACCGAGATACAGTGGGGTTGAATGATAGGATGGTTAGCGTTGTATCCTAAGGTCTGTCATTGAGTCAACTGGCGTGGTTTCGATTCCCTGGTTGTACGTGGGTTTTCTCCGGGTCCTCCGGTTTCCTCCCACTGCTAAAGACCCCCAGTCGCAAGCGAATTGTTGAAATAAAATTGAACCGAAATGACCTGGTTTGTGTCGAGTGGACGTTAAACCCCATCCCCCCCCCCCTCACACCTCACTGCATTACATATGTTTGTCTTCACAAATATTGTTTTAATCAAATTAAATTCAGATTAAATGATTTGAAATGCGAATAAATGTTTATATTATTGATTAAAAATTAACAAAAACCAACAGGATATCCAATTCCTATATGGGGATTCCTTTTTTTACCCGTAGCGATAATTTTTTTCTTGCCACGTCAATGTTTATATTTTTAATTAAAAATTAACAAAAAAGAACGTAGCGATAATTTTCAAAGAACGTAAATGTTTATATTGTTATAAACAAAAACTTCTATTTTACCCGTCGCGATAATTTTTTCTTGCCACTAAGCGTTGATTTTCACGCCGTTGCATCCGTTACATGAGGTATCAATAATAGGGTTATCAATTTGACTGTTAAAGATACATTATGGGAGATTAGATAAAGAGCTGGCAGTTCTCAGTATAATAGTTAAAAACTAGATAGTGTAAATTTGCTGAAAATTTCCGTCAAATTGATCATCATTACTAAAGTCGGTACGATAAAAAAAACATAGCCTCTATTGGATTTAATCATCAATGAGCGTTGAGTAGCACGTCGGATTCAAATCCAATAAATTTAGCAGGCTAGTGATGACATCGAGAGTTGATTATGGTCTGGATAAGTTAATTAATGTCTAATTAATAATTCAGATAGCATTTCAGGCCTAAAGAAAGACCTGCAATAGACAGATGTAGCTCTTGCATAATGTCTGTTTAATATGATTAATACAATGACGTCATTATTAATGTGACGTCATAATGTATGTTTAATTAATCTTGGATTAGTGTTGAATAGTATTTACAGTAAGAGTAGTAATAAATAAATTAAGAGAGAAAGAGAAATGGGGTTTAACGTCCACTCGACACAAACTAGGTCATTTCGAGACTAACATATGGTTTAATTTTATTTCAATAATTCGCTTGCGCGTAGGGGTATTTAGCAGTGGGAGGAGCTTTCGTCCATCTGAATATATTACACTTTCTTGGCATGCTGAAATGATTATTCTACTTCCAAAATTGGCCTACTTCAAAAGTTAGCTACAGAGGAAACATTCGAAAAGCTTAGGTGTATTTGAATAACGTAGATCTCTTAGGAACGAATGGAAAGTTTCAAATCCTTGGTTAAGGTATGATGCAGGTATCAAACAATGTTTGTTCCAATTCATTCAAAACTGGTTGTAGTGTACTAAAAAAAGCTTTCAAACAACGGATCTCTGCAAAGCAGAGAAGAATTTTGTAAATTGTAATATCGTATGTATATCAGTATGTATTTCTATTGAAAGTTAAAATGTAGTAAAAATTACTGATTATTAATTATTATTAACTTTCTTTTGGCGGAAAAAGTATATGGTTAATAAATTCATTCACAACTGTTTGTAATGTACTAAAAAAAGCTTTCAAAAAAGGGACCTCTGCAAAGCAGAGAAGAATTTTGTAAATTGTAACATCGTATGTATATTGTATGTATTTATATTGAAAGTAAAAATGTACTAAAAATTACTGATTATTATTAACATTTTTTGGCGGAAAAAGTATATGGTTAATAAATTAAAATGAAAAATTGGCGGAAAAAAATGGAACCCAGACTGAGCACTGTTAACAACACATCCAGAACACGAATCCAAGTAACAAGAAACCAATCGACTTACAGCTTTAGACCCTCTTCAAGTGAAAACTGCTTAAGCAGGGCTTGATCAACTTTAATGTTGTTGCTAATCATATCTAAATGTAAAAAGTCAAACTCCTGTTTTTTGGACGATTGCAGCAGAGCTGTGGTTATATCTAATGCCCTTTGGTATTGCTTCTGCTCCATCAGCTCTTTAACAACTAACGTATACAAAGGTATAAAGGCATCTTCGATCAAATTACGCTCCGTCACTATTTTAACTGGAAGTAAAAAGCGATTAGACATTGTTATTATTAACATATTTACATTGTACACGTTTTTTACTCTTTTTAATATGAAACCTCAAATTATGAAAGGATACGTTGCTAATGCTAGGTTCCTACTATCACGATTTGAGTTTGAGTTTCGTGTGGTTCCGTTAAATTAAACATACATTAAGCAAGAGCAAAATCTACTTATTACAAGTCTTTCTTTAGGCCTGAAATGTTATCTAAATTATCAATTAGACATTAATTAACTTATCCAGACCATAATAAACTCTCGATGTCAAGGCTAGCCTTCGATGCTGGCTGGATTAGATTCCTATATGCCACTAACGGCCGTTGATAATTAAATCAGAAAAAGTGGATAATCGAGACTATGATGTTTATATTAATGATTTTAGTAATGATGACCGAGACTATGCAAAAATTTCAACCGCTTTTTTCTCGGCTCATAGTGGATCAATTTGACTGAAATTTTCAGCAAATTACCTTTACACTATCTAGTTTTTAACTATTATAGCGCGAACTGCCATCTGTTTATTTTATCTCCCATAATGTATCTTTAAGGTGGAGCATACGGTTGGACACTTATACGGTGAATCCAATAACCTATCTGATTACATCACAGATCCTGTTTCGTTTCGTTTTTATAGTTCAAAATTTCGTTTTACTTGTCTTTACTACACTAGGATCTGTTACGGCGAGTTTTTGGTACGAGGCGAACTAAACTGTGGGTAACCCACCAGAAACATCAACGCTGAAGAGTTGGAAGAGTTGTGATATAAGCCGCGTTCTGGATGATGTGAGGGATTAGGCAATAAAATGGTTCGTTGCAGCGGGTTCTTGGCGTGCGATGCACGGAACCCTGGATATCCTACTAGAAACATAAACGCTGATTGGTTAATTAAATGTCCCACGTCATAGGGTTAAAAGCTGCTCGTATGACCCCTGATGGGACCTTCCACCACAACTGGTCAGATCTTCATGTAGTAGAGGCCACCGAAAGTATAAAAAAAACGAAACGAAATATAGATCTGTATTCTAATCAGATTGTGCAAACGCTGAATCTTCACTCAATTGGTCTGTAACTCCGCTGTGTACATCAGTTTCCTAGCCCCCTTGTCCACCTCTTTGCCTCGGACACACTGCCTACCTGCCACACAATAACTCTACTTCTAATTGAGATAAGTGTTTAAACATGGTCTAGATGTTCGTTAGGAGCATGTCTTGGAGGATTTAGATGATTAGCATGTGTTTGTTAAGGCTCTGTCTGTCTGCCTGTCACACCTTTTGGGGGGAGTATTCGTTAGGTGCATGTCTTGACTACGGTCGAGGAAGGACATTTTCTGGTTAGGCCAAACAGTTGTCCATCTGGTTGTACATCACACTACAGGCACCGACTGCTGAAGTCTTAACACTAGGAATGCGACAGACAGATACAGACCGGAAGTAACGCGCTATCTTATCGGCTTCCATAGATTTAGATGTGTTTTTTTTTAACAGGTGCCGTGTGGACCTCGTGAAAATCCTAACAATTTCTTTGCAAATACATGTATGTCTGTTGGACCTAAAACAGACACACCAGAACACTAGCTGAATTGTGTCAAGTCAGTTGGGAATGTTAAGGATGAACTACCTGAACACCTCGGTGATCGAAAGCTTAGTTGTCTCAAGTGTGTTGGGAATGTGAAATATCAACTACTACCCGAACAGTAACAGAGAACAATGAACTTACAAACTTCGTCAAAAACCGCTAAAGCATCTTTTGTCTGTTTCATTTTCAATAAAGCTAGGGCCAACTTCTCCTTTATTTTATAAACCAAAGGGTTATCTGGCGAGTCATTGCACTTCTACAAAAAAAAAAAGAATAATTCTGAAAACACAGGATTGCTCAAATCAATAGAATGGAACGTAATGAGATTAAAGTCTCCATCATTTGGGGTTGGGATTATCTTTATATTCATCTCTATGGTTGCGTGTGAAATATGAGGGAGAGGGCGGACAGAGTTTTCCCGCCTACTCTACCAACTACCACAGTATGTACACGAATGAACCTTTTTATACCAGCCCAACGACTAAGCACTCTACTTTTCTGTCGCACAAATGCCACCCTTGTTGAGTGCTAACAGGGCATTCATATTTCAATCCATAGGGTTTTTATTTTGCAAAATTCAAATATTTTTCATATATGTTTAGCCAGGTGTGCCGCTATTTTTTCATGTGTTCCAAGGTGTGCCGTTAGCAAACAATGGTTGAGAACCATTGATCTAAATTATAGACAACGGTCACTTTGTTTTATGTAACGCCAACACACCCAATTAAAAATGCGAAAAGTGAATATATACCTGATGTATGGCCCACGCATCTTGGAATAGTTTAGCCGCATCTTCAAAATTACCAGAATTCAGACAATGGGTTCCATGATTTATGAGGGCGTGTGCTACATTAGGGTGAAGGTTTCCCAGTGCATTAACTGCTATTTCCCTAGCTCTGAAAATAAAAAAAAGGGTTTCAAAAAATATTAAACGGTCGAAACAGATTAAATACACCATAGGTAGTGGCAGGTGTGGTGCGCGAGACATGGTATGTTAACTTTCAAGATCACGGTGGAATTTGCATTGCGGACAAATTGTGTGTTTTGTCCACATTTGAAACAGTCGTTAAAACATGCCCGTTAAAAGAATGCAAACACAAAATGGAAATGTTCGAACGGAGATAATTACAATCAGGCCCCGTGTCCACAAAGCATTCTCAGACTTTAAGTTAAAAAATTTACTTAACTTTCAATCACTGTTTATGAGAAATATCTATTTTCCGGAAACGCAAATCTTTGCACATAGTTTCTTATGGATGTATTTGATACATTGAAACAACAAAAGTTTTATAAAGGACTATATTTTACTATTTTAGTTATGGCGAACAAATGAAATGAAATGGAATGGGGTTTAACGTCCTACTGTTCTGCTGCTAAACTGGGCTAATGAAGACGGCCATACGCCATACAGTGTGCTACGGCCTACTCTTATATCGAATTCCAAATGCCAAGGGATATTTCGTCCTATCCGAACGACTAGACAGTTGTCCTTGTCAGTGCCTCCGTCCTGCATCACTGACAAGGGGAAACCACGCCGGAGAATCTGGATGAACTTTCTCGGCCAATGCAGGGATCGAACACCCGACCTCCAGGCTAGCGAGCCAGCGTCTTACCCACTTAGCCACGTGATCCCCAGTTATGGCGAACAATTTTAATTCTGAATGTAAGTCTGAGCATGCTTTGTGAACTCGTGGCCAGTTCTATCACAGTTCTGCCTGTCTCGATGTTGTTGGGGTAGCATAACGACGAACGGGGAACGGAAACTTCCGGTGACAAGGCATGCGCAAACTGAATTTGATGCTTTTAAAATATCGTTTTGTGAAAATTGCCTATTTTAAGTTCGGATGAAATTTTAGTTTGAGATTTAAGGTTTTATGAAACAGGGCTGCGTGTGTACGGAACAATCCCAGTCCTTTATTGCACTGAATGCTTATATAAAATACAAGCGTCGTGGTAGCCCAGTAAATATAGCGCTGGCTCGCAAACCAGATCTCGGGGGTTGTCCAGGTGCGGGACGACAAACATAATGTTCTATCTCAACATAAATATATGATGTTGTTGTATATCTATAAGAATAACTAAACCAAAATAATGTAAATGGCTTCTCGAATCATGTTACAACTATAATGTTGTTTTATTCATTGGTTGTTTATATGTTTCGTATACATATATAATTAAATGATAAAGAGATAGACATTGCAGTTAGGCCTCGCTACCCACTCGCCACGTTAGTGTAGTCTCCAATATCCAGATATTACGGGAGCATATATTGTAATGTACAATATTATAAAAGGGATTAGTTATTATACATTTACCATGCGATATGGACACTACCACAACAACAATCATGTACCCGTTTAATCTGTTTTATAATTTATACAATAGTATACAGATTAAAATACAGATCTATATTTCGTTTCGTTTTTTTATACTTTCGAAGGCCTCGACTACAAGTCTTACTTAATATACATCTTCTCTGCTTCATCCAGTTTTCCAAGATGGCGGTAACACACGGCAATATTGCCAGTCATGACACCAATAGCAGGCGGTAAGTGACCAAAATATTCTTCTTCGTAGATCTGTGAGAAATAAATGTTATTTAATGTTATGGCAATATTATATCTTATAAAATGGTTAGGACTTTTGAACTGAAATGTACAATGTTCAAATCCTGGCATGGTTCTCGAGACTAACGTAATCATTTGTTTATATCCACGAAAGAAAGAATTCTATTAAGTTTCTGTGAAATGCGGTCGATTATTCTCAACCCTGTCCTCCTTTCTGTAATTCGGGGGGGGGGGGGGGGCGTATCGTTAGCGCGTGAAATCTGACTCAGTGACATATCTTATGATACGGCGCGCACGTGCTAACCATTCGGTCATCCACACCCCTCCCCCACCCCTTAGTTCTATAGAGAGCAATGATACACTGTCTATATTATCATAAATAATACTTTGTTTTTTACTTACTGCTAGAGATTCGAGACAATATGACAAAGCCTGTTGAAATGATTGTTTCTCCATCAACAATACTCCTATATTATGTAGACTATCAGCTATTTCTAGACGAGATCCACACTGTTTATGGATGTTTAAAGCTTTGTTAAAGTTTTCCAGGGCCTAAAACATAAATCACTATATCATTATATTGTTCAGGAAATATTTGTTGTGTCAGGTTTTCACTCTCGTGTAAAGCGTTACGATAGGGTTGTTCCTATTGAGTCCACGATCTGCTACGTTCAGATACGTTTCGATACGATATAAACAAGTCTTTATCCAATGAGAGAGAGAGAGAAATGGGGTTTAACGTCCACTCGACACAATTTATCCAATGAAGTTCAATATCAAACTGACTGCTTTGTATATAGATACAATGTTACAATGTTCACTCAAACAAAGTTCGCACAATTCAGTAGACTGATTACTATTTAAGGTATATCATGTGTTCACACAATTCAGTAGACTGGTTACTATTTAAGGTATATCATGAATCACCCCCCCCCCCCCCCCCATTTTGTGGATTTCAAATTTATTTGGACGGTATATAACCTAAACAGAGAAATTTATATCTAGTTTTCCGCAACTCCTGTTCCAGAAATATGCACCTTTTTCCGAAAACCTTATGAAAACAACATTAAGGCCTATTTCAATTTTTTTGCGAAGCACTGTGATTAAGCTTTTCGTGACCTTCATGTTGATTTACATAACAAAATTCCGACCATAATTATTTCCTGTGTTTCCAGGTAATTGAAATAAAGCAGGTGTTAATTGGGTTAATGGAGGTGAAGGCTTTCTCTCTGCCACGATTAACTTCTCCTACCTACTTCTTTACTGAGGAAAAAGGCCTAAAGTGGAGACCATGTCAGCATGTATTTGTGTTGGGTTTAGTCCTTTCAGCTGCAGGTACTTGATGACTTTCCTATAGCCAGTTTTGTACATTTATGGTGATTTCAATGGGTAGGTTCACAAGATGGTCTGGTACGAAGTAGTGCGGTCACGATATATCGTTGAATCGATGTATCGCGATTCACTTTCTCACGATTCGCGTATTGAATCAAGAGACACTGAATTGATGTATCGCGATTCTTTTTTATGTTTTTTTGTCGCTTCAGTAACCTGTAACTCTTAAACATACAAGAGCTAAATCTGCCTATTGCAGGTCTTTCTTTAGGCCTCAAATGTTATCTAAATTATTAATTAGACATTAATTAACTTATCCATTTTACAATGCATATATCTATATAACGTTTATACTGTGAAATATTTCTATGAATATATAATACAAACACGTGTAGATGCAATAAATTCCGTTAAAATTGAATTTTCACTCATTTAGTCTTTAAATCTGGTATGTAAATCAGTTTACTAAATTTCAATCCCCTCAAAGTTTAACCAAAAAAGAATCCCCAGAACAAGGAAATTTTAAACTATATAAAATGAAATGAAATGGGGTTTAACGTCCTACTGTTCTGCTCCTAACCTGGGCTAATGAAGACGGAAACTATATAAAAACGAAACAAAATAGGATCTAATGAGATTGGAGAAAGCCGGCATTAAAAATGAAGACATACCTGTTCCTTGTTACCTAATTTAGTATGAAGTATGGCTAATCCATGGTAAGACGTTCCAAGATCTACTAAAACTTCTTTTGTCACACCTTGTGGCTGGCTATCAACAAAGCTAATGTATGAAAAAATAATAAAATCTAAATTATCCTGTAAAAGATTTTTTTTTTTTCAACTTTATTAACGGTACAATATTCCATACCGAAAAACAAATATGGACTTTCAGGCTATTCACAATAGAAAAACATCAGCCTTAAGCTTTTTTTTTAAAAAAAAAAGTCTATTGGGGCCAAAAATTATTAATAGCTTTCAATACTGATTTCAAGTAGCTAAAGTCTCTAACTCAATATCATCCAAAGTCTTCGATATTGAAAACACAAATTATTTGTCAATTTAAATCAACATTGATGTTGTCATCCTACCGGGAATAGATGGGCTTCTTTTATCCAATATTTAAGACAAAATAAACATTTTACCAGTGGTACACGAATCGTGTACCATAATGTGTTTTAGCGCCATTTGTAACAAGGGACTCGAAAAACGAGGCTAGATATATCTCAAACGGTGACGGTGACGTCAAACGGTGACGTCATATTCTTATATGGGGAGCAAGCGCAATAAATACTATCGGTGTAGACTGGAATAACCAGACGCTAAAGATTGCCATTCGATTGAGACTTCTAGCGTATTTCGCCGAACATAACTGATTTGAAATTAGAGGAAAAATGGAAACGATTGAATGTAAATCAGTTTATATGCATTCATATTACATTATTATATGCATTGCGACCCATTTGTGTCGGGGGTGGGGGTGGCTGAATGCTTAGCACGTGCGCTGTCATTGAGTCAACTGACGTGGTTTCGATTCCCCGGTTGTACGTGACAAGGAGTAAGATCGTCTGTCCAACCTCGTTGGGTTTTCTCCGGGTCCTCCAGTTTCCCCCCACTGCTAAAGACCGCTACGCGCAAGCGAATTACGAATTATGGAAATAAATCTAAAACCGTATGTTAGTCCCGAAATGACCTAGTTTGTGTCGAGTGGACTTTAAACTCTCTGTCTCTCTGCCTCTCTCTCTCCCCCCATTTGTGTCAATTTCTAGGTCCCAACTATCCTTTAAGTTATGGCCACGTTATACTGATTCCACGCCACCGTTGTTATTATCTGAGAATGCAGAACTTCGACCTCAAGCTGGTATCTAACCTGGTGTTTTTCTTATTTTGGGTTTTTGTAATCGTCGATATTAATATCAAAACAATCCTTTTTTAGTGCGTAGTTGCTTAGTGCCAGAAGTGACAATGTACGTAACTTTACTAAGATTCATTTGAGTGAGCTACTGGATAATTTTTACTTCGCTTCAATACACGATCGGAAATGAAATGGGTTTAACGCCCTATACTGTTCTGCTCCGAACTGGGCATACGCCATATAGTGTGCTATGAGTGGAATTTTGCCCGGACAGCGGCACTACATATGGCTGAACTGTTCTAATCTATTTAATATCGGAGAAATCCGATGCCATCGTGAGTTGATTATGGCCTGGATAAGTTAATTAATGTCTAATTAATAATTATATAACATTTCAGGCCTAAAGAAAGACCTGCAATATGCAGATTTAGCTCTTGCATAATGTATGTTTTAGTCTTAATGTTATTTAATGTATCTTCTATAGGTACCGCCTATATGATCACCCAGTAAAAATTCAAATACGCCAGACTGTCGGCTGCCTAAAACCTTTTATCTACCTGTCTGACAATCAAGTTTTGGCAGCTAAAATTTGCATTCGAAACGCAAAACCTGTCCAAGTTTCCATACCCTTTTCTACATTCCAAAACCTGTCCATGTTTCCATACCTTTTCCTACATTCCAAAACTTGTGTCTGTAGTTTTTCGGCTTCTTTAAATTTCCCCATATTAGTATACATCATAGATAACTTTTGTTTCACTTTATTCAAGATTCTTGATTTCGTTTCCTCAGGTAGTGTTGGGCAACTGGTTTCCTGTTTTAATTAATAAAAAGAAAATACAATTGCGTATATAACCCCAATCTCAATATACATGTAGGCTAAAGTTTCAACAATCTGATTCAAACACAGATTTCGTTTCGTTTTTTATAGTTCAAAATTTCATTTTACTTGTCTTTACTACACTAGGATCTGGAAGAGTTGTTATATTTACCGGCGTTCTGGTTGAAGTGAGTGATGGAGGTCGGGTGTTCTATCCCTGCATTGGCCGAGAAAGTTCATCCAGATTTTCCGACGTGGTTCCCCTTGTCAGTGATGCAGGACGGAGGGGCTGACAAGGGCAGCTGTCTAGTCGTTCGGATGGGGCGAAAAACCGAGGTCCCGTGTACACATTGGCGTGCACGTAAAAGATCCCTTGACAGTTGGAATTCGATATAAGAGTAGGCCGTAGTGCTGCTGTCCGGGCAAAATTTCCCTCAAAGCACACTGTATGGCGTTACCCGTCTTCATTAGCCTAGTTCGGAGCAGAACAGTAGGACGTTAAACCCCATTTCATTTTTGAAGTGAGTGATTAGCAAATAAAACGGACTGTTACGGCGAGTTGTTGGCGTGCGATGCACGGAACTGTGAGTAAACGACTAGAAACGTCAACGCTGATTCATTAATCAATGTCTGACGTCACAGCGTCAAAAGCCGCTCGTGCGACCCCTGACGCGACCTCCAAAAACAACTGGTCAGATTTTCATGTAGTTTAGGCCATCGAAAGTATAAAAAAACGAAACGAAATATAGATCTGTATTTTAATCAGATATTGACGTTTCAAACGTACAATAACTATTTCAGGTTACGTTGGAGAGAGAGAGAGAGAGAGAGAGAGAGAGAGAGGGGGGGGTAACGTCAACTCAACACAAACTAGATCATTTCGGGACTAACATAAGATTCAATTTTATTTCAACAATTCACTTGCGCGTAGGGGTCTTTAGCAGTGGAAGGAAACCAGAGGACCCGGAGAAAACCCACGAGGGTGGAAGGCGACCCTACTTCTTGTCGCGTACAAGCGGGGAATCGAAACCACACAAGTTGACTCAATGACAGACCGTATGAACGTTGGTGAGATAGCAATTAGTAATTGGTCCATTGTTCTGATTAGGTTCATCTCACCTGTGGCGATTAAATTGTTCGGGGGGCGGGGTGTTCATGCAAAATGAGGTGATATACTTAGGTAAATCATATAATAATAGTAAATTAGTAATTTTCAAAGAACGCAAATGTTTATAATTGTTAATTAAAAAATTAACAAAAAAACCCAGGGGGTATCCTGTTCCTGTATAGCGATTCTATTTTACCCGTAGTGATAATTTTTTCTTGCCACTAAGCTTTGATTTTCACGCCGTGCATCCGTTACATTAGGTAACAATAAAAGGGTTATCTTTTGTCTCTTAAAGATACATAATGGGAGATTAGGAGAAAATTGGTACACTTTTCAGCTAGGTTAACCCCCTGAGCTCCCTCTCTATAACACCCTACTGTTCTGCTCCCACAGTAATGAAGACGATGAAAATAAGAGGGTGTATGGACGGATGGATGGTTGGACCAGACAGACGTATAAATAACAAAATTGTCTATTTTCAAAAATCTTGTCTACGATATCACCCTTGGTGGAAGTGGACGTAAAACTCCAGGAAGGAATGAACGAACGAATTGTCAAAAATGTCTATTCAGGTTTTCAGGTCACCCGAAAAAATATATACCTTAATCTACCAGGTGCTAAACCTATTTTTACTTGTGGGGTATTATTTAGGTGGAGGGGGACTTCCTCAAATTACCAATCTAACAACATTACATACACCTTGATCTAACAGGTGCTAAATCTAATTACATACCAGGAACACGAGTCGCTTGTTTAAAACAGAATGTAATCCTGATTGGAAATGTCCCATTTCCATGAGAAACGACACAGCATCTAGGAACGATAAAATCTGAAAATATAAAGGATTGGGGTCATGACCAGTGTTGTACAGAAGTATTTTAAAGAGAGGGCATTTTTTATAGTTACTCCAGATAATTTGCAGGGGCTAATAATACCCGCATTTCGGTCATATTTTTCGATTCGATAATATGGGCATGTTTGGTATGACTGATTTACTAAAAGATTCAGCATTACAAAAATGGGGCACTTCTGGTATTTCGGAAGAGAAGTGTGTCTACTCCTGTTGAATATTTTTTAAATTTAGTAGCGGCACCCCGCCCTGTCTTTGTTGGCGTAGCTATTTTAACTTAGTAGCGACACCCCAGCCCTGTCTTTGTTGGACGTGACTATCTTAACTTAGTAGCGGCACCCCGCCCTGTCTTTGTTGGACGTGACTATCTTAACTTAGTAGCGGCACCCGCCCTGTCTTTGTTGGACGTGACTATCTTAACTTAGTAGCGGCACCCCGCCCTGTCTTTGTTGGACGTGACTATCTTAACTTAGTAGCGGCACCCCGCCCTGTCTTTGTTGGCGTAGCTATTTTTACTTAGTTGCGACACCCCGCCCTGTCTTTGTTGGCGTAGCTATTTTTACTTAGTTGCGACACCCCAGCCCTGTCTTTGTGGATGTGACTATTTTTTAAAAAAAACTTCAGTAAATCATTAAATGATTTCACCAAAATCATTATAAATTATTTAAAAACAAAAATTAACTTTAAAAAATAATTAAATTATCGATAATAAACGATACATTAGTTAAGAGTTTAATAAAGAGCTGGTTATTCTTGCTATAGTAATTTAAAAATAGATGATGAAAAAAGAAAATATTGAAAATTCCATTCAAATTACTTTATTCTGAGCCAAGTTATCACTGTTTGTAGTTCTGACAACATGTGTGCATGTAACCAGGGCATTGGTATATTCGGGACTTAACCTCGCTTTACCATTTTTAAATTAAATTGTTAAACGGCGAACCGCTCTAATCTAGTTAAAATCTCGAGTATCCAATGCCACCGAGAGTTGATTATGATCTGGATAATTTCATTAATGTCTAATTAATATTTTAGATATCATTTTAGGCCTAAAGAAATACCTGCAATAGGCAGATTTAACTCTTCCATAATGTGTTTAAATTAATGAGAAATATATATTAACTAAAATGAGGAAGCGTTCATCCCTTCTAGATTCTTTATAGGTTTTTTTTACTATCTAGCTCTGAAATACTTTTACACAATTCAGAAATCGCAACATGTATTCAATAATTATTGTTAAAGCAGTGAGTAACAGACTTACAACTATTTCCATGTTTTTTCCTGCTTCTTCAACCTTTTTATCAATAGCTTGGATATAAAGCTCCGCTATTTCATCACCACTGCAACCAACCCATCTCCATAAGGATAATAACTCGTATTCATTCAGTCTAAATAAAAATGATAAATGAAATTGATTTCATAAGATATTCAACAGCCTGGGCCTTGTTTCTCGAAATCTTAACTAAAGATAAAATCCACATTTTAGTAGATACTTCAATTTTGATTGGCTAAGCACTAAAATCAATCTTATATTTTCTAATCAAATTACTAAAATGTGGATTTTATCTTAATTAAAATTTCGTGAAACAGGCCCCTGGTTGTAGCAGAAAAACAATTCCTAGAATTACATGTATACTTATACAAGTGACAATTCTATGGAATAAAATTACTGCTTATTATTGAGCGACGTTTTGATTATATATTGTCCTGTTATATTTTCATATTTTATCATTGCTTGATAATAACTAGAGAAGTCTAGTCGAAACGTCGCTCAGTAGCAGTAATTGTATTCCATAAAATTGTGACCTGTATATTCCAGTTCATTTACAAATGCCATTGAAACAATTTTATTATTATTATTATTATTATTATTATTATTACGGCATATTTATAGTGCGCCCTTTCATATAAGATGTTTAGTTTACATGAATACTTACAGGAACATTCTACCAAATGTTGTGAGGTTGATGAGAGTATTGATGAGTCCTTGTTTATCGTTACACAAACGATACAACGCTGGTAGTTCATCCGTTGGTCTTTTAGTAATAGGGTGCAGGACATTGATGGATTTTGGGTACGCCTAAAATATGAACACGTCATCATTAATACTCCTCAGATCACCAATAAAATACAAATTCTTATTATTATTACACAATTGATGAAAGTTGTTATTTATTTAGGGAGCCGCGGTGGCTAAGTGGGTAAGACACTGGCCTAGAAGTCACGTGTTTCATCCATGCATTGGCCGAGAAAGTTTATTGGGATTTCCCAACGTGGTTTCCCCTTGTCAGTGGTGCAGGAAGGTTTAAGGATTGGGCGGTCCCGCGTATACATTGGCTTGCACGTAAAAGATCACCTGGCAGTTGGAATTCGATATAAGAGTAGGCCATAGTACCCCTGCCCGGGCATATTTTCCCTCATAGCACCCTGTATGGTGTACGCCCGTCTACATTAGCCCAGTCTGAGCTGAACAGTAGGACGTTAAACCCCATTTCATTTCATTTTTATTTATCTAGTAATGCAGAAAATTAAGAGAGAGAGAGAGAGAGAGAGAGAGAGTGTGTGTGTGTGTGTGGGGGTGTGTGTGTGTGTGTGTGTGTGCGTAACGTCCACTCGACACAAACTAGGTCATTTCGGGACAAACATATGGTTCAATTTTATTTCAATAATACGCTTAAGCGTAGAGGTCTTTAGCAGTGGGAGGAAACCGGAGGACCCGGAGAAAACCCATAAGGTTTGACAGGCGATCCAACTCCTTGTCACGTACAACCGGGGAATCGAAACCACGCCAGCTGACTTAATGACTTATTACTAACCATTCGCCCCCCCCCCCTCACAGGTACAGAACAATCCAGTGTTCTCATAGTCGTAAAGATTGCCATGTGAAATTATGTAAATTTCAAACGGCCATTTTCTCTTTCAGTACTAAACCCTTGGGAAAAAGAACAATTTATACAATAAATTATGAATCTTATCACAAAATATTAAACAATTTTATAGATTAGTTTGGTGAATTGATAGGTAATTTAATTAATAGGTAATTTAATTATCTATAAACTCATCTTGCAAATTATAACAATTAATACAGCATAATCCATTCATAAACACTCGCTAAAAATTATAAGAATTAATACATCATTATTCATTAATAAACACTCCCTAAAAATTATAAGGATTAATGGGGGAGCCACGGTGGCTAGGTGGGTAAGGCGCTGGCTCGCTAGCCTGGATGGAGGTCGGGTGTTCGATCCCTGCATTGGCCGAGAAAGTTCATCCCGATTTTCCGACGTGGTTTCTCCTTGTCAGTGATGCAGGACGGAGGGCCTGACAAGGACAGCTGTCTAGTCCTTCGGATGAGACGAAAAACCGAGGTCCCTTGTAAACATTGGAATGCACGTAAAAGATCCCTTGGCAGTTGGAATTCGATATAAGAGTAGGCGATAGTGCCGCTGCCCGGGCAAAATTTCCCTCATAGCACACTGTATGGCGTATGCCCGTCTTCATTAGCCCAGTATAGGAGCAGAACAGTAGGACGTTAAACCCCATTTCATTTCAGGATTAATGGGTCATTATTTATTTATTTATCTTATGCTTTCTATATTAAACGTTTATTGCATCATTTTTTATTTATTTATTCATCTTGTGCTTTCTATATTAAACGTTTAGAGTCTTTGATATACTTTTGAGTAAAACTATTTAATTCCGGGGCGGATCCAGGACTTTCAGAAAGGGGGAGGGGTCGTGCTGCCCCCACTTGGGAGTGCTAAGCCCGGCCCTCGGTGGACGGACTCACGGGCAATCAACAAAGTCACCAACCGGCCCGTTCGGAGTAAATTACCACGGGGATCACTACCATTTTTAAGTATTTTTGTTCTCCTTTCCCGCGAGAATATATGGGGCAAAAAAATTGTTCGCCACCGCAAAAAATGGATTCGCCCCAGTAATTGCTTTGATAGAAGCGACAAGCCGTGTAGAAATATTTCATGTAATTCAGTTAAGGGGATATTTTCAAGTTAAAGTCAGTTTATTAAAAACAAAGGGGCACATCGTTGACTACTATACTTCGAGCAGCTTAAAAAGAAATAATGATAGGAATTTTCGACAGCTATATAGTTGCATGTACATTCTCGATTTTAAATTTTATGTGAAGGGAAGAGATCGAAATTTAAACTGCTACATAGAGTGATAGAGCATGGCTAAATATATATATATATATTTTTTGTGTAAAACAACACATTTTATGAGAAAAGTGTCACGTTTGTGTGCTTTATCCTTTATCATCAGATGGTGGGATGGGATGGGATGGGCATTCAAAGCGCAAAATAATGATATAGAAATTTACGTGATATCACAATTAATGCTTTGCATCAATGAAATTGAATCACAATGTGAATTCATAGTAAAAATTGACGTAAATCAGATTGTTTGGATCTCTCTCTTTAAAAAGCTCGGTGTGTTTGTATGCCTACTTAATTTGGATGCGATGATGGCATCATGCATGCATTGTCAACTGTCAAATGTCCTTAACAAGAAAGACGCTAGCTCGCTAGCCTGGAGGTCGGGTGTTCGATCCCTGCATTAGCCGAGAAAGTTCATTCAGATTTTCCTGCGTGGTTCTCCCTTGTCAGTGATGCAGGACGGAGGGGCTGACAAGGAAAGCTGTCTAGTCGTTCGGATGGGACGAAAAACCGAGGTCCCGTGTACACATTGGCGTGCACGTAAAAGATCCCTTGGCAGTTGGAATTCGATATAAGAGTAGGCCGTAGTACCGCTGTCCGGGCAAAATTTCCCTCATAGCACACTGTATGGCGTATGCCCGTCTTCATTAGCCCAGGTTAGGAGCAGAACAGTAGGACGTTAAACTCCATTTCATTTCATTTCATTTTCCTTAACAAGAAACTGGCAAACCCCCTCCTGCAAAAATTCCTAGATCAGCCCTTCATGTATGGGTGTCGTTGGGATGTTAATATTGTTTACCTTAACTACAATTCGGGCTCTATGTAGGGGCGGTCTAATGAAGACGGGCGTGTCCTCTTATTCTTCCTCGAATTATTCAACAGGTACCTGGCAACCCCCTCCTGCAACAATTCCCGGATCTGTCCCTGAATATTGATAAAGTACACGGGACAGGTTCCGTGAATTATTTTCACTGTCTGGGTGGGATCAAGAGAGAAAGAGAGAGAGAAATGAGTTTAACGTCCTCTCGACACAAACTAGGTCATTTCGGGACTAACATATTATGCTTTAATCTTATTTCAATAATTCGCTTGCGCTTAGGGGTCTTTAGCAGCAGTGAGGACCCAGAGAAAACTCACGGGGTTGGACAGGCGACCCTTCTCCTTGTCACGTATGGTCGGGGAATCGAAACCACGCCAGTTGACTTAATGACAGACCTTATGACACAGTGCGCACACGCTAACTATTCGGCCATCAAATGAAACACTGCGAGGAGTATGGAACTGGGCCCTTATTCACGAAAACTTAAACTAAGATACAATCGAAATTTTAAGAAATACTGCAATTCGATTGGCTGACCAATATGCAAATTGGATATATGCAAATTGATTTTACTGGTCAGCCAATCGAATTGCAGTATTTCTTAAAATTTCGATTGTATCTTAGTTTAAGTTTTCGTGAATAAGGGCCCAGAGTTACTGGTAATTGTATATCTAAATAATATTTTTCAACAGCAGTTAAGGAAGTCATGTGCCATCGAGCTTGGGGTCATCTAAACTTAAAGATACATTATTGGAGATTCGGTAACGAGTTGGCAGTTCTCACTATAATAGTTAAAAACTAGATAATGCAAAGGGAATTTGGTGAAAATTTCAACCAAATTGATCCACTATGAACCGAGAACTAATCGACTGAAATTCCCATAAGCCTCGGTCATCATTACTAAAGTCAGTAGGATAAACAGCATAGTCTCGATTATCCATTTAATCGTTTAATCGAGAAGGAAAGTTATGCAGTAAATCGGCTTACAATCCACTAAAGATCGCAGGCTAGCGATGCCATCTAGAGTTGATTATGGTCTGGATAAGTTAATTAATGTCTAATTAATAATTTAGATAACATTTTAGACATAAAGAAAGACCTGCAATAGACAGATTTAGCTCTTGCATTATGTATGTTTAAACTTATTTCAAAGTAAACAATCTATATTTCGTTTCGTTTTTTTATACTTTCAATGGCCTTCACTATATTGAGTCCGCCATTGATATGACCGAACAAATGGTGGCTACGTTAAAATTTGAAACTTGTCAAAACAATGAAGTTAGCTTACTATTGATATCATAGCGCATGAATTACACATATGACCGAGCAAATGGTGGCTTCGTTAGATTACTATTTCTAGTGCCCTCTTTTAGGATTTATGCAAAAACTTATTGGTGATGCAAATACATACAACCCGTTTTTCATATTTTTATTTACTGTTATTCCACCGGCATTATTTTATATTTTGGAGTGGAAACTGTGAACAATTAAGTCAGTTTTCCGGAGGATGTTCACAGTTTTTAGTATGCAAGTGGCATTTTTTTTTATATTTTGGGGTGGAAGCTGTGAACAATTCTATCAGTTTTCCATAGGACTTTCACAGTTTTCAATCGAATTGAGTAATTACCCATTTTCACTAGGGATGGCTGGAATAAATAAATATTTTGGTTACATAATAAAAAAATAAGTATGGCTGCATCGTCATATAGGTTGGCGTGTGCCAAATTGCCAAAGCGTTGCTGCCAGAGTGAAACTTGATTAAAAGGTAGCTTAGTTTATTGCCACAGATTAAGGATTAAAACCAGAAACAAAATAAAACGATGTTAGAATCAGGGGCCATGACTATGGGCTCTGTGATGATTAGATATTCCGGTTGTCCAAAAAGGTTGTTTGTGCTTATAAATATTCACAAGAGCAAATATCACACTTTATTATTGTCATACAGGCCAAAACAAGTGTTTATGTGGTTATCCATGACGGTCAGTTACCATGAGCACCAAATAAGCCCAAATTTTCGGGAGCTGGCCCTAAAACTTTCACTCAATAACGGGGAATTTGGAAGTTGTAGAAAAATAAATTGTCATTGAAAATTGAGTATGGGTTAGTTTCTGTGGTTTTCGTTATACATGTACTGTAATTCATATTCTAATACTTACCTTTTGCAAACTATCAAAATACTTGATTAAAATTCCAAGATACTTTGTTCTGTGAAATAAAAAAAAATGAATTAAATCCAGGTTGATGAACTTAAAAATGACTAATAATAATTAGATAATTAGTGATCTAAATAAATAGAATTGCTAACTAAAAATGTCGCAGACTTCAAATGATTCTTCAATTCTTTAATATACCGGAACATACATTTACATATTATATCGTCACACATTAATGACAGGCCAGTTATTATCTAGTGACTGCCATCAATGTACACATTTCGTATATTTAAGGAAAATCAGATAATAGGATAAAAGTAAATGTTATAATTATAACTGACATGTCGATAGATGAACCATACATTAAGCAATATAATAAATCAACAAAAACAATAGATGGAATTAACGTCGTTACGCAACGACGACCTGAAAAGTGATGACGGGTTAACAACTTACTAGCTAATTGATCTTAAATCGGTTAATTTAAGAAACATTAATTATCTTAGCATTGACAGATTATCACACCATTGACTGCCTTTATTAGCGCCATTTTAACCGCATTTTTTATAAATAATATATTTGATAATTAATGATCGTATTCATTAGCTCCGGTTAGCAGCGTATTAACTTTATTTGTGTTGACAAGAACCTCTGGTTCAATCTGTTATATGATGCAATATAGCCAGCTGCATAGTCATAGGAGACAGTTCAGAGAAAGCAATGGGTGCCTTGGGTTAAGGCTAGAACCAGGGCCATGTGAGTTGGTTGAAATGGGAACCACGCCGGTCTCGAATCCAGCCAGAACGCCTGAGGTTAGCAGACTGAGGCCTGGCAGAGTCCAGACTGAGGCCAGCCGAGCTATGACCAGGGTTTTCTCAACACAAGTTAACTCTAAGGAGTAATTTAATTTTAAGGATTTTTTTGTATTTTATATGCCTACAAAATTAAAAGTATTATATGATGTTTAAACATCCAGAACCCATTCAATGAACCTAACATCTCTATCTCTCTGTCAAGCATATCAATTTTTGTCCTGGATCGATACTGCAATCAATGAGCTACTTATCGAATTAAGGACGTATTTTCGTGTAATCGTGATGAATCTCTCCCCCCCCCCCCTCTCTCTCTCTCTCTCTCTCTCTCTCTCACACACAGTAAATTGATATGTTGGAGTAGTTGATAGGGTGAAATAATTTACCTTATTTTACTGTTTTTAAGATATCTATCTGTCACAGCTGCCTCTAGTTCGTCTACGCCTAATCTTGAAACATAAAGTTAAAGATACTGCAGTCCTATTAATCATCACGTGACAGGAACTGGGAATTCAGGTCTCTTATAGTAAAAATAATATAACCATTTATATTTCGGTACATGTGCAACAAAAATAGGAGACACCATCCTTTCCGTCTATTTTTCCTCAAAGTTCATGTGCCATGTGTTTTCTCTGCGCGCTTGGAACTTGTACTGGGTTTTTCTTTCGCCCGTGTGAAGAATTAGGTATACACCTCTACACTCGGGGGGTTGGGTGGCCGAATGGTTAGCGGGTGCGCGTTGCATCATAAGGTCTGTCATTGAGTCAACTGGCGTGGTTTTGATTCCACGGTTGTACGTGACAAGGAGTAGGCTCACCTGTCCAACCTCGTGGGTTTTCTCCCACTGCTAAAGACTCCTACGCACAAGCAAATTGTTGAAATAAAATTGAACAATATGTTTGTTCCGAAATGACCTAGTTCTCTCTCTCTCTCTCTCTCTCTCTCTCTCTCTCTCTTTTTTACAACCCTTTGAGACTACATGTAGTTTATCGCTTACTGTAAAAGCCCCTCTTTTTCGACGATGAATTTTCTGACAGCAAAGTACAATGGTGACCAAATATGTGAGGGAATGTTGAGAATAGACATCAATTCTTGTTCTGATAAACCTTGATTACTTAAACATATACAGCATAGAACCTGATATTAAAAAAAATTAAATCATTTCATCGGCACTTAAAGATACATTATGGGAGATAAGATAAAGAGCTGGCAGTTCTCACTATAATAGTTAAAAACTAGATAATGTAAAGCCAATTTGCTGAAATATTTATTCAAATTGATCCACTATGAACCGAGAATTAAGCGATTGAAATTTCGGCCTAGCCTCGATCATCATTACTAAAGTCTGTACGTTAAAAAAAACATAGTCTCGATCATTCATTTCATGATTAAATTATGAATGGAAGTGGAGCAGCAAATAGGATCATAATCCAGTAAATATTGCAGGTTAGCGATGACATCGAGAGTTGATTATGGTCTGGATAAGTTAATTAATTTTCAATTAAAAATTTTGATAACATTTCAGACCTAAAGAAAGATCTACAATAGGCAGATTTAATTCTTGTATAATGTATGTTTAATAGTTTATATAACATTTCAGACCTAAAGAAAGACTTGCAATGGTAGATTTAGCTCTTTCATAATGTATGTTTTATTTAAAGAAATCTGACAAAATATAATCAATGGACTACAGAACAATTAACAATGAGAAATTGCTAAAAATACTGTTTCCTTAAAGGGACTGTGAAGTGTTTGGGATGGACATAAATTGATCTGCCATATCCGACCGTTTCCTAAAATAAGTGTCGTATTTTTGAAGGATGTGTATGCCTGATTTTCGCTATAAACTGAGTCCTTTAAATCGTTTAAGGTTATGTGTTTGTTTGACTAGCGATAAATGCCTTAAATACAGCGCTTTGGGCATGTGTAAATGGATGTATCATTAAGCGCATTATAAATATACATTATTGTTCAGTAGAAGAAAGACAATGCTATCATTTAATATCACCTTTTCAACTATGTTGCCTTGTTTTTTATCCTCGGCGAAATCTTCCTCTAATCTCATCAACAACTGTTCAAATAACTCTTTGGCGCTAAAATGCAAAACATAAGAAAACTGTTGATAAAATGCTGATGTTTTGAACCGTGTATAGAGATTACGTTCAATTCTAAAATAAAGGTGTGTTGCATTAGAATAAAATACAATGTCCCATCGAGCTTAAGGTCATCTAAACTTAAACTTATTTCAAAAAACACAACCTGATTAAAATACAGGACCGTTTCTCGAAATCTTAACTAAAGATAAAATTCAAATTTTAGTAGATACTTTAATTTTCATTGGCTAAGCACTAAAACCAATCTAATCAATCTATTACTAATAATTGGATTTTATCTTAGTTAAAATTTCGTGAAATAGACCCCAGATCTGTTCCAGATCCTAGTGTAGTAAAGACAAGTAAAACGAAACTATAAAAAAAAAGAAACGAAATAGGATCTGTGTTTAAATCAGATTCAATAAAATGTTTATATAAAAAAAAAACATTTAAAACATACTCTAAAAGAATAATTAATGTTAGCATTAAACGGTGCGCCAAATTTCGACAAAAGTGCTGTTCCCACATGGTCCTTACAACAACGTAGTCTCAACGTAGTTTTGCTTGACGGGTAATATAATTTGTATTTTTAGCCGTTAATAGATAACATTGTGTGATAATTACCCCAAAGACCTGAAATTATGCAGATGTCGCTTGGCCATAACAAGTAATTAAAAACAGCTAACCATATTACCATACAAACTTATTAAAAACAGCTAACCATATTGTCAATGATCTTCATGGGGGTCATTGTGGCTAAGTGGGTAAGACGCTGGCTCGCTAGTCTGGAGGTCGGGTGTTCGATCCCTGCAATGGCCGACAAAGTTCATCCAGATTTTCCGGCGTGGTCCCCCCATGTCAGTGATGCAGGGTGGAGGGCCTGGCAAGGACAGCTGTCTAGTCGTTCGGCCATTGACGTGCACGTAAAAGTATACCTTGACAGTTGGAATCCGGGCAAAATTTCCCTCATAGCACATTGTATGGCGTATGTCCGTCTTCATTAGCCCACTCGTAGCAGAACAGTAGGACGTTAAACCCCATTGCATTTCTATGATCTTTACGATGTCAAATGGTTTTGTTTTTTGGGGGGTTTTTTTTGGTTTTTTTTGTTTCCTACCTTTTAGCTTTTAACAGGGAGTCAATCTTTGAATCTAATTTTCGAAACTCTCCAAAAACACAAAGTTCCTGAATAGAAAAAAAAACCATATGAATACCCAGTTAATTTCCATATAACAACTCCTGGTGTCGTGTCGCAGGATAGCGCTGCAAGCAACATGTCTGGTCCTGCAAGATCTTGTCAGACTGTGTAATACCCCCGTCAGACCGGGGTGGCTTCCTTATACCCCCGCCAGACCGGGGTGCCGTCCTTACTGCGACGCTACGGCGACCTTGTGCATTTTCTGGTCACCGTACGGTCGCAGCAGCGCAGTAAAGACGCCACCCCGGTCTGATGGGGGTTTAACAGGGGAAAGTGTGACGTTGCTGATTTCTGAGCTGTTGTCCAGGATAGCCTGTGGTTGTTTCGTTTTTCATAACGTAAATTTCGTTTAAAAACAAGGGGGATTGGATTGCCGAATGGTTACACAAGGTCTGCCATTGAGTCACCTGGCGTGGTTTCGATTCTCCAGTTGTACGTGACAAGGAGTAGGTTTTCTCCGGGTCCCCTGATTTCTTCCCACTGTTTATATTAGCACCATTTTAACCGAATTTTATATGAACAATATATTTGATAATTAATGAGCTTAAATAGCTTATTCATTAGCTACTATTAGCACCGGTTTCCTCCTACTGATAAAGACCCTTAAGCGGAAGCGAATTATTGAAATAAAATTGAACCATGTTAGTCCCGAAATGATCTAGTTTGTGTCGAGCGGACGATAAACCCCATTTATTTCTCTATATATATATATCTCTCTCTCTCTCCGTTTAAAAACAAACAAACAGTTGGTTCTATTTTACGTCCGCTTCCACCGAGGTGATATCGCAGATTGTTCAGTTGAGTTTTATGTGAGGGGTTTCCGGACACCGGGGGTTCTATTTTTATGTGAAGGGTGGCCGAAATTCTCTTTTTAATTAAGGCTTCCAGATTTCCCGGCGTTGTTCCCCCTTGTCAGTGATGCAGGACAGGGGGCCTGACAAGGACAGCTGTCTAGTCGTTCGGATGGGACGGAAAACCGAGGTCCTGTGTACACATTGGCGTGCACGTAAAGATCCCTTGACAGTTGGAATTCGATATAAGAGTAGACCATAGTGCCGCTGTCCGGGCACAATTTCCCTCAAAGAACACTGTATGGCGTCATAGCCCAGTTCGGAGCAAGCGTACGTGTCTTAATACAAAACAATAGATTTTTTTGTCAATAGCGGCCAAAAGATATGTAATAGATTCGCATATCGTACTCATCATATCCAAAAATTAATTGATTTCATTTAAGAATGTAAGTTGAAGATTTGCTTAGTGTTTGATCACATACCATTAATAGTGTTTTCAGAAATATTGGTACTCTTGACTGTGGACAGGACACGATCTTCTGTACCTGACTGTCCTTTAATCCCTTGCCATGTTTCTGTAATGTTTGCTGAAACAAAAGAAAATTTGTCCCTGAATCAATATCTTAGTGTTTGCTGAAACAAAAGAAAATATTTGTCCCTGAATCAATATCTTAGTGTTTGCTCAAACAAACGAAAATTTGTCCCTGAATTAATTTGTCCCTGAATCAATATCTTAGTGTTTGCTCAAACAAACGAAAATTTGTCCCTGAATTAATATCTTAATGTTTGCTGAGACAAAAGAAAATTTGTCCCTGAATCAATATCTTAATGTTTGCTCAAACAAAAGAAAATTTGTCTCTGAATTAATATCTTAATGGGGAATCACTGATTTCACCAAGCAAAGAAATGCAACTCGTGTTTAAAATAACTTTAAAGGAGATACCCCATCGGTGTATATACATCAGCAAACGATAGATAATTGTGATAGCGTTATCCTTATTTAAAACACAACTCTATTTGTGAGGTCATGTACGCAATTTTTAAACGGACACGAGGAGAAAGCTAGTAGCTGCCATTTTTATCTCTCCATTACTAATATATGTATAATTATGTGGAATACTTGAAACCCGTTATAAATGTGCACGAATCTTAACTGGTTAGACAAACTGATTAAAATACAGATCGTTTTTATATATATATGTATACTTTCATTGGCCTTCAGGTGCCCTTATGACGTCAGACATTGATTAATCAATCAGCGTTAACGTTTTTAGTGGTTTACCCAAAGTTCCGTGCACTTCACGCCGTAACAGACCGTTTCATTGGCTAATACCTCACATCAACCAGGGAGGTGGATGGCTGAATGGTTAGCGTGCGCGCGCTGTATCATAAAGTCTGTCATTGATTCAACTGGCGTGGTTTCGAATCCCCGATTGTACGTGACAAGGAGTAGGGTCGCCTGTCCTGCCTCGTGGGTTTTCTCCGGGTCCTCCGGTTTCCTCCCACTGCTAAAGACCTCTATGCGCAAGCGAATTATTGAAATAAAATTAAACCATATGTTAGTCCCGAAATGACCTAGTTTGTGTCGAGTGGACGTTAAACCCCATTTCTCTCTCTCTCTCTCTCTCTCTCTCTCTCTCACACACACATCAACCAGACCGCGGGTTATATAACAACTTGTTATTATATAATAACAAGTGTAGTAAAGACAAGTAAAACGAAATTTTGAACTATAAAAAACGAAACGAAATAGGATCTGTGGTTTAATCAGATTGCTGGTTAAACTGATCCGTGTCTCAAATTTTGAATATAATCTAATTTTAGATCAGATCGCATCGAACCCAAAAATCCCCAGTTTTTGCCGAAAAGCGAAGATCACTACCACACCGCTAGTGATTTATTTGAGTAACAATGGTTCTTTTGTAGTTTTTGCCTAATAAAACGTTACAAATGAGACCTGTTATGATATGGTGGAGGGCCTGACAAGGACAGCTGACTAGTCGTTCGGATGGGACGAAAAATCGAGGCCCCCTGTACACATTGACGTGCATGTAAAAGATCCCTTAGCAGTTGGAATTCGATATAAGAGTAGGCCACAGTGCCGCTGTCCGGGCACAATTTCCCTCATAGCACACTGTATGGCGTCATAGCCCAGTTCGGAGCAGAAAAGTAGGACGTGAAACACCATTTCATTTCATTTCATTTCATTTCATTTATGACATGGTGGGAGTAGGTTCGCGGTCGAGAATTTGCAATTGACTCAACCCCATTATAGCTTCGACAGAGAGATGGCCAACTAGGTCATTTTGGGCAGATATATATGAAATGTATATTCCCTGATTCTAAAGGAGGATGAATCTGTGGAAAAGGCAAAGGGTTAGGCAGATGGTCCTACTCCTTGTCACGTCAAAGCCTTGGATCAAAGCCACATACTTTATGACAGTGTCGTACAGACGTTTGGTGATGACCGGTGCCAATTCCTTGGCTGCATGCTCCCATAACTCATACATAGGACCCACAAACAGCGATGGTTTCAAATTAAAACAACTGAATTTTAATATCGCTGAAGTGGATGCCCATCGCTCTCCCCCAACCTTTATGCACGACACTGCTTTATGATCTAAAGCGCCCACCTGAGACCACTCAGCCACCCAACACACCTATTTTGACATTGGCATATTGCAGCATAGAGAGATTACTTACCATACAAAGTTCCATTCTGTGTTTTTTATCAAAAGGCTGTAATTCAAATACGTCATAGTGTCTATCTTTTAATTCTTGTATTACGTCACCATTTTCTGATGCACACGATACAATGACGCTAACATTGGGAGGGAATGTACTTGGCCACCAATATAAAAGCTAGAAATAAATTAAACATACATTATGCAAGAGCTAAATATGTCTATTGCAGGTCTTTCTTTAGGCCTGAAATGTTATCTAAATTATTAATTAGACATTAATTAACCTATCCAGACCATAATCAACACTAGATGGCATCGCTAGCCTGCGATCTTTAGTGGATTACGAGCCGATTTACTGCATAACTTTCCTTTACGATTTAACGATTAAATGGATAATCGAGACTATGCTGTTTATCGTACTGACTTTAGTAATGATGATCAAGGCTAGCCGGAAATTTCAACCGCTTAGTTCTCGGTTCTTAGTGGATCAATTTGAATGAAATTTTCAGCAAATTGCCTTTACATTATCTAGTTTTTAACTATTATAGTGAGAACTGCCAGCTCGTTATCGAATCTCCCATAATGTATCTTTAAGGATTATAAAAATTTAATGCTAATAACAACATTCAATGCGGCATATAGACAACTTTACCTGAAATTAACACAAATTGATTAATGGATAAATGGTTATCATGACAAAAACATAGCCTATAAATCTGATCCAAAATGATTTCCTCTGAAACATTAGCCTAGGTGAGTGCTATATCGTCGTCCTCGTTATACGGAAAGGGGCGGGGACTTATCGTTGGTCTTCGGGTTCTGAATACTAAGGTATCAGCTAGAGATAAATTTAGGAGCGAGAGAGAGAGAGAGAGAGGGGAGAGGGGGAGGGAGGGAGGGAGAGAGGGAGAGAGAGAGAGAGAGAGAGGGGAGAGGGGGGAGGGAGGGAGAGAGAGAGAGAGAGAGGGGAGAGAGAGAGAGTGAGAGAGAGAGAGAGAGAGAGAGAGATGGGGAGGGAGGGAGGGAGGGAGAGAGAGAGAGAGAGGGGAGAGGGGGAGGGAGGGAGGGAGAGAGAGAGAGAGAGAGGGGAGAGAGAGAGAGAGAGAGAGAGATGGGGAGGGAGGGAGGGAGAGAGAGAGAGAGAGGAGAGAGGGGAGAGGGGGAGGGAGGGAGGGAGAGAGAGAGAGAGAGAGAGAGAGGGGAGAGGGGGAGGGAGGGAGGGAGAGAGAGAGAGAGAGGGGAGAGAGAGAGAGAGAGATGGGGAGGGAGGGAGGGAGGGAGAGAGAGAGAGGGGGGAGAGAGAGTGAGAGAGAGAGAGAGAGAGAGAGAGAGAGGGTTTAACGTCCACTCGACACAAACCAGGACACTTCGGGACCAACACATGGTTCAATTTTATTTCAATAATTCGCTTGCGCGTAGGGGTCTTTAGCAGGGACCAGGAGAAAACCCACGAGGTTGGACAGGCGATGCTACTCCTTGTCACGTACAACTGGGGAATCGAAACCCCACCAGTTGACTCAATGACAGACCGTATTATACAGCGCGCGCACGTGCTAATCATTCGGCCATCCAACCCCCTAAATTTAGGAGCATACCAGACCCTAACCCTATTCTGCAATAATGAATATGTAAACGTATGGATGTAAGGGGATAAGGTGGTGCCCCCTTAACAGCAAGTAAGCGCCCCTTAAGTTCACAAAAATCAATAACGATCATAATATGACATGAACTTCGTGGCAACTTGAATAAAACTGCTTTTCGGTGAGATGACGATCGGCAGCACGTATCGAACAGCTTTCATACGTAAAAGCTCCATATAACATCGTAGTCTTTTTACCGTATGTTTTGCTTCTTTTAGACGCTGAAATATTGTGCCGTAAAGTTTTTATGAATATGTGTATATTTGACGTGATTTTAACCATGGCAAAGGCTGGAATTTAGTCATTACTTTTGATGAGCTTTTCGCGGAATTTTCATATTTTTCCTGCCTGTCAGCACGCTGGTTGAACCACGTGCTAAATTTAGGGAGGTGGGACCTTGCAAATCTGTAAAAGGGGTATACACTTTCTGTAATGATTCGACACTATTTTTAACAATTTATTTTAAATAACTCAGCGACTGTCGAACGACTTCATTCCCTTCAGGAATTTGTAGGCTAGGTACTTGACTAGTACTGATGTTGATCTTGGTAGATAACTGCCATTATGCTGTAATATAACTACGCTCAGCTCAGCTACCCATACGTACGCGGCGCGAAAATCTGTCAAAATTCTAAAACTAAATTAACGCAACGTATCACGTGACGATACGGATACGTTATACGGATGGGGAAAATTCCACTTGCCAAAAGAGCCTATTGTCTATAAGTTTTACCTTAGCTGTTTTCGATTCGTTCTCTATCAGCTCTATAGCGTCTACCACCAAAACAACTCGCTTCTTCTTACTTAGCTCTTCTAACTTCGCCATAAATTTCCTCATCAGATCTTTTATGTCTTCAGTTTCCTTTTTACTAGTGAGTAAATCCTCCATGGTCATTCCCTTTAATTGGTTCGGGTCTAAATAGTGATCCAATTCCAAGGAAAGGCGCTTCAATACACCAGATATGACTATAATAATAAAATTCCTACGGTAAAACTTTGAAGGATAATTATAGGTCATGATCTTAGAGATAATTAACAAATCTTTATAGATACCTACTTTCGATAAAAGTCATTTTAAAGTAGCTAAGTCTTTTAACTCAATATCATCCAACCCCACATTAAAATAGCTAAGTCTTTAACTCAATATCATCCATACTGCATAACAAAATTCTAGACGCCACGCTAAATTAAATATTGGATACATGATTTCACTGCTGGAGCCAAAACTAAGAAAATAAACACATTTGACGAATCGTGTACCATAATGGGTTTCAGCGCCATTTGTAACAAGGGACTTGAAAAACATGACTAGACATATTCTACAAGTCATGTCAAACGCTGACGTCATATTTTTATCTGGAGAGCATGCGCAAAAAATACTATCGGGGTAGACTGGAATAACCAGACGCTAGAGATTGCCATTCGATTGTGACTTTTGGCGTATTTCGCAGAACATAACTGATTGAAATTAGAGTAAAATCAGAAACGATTGAAAGTAAATCAGTTTATATACATTCATGTTATATTATTATATGCGTTGCCACCCATTTGTGTCAATTTCTAGGTCCCAAATATTAGCGATTTGGCTCCATTAAATACAGGCTAACAGGCAGCTTATAGTTTGTTTGTTTTTACAAAAACTCGTCCCTGAACACATACTGTCTAATACTTTGTAGAGTCATGATTTCCTAGATACGTTGTACACTTATTAATAGAAAGAATATATATATTGTAAACCATATAGAAGCGTCTATTTAACTTAGATGGGGCATTAAAACAAAATACAAAAGTACGGTAGATGCAATATTTGTTCTCCAAGCATTTATTAATCGATCCCTAAAAATAAAAAACGTTTATACCGCTGCTTCGTGGATTACAGTAAAAACGTGAGAGAGAAATGGGGTTTAACGTCCACTCGACACATACGACTAGGTGATTTCGGGACTAACATATGGTTCAATTTTATTTCAATAATTCTCTTGAGCGTGGGGGTCTTTAGCAATGGGAGGAAACCGGAGGGCCCGGAGAAAACCCACGAGGTTGGGCAGGCGACCCTACTCTTTGACGCGTGCAACCGGGGAATCGAAACCATGCCAGTTGACTCAATGACAGACCTTATGATACAGCGCGCACGCGCAGACCCTTCGGCCATCCAACCCCTAGAATTTATAACATAAACTATATGAAAACTTTATTTTAACATGACATACCCATACTATCGTCACCGCATCCAACAAAGTGGTAAATATAAAAGGCTTTATTTGATTGGTTAATTTGAAGATTTGAGATCCAATGACTCAATAGAGAGGATTTCCCACTTCCGCTTGGGCCACCAACTAATAACTTTTTATTGGTTCCTGAAAGAAAATATGAAATGAAATGAAATGAAATGGGGTTTGACGTCCTACTCCTACTGTTCTGAAAGGAAATGAAATGAAATGGGGTTTAGAGTCCTCTGTACTGCTCCTATACTGGGCTATAAATGAAAACGGGCATACGCCATACAATGTGGTATGAGGGGAATTTTTCCCGGGCAGCGGCACTATGTCCTTCTCTTATTTTGAATTCCTTTACATGCACGCCAATGTGTACACGGGACCTCGGTTTTTCGTCCCATCCGAACGACTAGACAGTTGTCCTTGTCAGGCCCTCCGTCCTGCATCACTGACAAGGGGGAACCACGCCGGAAAATCTGGATGAACTGTCTTGGCCAATGCAGGGATGGAACACCCGACCTCCAGGCTAGCGAGCCAGCGTCTTACCCACTTAGCCACCGTGACCCCCTGAAAGAAAATACTATTTAGAGAAGATATTTAAAATGCAAGTTTCAGTAGTCTAATAAAAATACCTACCTGGATCAACTTTTAGAAAAATTATATGTAGCCCCGTTTAATTGCTACCTACCCTTAAACTGGCATTATGTAAGAGCTAAATCTACCTATTGCAGGTATTTCTTCGAGCGTTAAATGTTATATAAACTATTAAACATACATTATACAAGAGCTAAATATGCCTATTGCAGGTCTTTATGTAGGCCTAAAATGTTATATAAACTATTAATTAGACATTTATTAACATGACAATACGGTAATCAACTCTCGATGCCATCGTATGGGTCCGTTTTTATGTAGATACGAACGGCTCGGCCATTTAATGATTTAATTTAAAATATTGTAGTTACAATCAATGTACTCATCTTTTTAAAAAACCTTCATGTGCTAATATCTTGGCCCAGAATAAAGCAATTTGAACGAAATTTCAATATATTCTTTTTGAATAATCCATTTTTGAACTGTTATATCAAAAACGACCAGCTCTTTATTTAAATCTTACATTTAGTCCTAGTGTTCTGCTCTTAACTTGGCTAATGAAGACGAGTTAAATCTTACATAAAGCTTCTTTGATTTAAGAATGCGTTACACCAGTTCAACCATATCTTGCGCGTAGGGGTCTTTAGCAGTGTGGAGAAACCGTAGGACCCGAAGAAAACCCACGAGGTTGGACAGACGACCCTACTCCTTGTCATGTTCAACCGGGGAATCGAAACCACGCCAGTTGATTCAATGACAGACCTTATGATACTAACAATTCGGCCATCCAACATCCCTAATTTAAGAATGTGTTACACCAGTGCAACCATATCTTTCAATATGGCACTGAAGCTTAAAAATCGCGATTTTCCTGTAGTAAATCAATTCTATTTGTTTATTTTGTTGTAATATGTTGATCTTAGTAGCTGGCATCAATCTCTATACATTAGGTGGATTGTCTCCCTTAAACTAGTGTCTATCTGAAAACAGCTTAACAAATATTCCTACGCCGCCGCCCACGAATGAATTTACTTCCAGTTTGTGTACCTCAAGTTTTCCATGGTGAACCTCATACGTGCTTTTGAGCAAGAAGTTGCCACATGTTGCTCAATCTGTGGTAGAAAGCGTTCTACCCAATGAACATTTTGGGAAAATTTAGAACCGGTCTAAGAGACGGGAATGAACATTTAAGTTCATGGGGAAAACATCAGTGATCTGTGGCCAACTGGAACGACGTCCGTTATCAAATGATTAATAGAGCTAATCCATTGGATAGTTCTGTTAGTTTCTTCTGTATCGCTTATTATTTGTAAGCTCCATTGGGCCAATAGTTTTCCCATATGGGCAAGGAAAGGTTTGTTTACCTACTAACTCTAGCTTTTCAACAGACTATTCTTGGGTAGAATAATCTTAAAATATATCTGCCATTACAATTGCAATAAATGGCAAGAAGAAAACTATAAACTTTAAATAAATACCTGACAGGGTGCTTTTTAACATTGTTTCATTTCTGCCATCTGATACGTAGTTCAAACTATGATGCGACATAAAGGCGTCGTGTTGAGAAATTTGAAGGTCACGTTGAGACAATTCATGAGTTGCAGCTAAAAGTTCTGTTTCGATGTACTTTTTCACAACTTCAAATATTTTGGTAACACCCTGTCAAAACATGGTAAAATTTGTGTATTTCTTTTAACATCATTTACCTTGGCAAATTAGCTAAAATCGGGATTAAAGAATTTTTTATTATCACTGTGGATTTGAGGTTTTTGTACAGTATAAGGGTCAAAAACAAACATTTTGTTTTACATATTATTCAGATTCCATGTAACGTCTGGAATACTTACCTCAGACAAGGACCGCTGTCTAGTCATTTGGATGAGACGAACAACAGCGGTCTCGTGTATACATTGGCGTGCACGTAAAAGATTCCTTGGCAGTTGGAATTCAATATAAGTGTAGCCCATATTGCCGCTGCCCGGGCAAAATTTCCCTCATAGCACACTGTATGGCGCATGTTCGTCTTCATTAGCCCAGCATATGAGCAGAAGAGTAGGACGTTAAACCCCATTTCATTTCATTTCACTTACCTCAGAAGGTGTTTTATAATCTTCAATAACAGCTAAACACTTTAATAAAAAAAAAGACAGAATTCTAGTTGTTAATGATTTTTCTCGTTCTAGAAAAAACACACTGGGTCATAGAAAGGTATGGTAAAGTGTTGGACCCAACTTCATTTTTATTTCCTTTATTGTCCCAAGCACATTAAAGGGACAATAACACTCTTGCTGGCTTGACGGCTCCAGAAAATAAATAATAGCCTTATTCTAAGTATTAGATGTTTAAGTGTCCTACCTGTTGTGTAAATTTTCCATTACATCCTATTTTACTTGGCCAGAGGGTTTGAAAATATTTTTAAATCCAAGTCACATTTGAAAGGGTTTACGTTAGGCTTTTCAAATGATTTAGTTGACTTTTTCCAATTTTTTTTAATTAGGTGTGTTAAGATGAAATTTGTATCACCATTTAATTGGAATATTGTAAAATAGTACAATTTGTTGACCAGAATAAAGATTGGGACATATTATTCAGTTACAACAAGAGTGGTATTGAGCCTTTAACATTAGAACCTGATCTCAGGACATGTCTAGTGGACAATAAAACAGGAAGTGTTTATCTCCTAAGTAGATATCACTTGTGTGATAACTTTCAAATTCTACTGAGCGATATCTCCTAACAGATATCGCTTTACATGAATTTGATTTTACCCGAAGGTTATAGTTATTTATTTATGCGTGTAAGAAAGGGTGATAAAGAAAATATTTTATTCTTTGATAAATTAAAAACAAAACTTGGCAAAGTCACGTGCTGCTTTTTTACATTATCGACTTGTGTTGATATTTTCTCTGTATCTCATTCCTCTCATGCCACGACAAAAAAAGACTCGCAGGAGATTCTCTGTATCTCATTCACCTCATGCCACGACAAAAAGACTCGTAGGAGATTCTCTGTATCTCATCCCTCTCATGCCACGACAAAAAGACTCGTAGGAGATTCTCTGTATCTCATTTCTCTCATGCCACGACAAAAAAAGACTCTTATGAGATTTTCTGTATCTCATCCCTCTCATGCCACGACAAAAAGACTCGTAGGAGATTCTCTGTATCTCATCCCTCTCATGCCACGACAAAAAGACTCGTAGGAGATTCTCTGTATCTCATCCCTCTCATGCCACGACAAAAAAAGACTCGCAGGAGATTATCTGTATCTCATTCACCTCATGCCACGACAAAAAGACTCGTAGGAGATTCTCTGTATCTCATTCCTCTCATGCCACGACAAAAAATTCATAGATAACTTGTACTGCTTACTTTGTCTCTGGTCCCCACCACTCTTGTTTTCACACGCTCTAAAGCAATTGCTGCTTCGTTACTCTCTGAAACATATTTAGCGGCTTCTTTCGGATCTTTTGATTTTATTAATGCTTTTTTCTTGGCTTCGTCATATTCCTAAAATGAAAAACAAATTGTACTTTAATCATTCATTTGATCTGAATTGTCTTCGATACCTAACTTAGGTTGTTTAAAGGGTTTCGAATCCCCGGTTGTACGTGACAAGGAGTAGGGTCGCCTGTCCAGCCTCGTGGGTTTTCTCCGGGTCCTCCGGTTTCCTCTCACTGCTAAAGACCCCTACGCGCAAGCGAATTATGTAAATAAAATTAAACCATGTGTTAGTCCCGAAATGACCCAGTTTGTGTCGAGTGGACGTTAAACCCCATTTCTCTCTCTATAGGTTGTTTAAAGACTAACACAGGTTAGATTATTATTCTAATTATTATCAATGTCAAGACAATGACAGAAATGAAATTAAAATGTTCTGCTCAGACTGGTCTAATGAAGACGCGCATAGGCCAGTCGCCATACAGTGTGATATGAGGGAAATTTTGCCCGGGCAGCGGTACTATGGCCTACTCTTATATCGAACTCCAACCGTCAAGGGATCTTTTACGTGCACGACAAGGTATACATAGGACCTTGGGTTTTCGTCTCATCCGAATGACTAGACAGCTGTCCTTGCCAGGCCCTCCGTTCTGCACCACTGAAAAGGGGAAACCACGTCGGAAAAACCCTATAAACTTTCTCGGCCAATGCAGGGATCGAAAACGCGACATCCGGGCTAACGAGCCAGCGTCTTACCCACTTAGCCACCGTGGCTCCCAGACAAAGACAGATTCAACAAGAAAACAATGAACAGATTTTCTCACCTTGCTTCTGAATGCGAAACATGCCGGTAAATCCCCTGGTTTGTTCAGATGACCATGTAAGTATTCCAATGCTGTAACACTCTGATGTCGTTCGCTTTCCAACCAGGAATAATGTTTACTTGCATTATCGATATTTCTCTGTAAATCCTTGTCCTTCTCGCCGTGCCATCCATATCGCTGTTATAATAAACAAGACATAACAAGAAGTGGCACTTATACAAATCAAGCACAGTCAAACCTGAATAGTGGTTCAGCCAGACATCGGTAATCACATTTGGTGAACATTTCCCACGATATATCTCACTATTTTTGAAAAAAATGTGGTGATATTGGAGTGGTATTAGGGTGGTATTCGGGTGGTATTGGGTAGTATTGGATAGTATTGGGTAAATCGCGCCGCTAAATTTTTCGTCATAGGTCACGAGATGTAATCAGGGCCAGCGCTTATTCCAACCCTAACCCTGGACCTAGCCCCAATGCTTACCTAATCCCCAACCTACGATCTCGCTAACAATCACGTGTCCTAACCTTATTTGTATCTCAACGACCTTGACAAAAATTGAGCTGGTCTTAACAAATAGATTTAGCCGTGGTTCAGCGGACAATTCCGCAAAATCGAATGAGACAGTGAGTGTGCTTACCACATGAGACAAATACCCTAATGGAAATGGTCCAGGGTGTTCACGAAAGGTTAATCATACTCTGCCCCCCCCCCCCCCGACCAGCACGACACCCGTCATTGCCGCGGTGGTAAATAAGAAACCGATTATGATAAAAGAAAAAAGAAGGAAACATTAGATTAGGACAAACATATCAGCAGACTCCAACATGTTATAATTTCAACAGATTCGTAATGGCGACCATACAGTTTGTTGGATATTCTCCGACGAATCTGATATGAGAATTATGCGTTTGAAATTTGTTGTTAAGGGTGATTGTCATATAATACCGAGGGTATGTTATTTACAATATTACAAATTAAACAGGCGAAATTACATCCCAAAGTTGGGGAAACACAGAAGCTGGCTCGCTAGCCTGGAGATCGAGTGTTCCATCCCTGCATTGGCCGAGAAAGTTCATCGGAATTTTCCTACATGGTTTCGCCTTGTCAGTGATGCAAAACGGAGGGCCTGGCTGTCTAGTCGTTCGAGTGGTACTATAAAAACCAAGGATTCGTGTATACATCGGCGTGCTCGTAACAATTCCCTTGGCAGTTGGAATCCGATATAAGAGTAGGCCGTAGTGCCGCTGCCCGGGCAAAATTTCCCTCATAGCACACTGTATGGCGTATGCCCGTTTTCATTAGCCCAGTTTAGGATCAGAACAGTTGGACGTTAAACCCCATTTCATTTCATTTCATTTCGCCTTGTGGTGTTCGCGCATGAATGCACGTTAATGTAATAACTGAACTTGAATTATAACCGCCTGATTCGTCTTACCTGCGCATAGATGCCAATAAATACATCACTTCTGTCAATCTCCCTCAAACATATGTTCACCGTTTGTGCATTCTCCGTGGCTTCTTCGGTGATACCCCATCTCATGTCAATAACAACCAATGCAACTCCATGAGACCGACAAAGATGGTCCAGCTCAGGGACATATTTACTCATCCATTCTTTTCTCTCTGGTTCCATTCCTCGGAACGGGGACGACAGAAAAATACGGCATGTCTTTGGGTCCTTTAGTGTGTATTTCGGCATTTCTAGAAAGGGATACAAAAAAGGTATTCTTACCAATGTCTTACTGTACCCCCGTACTATTGACGAGGAACTATGACGTCATCGCGAGCACCTTGGTATTGTGACGTCATAAGAAACATGCATGTCAAGTTTTATCTCCGTACTCGAACTGAGGGGAAACTGTAGAAGTTTTCAAAGAAGCGTCGACCCCATGCAAGAAAATGACGAGTAGTGCTTGGGGACCAGTTCATGACCCCAAAACATTAGTAGAAGCGATGTAAGTAAATATCTACATATGTATTTGTCAGTGTTTTTATAAAAACAAAATACATAGATTGAATAAAATACATGGAACATTACCCCCCCCCCCCCCAATTTATATAGGTTGGTGTCACATAATATTAAAATACACACATCCTGTGAATGATTAATTTCAATTTTTATTTTTGTGATTATAATTACATTGATTTTGACACCATTGTGACAGGGTGAAGGGTGTTTCCCACGACGCCAACTTTTAGCTTCTGTTTAAAACAATTCAATTAACCTTAATTGGATACGTAGCTTATTTCATTCACAGGGTCGACCCACAACATAAACTGCTACGCTTGACATTTAATTAATCACGATTACATGATAATACGTCCATAACAGAAACTTAAACTAATAACACATTATTTATGGATAACAATTACTATGGTTTATTTCACTGCGACGTTTCAACAGCTTAAGTAGCTTATTTCGTTTATAGTATTAATTAACAGTTTTCATCACGATTACTCCTTGTCACATACAACGGGGGAATCGAAACCACGCAGGTTGACTCAATGACAGGCCTTATGATACAACGCACAAGCGCTAACCATTCGGCCATCCAAGATAGCAAGATCTAACAAACTGAAATTCGGGGTTTATGGCCGATTAAATATACAAAATACATACAAATGATAATCATTTTGGTTTACAGCTAATTAATTGGTCAATTTAAATCTACAATTTTATCATGATATATAAAACTGGCCTTTTTCGATAAGTTTTACCGTAGATCTTATATTTATTACTACTAAAACACAATTTTATGACAATATTCAAGTGTAAAATGCGAATATAGACTTTCTTTGGTCAAAAATCATCAATACTTGTAATAATATTAGTTATATCTCTATCAGATACGATTGGTATAGTATAAAAGTAAATAAATAAATGGGGTATAATGTAAATCATTCTAATCTCAATAGACCTCGTCAATTTGTTGACAATCTATTGAGCAAAAGACATAGAAATAATTATGTTTTGACTTTCTTAGAAAATATGAAATTGTAACTTTAAAACAAATTTTGTGGATTCAACTATATCTAGTTGGATAGTGGGGGGAGAAAAGGGGGGCCAACCCACCAATACAATTCTATCATTTATATTTTAAAATAAAAAAATTAAATTTACAAAATATATATAAGTTGAAACAAATAGATGTAATTAGAATTTTCCCGATTTTGTTTTCATTATATTTTTTGATAATTTATATTTTAAATATATTGTCTGGTGTCTAAGGGGGGGGGGGCACTTCCTCAGGGGTCCACTTGCCATTGGGCAAGCTGACAACCTGGTCAGTCCGCCACTGGTTGGATATTGACCATTCATTTAAAGTCACAATAACACTCTTGCTGGCTTGACAGCTCCAAAAAATAAAAAAAAATAGCCTTATTCTAAGTACTAGATGTGTTAGTGTCCTACCTGTTGTGTAAATTATCCATTAAATCCTATTTTACTTGTCCAGAGGGTTCAAAAATATTTTTAAATCCAAGTCACATTTGAAAAGCTTTACGTCAGTCTTTTCAAATCATTTAGTTGAATTTTTCTAATTATTTTAAATTAGGTGTGTTAAGATGAAATTTGTATCATCAATTAATTGGAATATTGTAAAATAAAGAATAAAGATTGGGACATATTATTCAGTTACAACAAGAGTGGTATTGAGCCTTTAAAACGAACAGCAAATAACATAATGTGGATGTTCAGTCAGGATCAAGTCGGCTGATTATGCTGACTGTATGCCTATATATATATCACCGCTAGTAGTATATGTACACGGTCTAGTATTATATATTTACATTAACGACGACTTGTTTCTCATGTGGCATATTATCCACCTATCATATACCAAAAGAAAGTTAATATAAACTAGTGTTGTTTACCTGTTCGTCTAATGTCAAACCCGTCTACTCCAATATTGTGTTCATATAACAAATATGTTACGATATAGTTTTGGATTTTAATGACAAAACATGTACATTCACGTTTAAATCTCCAAAACAGTCACCTTTAGTTCATTGTTATTAGCTTTAGACTGGATTAAATTAAATCTGGTGATATAGTGAGATATATACAGAGAACGATTATCCAGTCGTATTTGTCGCGGATTAATAGCGACGAGCTCAAAGTAACAATAGCATCGATCGACTAGAACATTAATCAATACAGGTGGGTCCCAAGGTCACGCGAATATCCTATACCTGTAAGAGCATTAGAAATTATTTATTAGCCGAGGAAATGGTATTTATTAAGATTCTTAGTTATTAATTATTAAACATACATTATGCAAGAGCCAAATCTACCTATTGAAGGTCTTTCTTTAGGCCTGAAATGTTATCTAAATTATTAATTAGACATTAATTAACCTATCCAGACACAACCAACTCTCGAAGTCATCGCTAGCATCCGATATTGAGTGGAATAGAATCCGATCTGCTGCTTAACGCTCATTGATGATTAAATCAAAAAATGGATAATCGAGATAATGTTTTTTATCGTACCGACTTTAGTAATGATGATCGAAGCTAGGCCTAAAATTCAATCGCTAAATGCTAAGTTCAGAGTGGATCAATTTGACTAAAATTTTCAGCAAACTCCATTTATATTATCTAGTTTTTAACTATTATAGTGAGAACTGCCAGCTCTTTATCTAATCTCTCATAATGTATCTTTAATTAAGAATCAGAATAGATGATAATTTATGCTCTTCTCTTAAAGGTAATTGTCAGAAATTGTTTAATTTGTTTGGCTTCTAGTTCTGCCCTATACTAACGTTTAGAATTGGTTAAGCGATTTAGGGTGATGAAGGGCCTGTGATAAAATGGCGTCTTTGTCGTATCCGTCCATTTTCATTCACTCGTTCAACGTCTTAAACAAAGAAACCTGGGCCCTGTTTCTCGAAATCTTAACTAAAGATAAAACCCAAATTTTAGTAGATACTTCATTTTTGATTGGCTAAGCATTAAAATCAATGTAATATTATCCAATCAAATTACTAAAATTTGGATTTTATCTTAGTTAAAATTTCGTGAAACAGACCCCAGTGTGTAAGTAAGTTACCGACCTCGACCTCAGGATCAAATTGGATAAACAGTCGAGCTGACTTGCCTGTGGTGCATAACGGAGGATCTGATGAAAATCCGAGGTCCCGTATACACATTGGGTTGCACGAAAAAGAACCTTTGGAAGTTTGCCATAAACCTTATGAAGGCGATAAAGGATATTGAATGGACATTTTACAAACTTGGGGGCAAACATTGGGTTCATTTGAGGATAGACCGTATCGATATTCAGCGTTCCACGATGGAGTACTGGAGGCATAAGAGTACGAACCCTATCAATAATCAGCGTTCCGCAACCTCGCATTCCAGAGTTACCATAACCTCCACCTCCACCTCTTTGTCAAAAGCGTTGTGAACGAGATAGAGACTGCAGATATTATCGGATTTGTTTCAAATTTGGTGTGGAGCATTTAAAGGCCATGAGCGGATAAACCCGCGTTATATGACCTTCAGTTCCAGAGTCTCCGAAAACCACATGTGTACGGAATAGAGGCAACAATTTTTAATGGATATGTTAAAGCTTGTGAACACGCTAGAGGTAATAGTTCTTGAAGGATCATCCTAATCAAATGTGCTCAACGTCCAAGTTTTCCTTTCAAATAGGTTGCTGTCGAGACATAGCTTTGCGTGGCTATCTTATTTATCAATCTTTACCCCATGTCGCTGCTAGTCTGTTGTTGTTGACACCTCTTCTGTCTGTGATTTTTCTATAACTGTTATCTCAAATTAGCGTGGTTAGAACTGTTTCACCAGAAAGCGGTCGACTTTTGTCGAATGCTGTTATTAACACCTGTTTCTATAAATGTTAGCAGGTGTCACACACCTGTGACTTTCATACTCGACCGGATTTTATTTTAAATTTTCAATGACAATACGATTCTACCCATCCATATTTTCTGCATTTACAATCTTGCTGAATATTAGCATCGGGTGTATGGTTTGCATAAATTAAACTATCGCTTTTCTTTGCTTTTTGAAATACATTCATATACTTTTAATATTAAAATACTACTTTTCAAAACTCTGCTTTGGCTTACAGCTGTGTCTTTTCGACACAAAATGGCAATTACTTCATTGGTATGTGAATGATCCATGTTAGGCGTATTGTATACTATGTAGTTCCACGTAGGAAATGACGTTTATTTACTACATGAGAGATAGAGAGAGAGAGAGAGGGGGTGGGGGAGATGGGTTTTAACGTCAACTCGACACAAACTAGGTCATTTCTGGACTAACATAAGGCTCAATTCTATGTCAGTAATTCGCTTGCGCAAAGGAATTCTTTAGCAGTGAGAGGAAACCGGATGAATCGGAAAAAACCCACGAGGTTCGATTCCAGTCATTAACCTAGAATAACTTTTGAAATTATTCAAGCTCGGTTCTAATAAGGAAAGTAAAATTAATGACTTGTCACAAATTCGAGTTCCCGTGACCTTTGAACTTCGAGGGCCACTGCCAGGTAAAGAATGCCCCCCTCTCGCATTCACACCTAGCCATAGAAAATGAACTACCGTATATAAGAATCGTAAAACGTAACAACGGAGCATTAAACCCCATGCATATTCATAGTATAATGCATCCTCGGGTCAAAGCGTGTATTTAACTAATAAACAAAAATACGGAGGATAATTTTATAAAGAATGAGTTCTGTGAAGGAATGGGAAGTGGTATTAGTAATAATTATTTTGAGTACCGATGAAATCACCAAAACATCTACCTACATAAAATGTTTGACTGTTATTTCACTTCTAGATGTCTTATTAAGACTATATTATTCGATAGCATTCTTCGGATGGGACGAAAAACAATATTTTATTTAAAATTTATGAAAAGGGATCAGGGAAGAGGCAAAGCCTATATCACCCCTCTCCTCATTCTCATACAAGGAATATAAAACATATAATATACAGATCTGCTATGTACATATTATAAAATAATGGTGAAAAACATATCAATTAAATAATTTATATACATACTATTTATAACAAATGGAAAAAGGATTAAGTTTTGTTTTATAACATGATTAAAATTGTTCTATAAATAAAATCAGATTGTGACATCGAAGTAGTCGTGAACTATTTTAAAGCTGTGGTTTGATTGATTGCTGGTGTGATGGTAAACATTTATTTTGTTTTTTCGTGCATCTGAATACAGTGGGCACCAGCGGAGAAAATGTCCAGAAACTTTAAAGCGATTACCGCAGCTGCATGATGGGTCCTCGGAGACATGTCGTAAAAATTTATGCCCGTTTAGGTCGCTACAAGAAAGCCGCAATCTGGTTCTTTCTTTTGCCCTGTAGAAATGAATTTGGAATAACATGGTCGTTTAGTTTTAGATTTTGTTTGAAAGTAGTGAGAGGGGGGGGGGGGCGGGCGAATGGTTAGCACGTGCGCGCTGTATCATAAGGCCTGTCATTGAGACAACTGGCGTCGTTTCGAATCCCCGGTTGTACGTGACAACGAGTAGGGTCGTCTGTCCAACCTCGTGGGTTTTCTAAGGTTTCCTCCCACTGCTAAAGACCCCTACGCACAAGCGAATTATTGAAATAAAATTAAAACCATATGTTCGTCCCGAAATGACCTAGTTTGTGTCGAGTGGACGTTAAACCCCATCTCTCCCTCTCTCTCTCTCTCACTCTCGCTCTCTCTGTTATTAGTTTGCAGTTGGAATTCGATATAAGAGTAGGCCATAGTGCCGCTGCCCGGACAAAATTTCCCTCATAGCACAAAGGACAAATAAAATGTATTTCATTGTAAAAGAAGAATTTTATTTAAATGAACAATATGTATACAAATATACAAATATACAAATATACAAATATACAAATAAAGAAATAAATTAATGATAATATAATATATGAAAGCGGTCTTGAATTATAATCATCAATTAAAAATGAATGAATTTGAGATTATTAAGCTCCTCTACGTACATCTAGTTACGTGTGAATCAATAGTTAATTCTAGTTTTAGAGTCACGGTCAAGCTCCGTTTCTTTGAATACCCGCTTCTTGTTGGACATCAATTGTTTCTTCTCCAGACTCTTATTTCGAGACGAGCACATCCAAACGTGATTCCAAATCTTTGATCTTCCTCAGTGCCGATCGGTCTTCTGATTGTAGACCCGCTGTTCAAAACTTTCTGTCAGCCTCTTCTGTAAAAATCCCCGTGGACCACTCAAAACTTTCTGTCAGCCTCTTCTGTAAAAATCCACGTGGACCACTCAGTATGCAGACGCCTTCTAATATTAGAGCTGCCCCGGGGAAAGCTGTCCCCCCTTCTCTCTGTTCTTGACAGACCTCACCATTGTACAGGTTGATGATTGGTAAAACGACAGACATTTTTCTTCTTTCTAGAAAATACCTCGGTATATTTCAGTTAGTGATGAAATTTTAGTAAGTCGTGTGATATTGAGAAAATCACTCAGTTAATTCTTTAAAGCAAATTGCAATAATGACATGTCTGTGGGCACCACGTGGCTTTATAATACTACAACCGCCTACTATATAAACACATAAACCTATCAAATAACGCCAAAACCTGCCATATTGGGAAATAACCAATGATATCGACCTTCTCGAGAGCGCGGCATGGCATAGAATTAAGAACATTTCAGCCAATGACTGTACGTTATGTTTTACGTTCTAGGTCTGACCTCATAGAAGAGCTCAGTAGATTCATTCATACAGAGCTGTATGTTAAATCGATAGATCTATAGATACCTTTGTACAGAACTTAGTAATAACATATTTTACCTCACATGAAACAATACCGTTGTACAGAACTTAGTAATAACATATTTTACCTCACATGAAACAATACCTTTGTACAGAACTTAGTAATAACATATTTTACCTCATCCTACCGTTAAAACAATACCTTTGTACAGAACTTAATAATAACATATTTTTGTTTCTGAAGAAAAAAGAATAAATTTGAGGTTTTCGGGTAAGAGCCACATCAGTGTGTTTCCTGCTCAGGATTGGATTTTCTAAATATGATTTTTGTCACTATCACTGGGTAAGGGCTTCTTATAGCTAGTTGATTTTATTTGGGTTTAGGGCTAGGGTTTGATATGTTGTTTGGTTTGGGTTAGGGTGAGGACTGGTGTTATTTAGTCTAATTGTTCCCCGCCTTTCGTATAAAGCTCCGTCTTCATTAGCCCAGTTGGAGCAGAACAGTAGGACGTTAAACCCCATTTCATTCATTCATTCATTTTCGAATAAAGCAGGGGACTATTAAAATGGGTTCGTCCGTCTGTATGTCTGTTACCCACACATTTTGGGACACAATAACTCTCCTTCTAATTGAGCTAGAATGTTCAAACTTGGTGTAGGTGTTTATGGGGGCAATGCTTTGATGGAGTTCGAAGAAGAACATTTTCTGCTTAGAGTAAGCAGAGATAAGCAATTTGATTGGTTGATGCCTTGGGACACGATAACTTTAGTGAGAGTGATGAAATCTGGTGTAGTGGTTAGAGGCCACTTAGTCCCTTGTTAATTCTCTGGCCACTTCTCGATCAGATAACTGTAATTCACCTTTAAGTTGATTTACCATTAAAGCTTATAAATAAATTTTAAAAAGTACAGAATACTGCAGCTAGAATTGTTACTTTAACTAAGAAATGTGACCAGATAAGTCCTGTTTTATATAAATTACACTGGTTACCTGTTAAATATCGAATTGATTTTAAGATTTTATTACTTAATTTTAAATGTTTAAATAATTTATCTCCTGTTTACCTCTCAGATATTTTAAAACTTTATACACCTGGCCGAACATTACGTACTTTAGATAAACTCCAAAACTGTTCAACTAGTCTCTTGTTGTCGGCGCTCTTTTAATTATCAAGCACCCCTTTTATGGAATAATCTACTATTTAGTTGAAGATGGTGTACATCTCTGTTATTCTTTTAAAAAACTTAAAACCCATTTATTTAATGGGGCTTTTAACTAACTCTGAATACAACTAATACTCTTGTTGTCTTTATTTGTATATGATTATATTGTCACCTTGTAAAGTGCCCCTGGACATGTTATATGAAAGGGCGTACTATAACTAATAATAATAATAATAATAATTTCATTGCATTTCCGATGAACAGAACCCATCCACTGGGTTGTCAAATTAACAACTAACGCGACACAATGTCCCTAATACATTTATTTTCCACAGCAATAAAACTAAAACAAATATGACATGTCAATAACACAATATGAACCGAGAATAACTCCTATCTGTCCTTTTCACGGTTAGTTCTAAATGATAAGGCCAGCTCATGGGTCATCTCGAGACCAATCACGTACCCTAACCCTGTTTACATCTCATCGACCTTGACAAAGCTTGAGTTGGCCTTAACAAATAGATTTAGCCCATTTTCACTATTTTATTTTTCATATCAATTCAGGGAAGTTACATTTCAACTATTGATCAAGGATTATTACAATACATGTCTTTATGGGTATGTAATTAACAATGTTAGTAGTAGTAGTAATATCCATACCACCCCGTCGTGTTTGTCGATTCTCTAATTGCCATAGGTGAACTATACCGACGTGAAAGGACAGCTGGTAAGGACAGTCGTCTAATCGTTCGGATGGGACGAAAACCCGAAGAATACATTGGCGGGAGCTAAAGCACTTTCGTACACCTAGTACTTGCCGTGGTTTTGAAATTTGCTGAGGGTGTTCCGGGTGTCTAATTATGATCTCACGCCAAATTTCAGACCAATCGGTCAAAACCTTTGATTTTACACAACTTTTACTCCTCGGGGTTTCCGATACACACAGCTAGGCGTGTGGCCATGATGTTTACTATTGAGACTTGAATACCAAGACACTAATATGACTTGCTGAACACCAAGCAAGCTTCTTACATCACTGACCATAAATAATAATAATAATAATAGTAACAATTTTCGTCATTTTGTTAAGTAGCTGTTCGTTACGAATATAACTGGCCGTAGTAGCTCAATGAAAAAGCGCTGGCTCGATAATCAGACATCCCGTTTGTTTTCATACAAACGGTAAACGGTATAATACGACCAACGGTCTCTTTATCAGTTGTAATACACGAGACCTTGTCGTATACCTGGATGGTCTCTTTAACAATTTTAATACAGGAGACCATAATGCGGCATATTCATAGTCTCTTGAACACTTGTAATAGATGAGACCATATATTGCTAATGCACTTTCGTACACCTGGTACTTCCCGTGATCGTAGAGACGTAATATTTGCCGAGGGTGTTCAAGGTCACCAATTATGGACTCACGCCAAATATCAGACGAACAGGTCAATAACATTTGATTTTACACAATTTTTCGTTAACAGCTCAATGCGTACCTTGGTGGTCACTTGAACAGTTTTAATATGTGAGACCATATATTGTACTCCCCGTGATCGTAGAGATTTGAAAATCGCTGCAGGTGTTAAGAGTCACCCAATTTCATACGAATAGGTCAATAACCTTTGATTTTACACAACAGTTTGAAAATTTTTTCTTTAACACATTTTTTCTTTAACAGTTTGAAGTCGTATCTTGGTGATCTTTATCACAGTTTGAATACATGCAATCAAAACTTTTAAACGGGCCTGGCCTCCTGTTTTAGGGCACTGGATGTGGTCTCGTGTAATTAAACTTTGAAAGAGAGAGAGAGAGAAATGGGGTTTAACGCCCACTCGACACAAACTAGGTCATTTCGGGACTAACATATGGTTTAATTTTATTTCAATAATTCGCTTGCGCGTAGGGGTCTTTAGCAGTGGGAGGAAACCGGAGGACCCGGAGAAAACCCACGAGGTTGGACAGGCGACCCTACTCCTTGTCACGTACAACCGGGGATTCGAAACCACGCCAGTTGACTCAATGACAGACTTTATGATACAGCGCGCGCGCGCACGCTAACCATTCAGCCATCCAACCCCCCAATTAAACTTTGAAAGAGACCATACAGGTACAATATGGTCCCGTGTTTTATAGCCAAATGGTTTCTTGAAATGAAAACTGTCTACTAGACAATCGAAGTACAAAATAACCCGGTGTATTCCACGATATACATTAAAACTGCTGAGGGTCCATGAAGGTACATTATTTTATCGGATATTTTTCAGGTTTTCTGTATTGAGATATATAGAGAACGTATCTGTGAACAGTAAATTGTTTAACTGAGCTTCAAATGTATTTCAGGAGTAAATGGTTTGTAATGTTTTAAGGCAATGAATTCCCAAAGAGAAGAGGAAAGAATGTGAACCATCTATAATATTTGTAGTTCAAGATTCACTTATACTTGATGCAAAAATTGTCATTCACAAGTTGTCATGTGAAATTACACCTAAGTTTTTAATTATAATGGTCGTATGGTATATCGTGTAGTATATGCCATAATATTTGATAATACGTGTATTTAATAAATATATGTATCTATCTATACTAATATTTCTGACTGTCGTTTGTCTGTCTGTTTGTCTGTCTGTCTGTTCGGGGTTGGCGGCTACACTAGGTCTGCCCCGAGTCTGAAATTTGGGGTATAGGGGTAGCTCGGACCGGGGAGTAACATAGGCCAGGTAGCGTTAGTCTACCACTTCCGGTTTCGGGGTTATGATCCCCGATCGAAGCCGAGCATTCTGCTAGTAGTCTATATTTTCAACTGTAGAATTACAATAATTACAGTAAATTATATGTTGAATATATCTAAAACGAAATGTTACTATTTTTTAATCTTTTGTTATTCTTGTATCAGTGTAAAAAAATGATGTACTTTATCTTCATACAGTAACATTATAATCTCTTGTTTTTCATTTTGGCAATAGCTATACGTTTTGTGTAGTTATTTTGTATAACCATTTTATAAATATCTCCTAAGACCGATGTCGGATATATAAGGAAAAATACTATCATTAATGTATTAATAATTTTGGAATTAATTGTACGGCACTGTCTCATGCATTACAAATGTTAAAGAGACCACTAACGTACGATGTGGTCTCATAAATTAGAATTGATAAAGAGACCATCTATATAGGGTACCATATTGTCTCATGCATTAAAAATGTCAAGGCACAATGTGGTCTCGTAAATTAGACCTTCAAGTGAGGGTATGACATTAGCAATATATAATATGGTCTCATGAATTACAACGGTTAAAGAGACCATCAATTCGCTATATTATGGTCTAATCTAATTTAACTTGTTAAAGAGACCATTGAGGTATACTACATAGTCTAGTGCATTAAAAATAGTATAAAAACCGCTAAATACGCCAAAAGTAGAATAAAAACCGCTAAGTACGCCAAAAATAGTATAAAAACCGCTAAGTATACGCCTTCAAACTGTTAAAGAAAAATTGTGTAAAATCAAAAGTTATTGACCGATTCGACTAAAACTTGATAATTAGTGGCCCTGAACACCCTCAGCAAATATTAAGTCTCTACGATCACTGGAAGTACTAAGTGTACGAAAGTGCATTAGCAATTAAATCTATGGTCTCATATATTAAAACTGTTGAAGAGACCGTCACGGTGCTATATTATGGTCTCGTGTATCAAAATTGTTAAAGAGGGCATCATTCATTAAAATAGTATAGAGACCACCAAAGTACGCATTCAAACTGTTAAAGAAAAGTTGTGTAAATTCAAAAGTTATTGCCCGATTCGTCTGAAATTTGGCGTGAGATCATAATTAGTGACTATGAGAGCACCCCCAGCACCTCTACCATTTCTACGATGACGGGAAGTACTAGGTGTACGAAAGTGCATTAGCAAATAAATATATGGTCTCATATATTAAAATTAAAAGTTATATTCATAACGAACAGCTACTTAACAGAATGACGAAAATTGTTACTATTATTATTATTATTATTTATGGTCAGTGATGTTAGAAGCTTGCTTGGTGTTCAGAAAGTCATATTAGTGTCTTGGTATTCGAGTCTCAATAGTAAACATCATGACCGCACGTCTAGCTGTGTGTATCTGAAAACTTGAGAAGTAAAAGTTGTGTAAAATCAAACGCTTTGGTTAACAACCCGGAACACCCTCGGCAAATTTCAAGTCTCTAGGATCACGGCAAGTACTAGGTGTACGAAAGTGCATTAGCGCCCATTGGCTTGTACGTAAAAGATCCCTAGGCAGTTGGAATTCGATGTAAGAGTTGACTTTCTTATTCAGTTACAAGCTACCAAATTTAGTGAATCCTCCTGAATGATCAATGAGGAATATTTAAGATGGAATCCTCCTGAACGAATGAGGAATATTTAAGGTGTGTCCTATGCAAGAAATTTAAGATCTTATCCAAGACGAGGAAAATTTATAACGTAGCATTAGTAGCCTGATTTAATGGATGATTTAATTTCAGGGCCACGGTGACAAAAATTGCAATATAGGAGGCAGAAATTTCACCATCTCGGTACAAATTGTAGTTCGTCTATTTATAGCAATTCTCCCCGTGTCTCTTTTCTGCCCTTTTGCATGCCCATTATGGTTGATTTTTTGGTCTAGAATGGACGAAGAGGGTTTGAATTAACATTTTCTGCTAGGTTTTGGTAAATATTCATGATTTTGAAGCGGAAGGATAACGGGGTTATGAGGTTGGCTACGGTGATATGTACGGCAACTAGTTACATGTTTTTAGTATGCTTCTTCGAGTTTGTGTATGTATTTCAAAATTTTGGTGGTCAACCTCATACAAATTTTAGTGCAAAGACATGACCATTTGTTCCTCTGTCTGTAGTGAAAAGCATTCAGCCCAACAAAAATTTTGGAAAAAGTTGTAGGTGGCCAAAGAGGCCAGAATTAACATCGAAGTCAATGGAGAAATTAATGGTGGTCTGCCTACAATAGTCCTATTAGAGTTATCTCCCTTACTTTGGTGACTTTTCCGTAAAGGGCCGGTCACACAGGCTTCCGCGAGTTGATCACGAGTGTATCGCGAGGAAGAACTGTCAAACGCGAAGTAAGCGCGGTCACAAGTGAATGACACGTGAATGAAACGTGGTGGACTCGCGAATAACAAGTGCGCACACGCGCGAAAAATTTTACACGCGCACGGAGTCCGATTTTATTTTTGAGCAGCACAAAAATTAGGCGCAACGGCCACCGCGTGTCGCACACGTGGTGTAAACGCTGTACAAACGCGGGCCAAACGCGATAACACGTGGTACACTCGCGGATCACAAGTGGACGACAAGTGGTCACTCGCGGGCAAACGCAAAATTTCTTCGTGTGACTGCGTGTGTAGCACTTGTCATCCACTTGTGATCCGCGTGTCTACAGCGTTCCTACCACCTGTGATAGCGTGTGCTCCACGTGTAAAAGGCTTCCTCAGGGATTGTGTCACGAGTCATCCGCGGGCCATTCGCGTGTTTTCGCGTTGAATCGCGATTGAACCACGACTGATTCGCGTGTCGTCCACGACCCAATCTCGTTTGTACCACTAGTTATTTCTGCTATAAAAAGATCGCGTGTGGGCCATTTTTCATCAGTTGTGATCAAGAACACCGGACGCGGCGGCTTTTATACACGCGGGCGGCAAGCGGAGCACAAGTGATCGGCACGTGATTCACACGCGGAGCACATGTGGAGCACAAGTGATACACACGCGCTGCGTGTGACCCCATTTTCTGACCACAAGCGCTCACACACGGAGGACTCGTGGTGGACACGCGATGCACACGCGCGCGTGTGGTCCACTTGTCATTCGCGTGTCCAGCATGTCTGAGACAAATTGGTTGATTTTCACCGCGTGTAGAAAAAATTTGCAAAATTTATAGCAAAATTACACGTGATCAACTCGCGGAAGCCTGTGTGACCGGCCCATAAGCGATTTGATTACATCATCGTTGTTCAATGTTTTAGAATTATCCTCATCTTCCGCCGCCACATACATCAACTTTTGGATGAACACGGTTATGTTATCTGCAAAAAAATAAAATGATTTATTTCAAATGAAAGAGTGAAACATTTGTTGTTTTTTTTTTGTTTTGTTTTTTTATATAAACTTTGAGAAATGAATAATTAAGATATCTAATTATTGCCGATAATAAAACATCTTGAAATAACTTGGTTATAATAATGTACTAATTTAATCTTTTTTTATAGACAGGGCCAAGATAACATAAACTATGTCCATTGATGACATGACAAGCGGTGGAAATTATTTTGTTTAACAACGACTTGCAATCGTAAAGAAAGCGTGCCCTTCTGTCAAGTATTACGAAATCAGCCAACGGCATAATTTGAACCCAATATGGACGGTAAACATCCCACTGCGCCAAAGGTACAGTCCTAGCTGATGTTTGACGAAGTGAGAGCTTAAAGGAGCTAAGTCGCTAATATTTGAGACCTAGAAATTGACACAAATGGGTCGCAACGCATACAATAATGCAATATGAATGTATATAAATTGATTTACATTCAATCGTTTCTGTTTTAACTATAATTTCTAATCAGTCTGGTTATTCCAGTCTACGCCGATAGTATTTATTTGGCATGCTCTCCAGATAAGAATATAGCGTCACCGTTGGAATATGCCTAGCCTCGTTTTTCGAGTCCCTTATTACAAATAGCGCTGAAACGCATTATGGTACACGATTCGTGTACCAATTGTAAAATGTTTAGTTTGTCTTAAATATTGGATATCAGAAGGCCATCTTTTCCCGGTAAGATCACAACATCAATGTTGATTTAAACCGACAAATATATCGTGTTTTCAATGTCGAAGAGTTTGGATGATATTGAGTTAGATACTTAGCTACTTTGAAACGAAACGAGGTATTGTATAACTTACACAAGCCCCCGTACACAGCCTTGAAAACATGACGTGAAATGATCCTGTATGAATCAGACTCGCAACGTGAACTTATTCACAGGAAACTCGGCAAACCCCGGCAGATTCCGGTACTCTACATCTAGGGTACATTAGATTGATTTTATTGCTTAGCCAATCAAAATTGAAGTATCTATTACAATTTGGATTTTATCTCTAGTTAAGATTTCGAGAAACGGGACCCTGGAGTCTGCTGGGGTTTGCCGAGTGATTCACGGGAAATGTTTCTAGTTTATTTTTAAAAAATACATATTTAAAGACAAATAAAATATTTAGAGTCTATTCTCGAGTACTCGGGCCTAATTTGGCCCCGCCTCGAATAAAGTGTCTAATGAGCTGGACCTAATATATATATATTATCCAGCGTGTAACTGGCTGGCTTGTAATGACTTTAGGGAAATGCTGCCCGAATTCAGTGCATTCAAATCGAAGTCCAAAGTGATTTTCCTAAGACATACAAGAATCTTCGTATGACATTTGACACTGTAAATATATTTGGAACTATTTTGTTCCAACTAGTATGCTTTTCAACAGTGCGCGGAGGCATGTTTAGGCTGGAGTGAGTGAGAGAAGAGATGTACCTAATATAATTTGTATACTTGCTGGTTTACTCCGCCATGTTCCAAACAAATACAGGGGTATACCACAGGCTATTATTAAAATGGCCAACCCACTTTGTTGTGGTTTTTGGTAAACGGTTAAGACTAATATTGAAGTACTGATCAGAAACAATAATATCGGTAATACAACTGGAAGCTGAAATAACAATTTAAAAAAGATTAACTCGTAGGTACAAGTGAAAGGGAGACGACAAAGGGGGGGGGGGGGGGTAACGTCCACACGACACAAACTAAGTCATTTCAACATTATTTCAATAATTTGCATGCGCGTAGGGGTCTTGTAGCAGTGGGAGGAAACCGGAGGACCTGGATAAAATCCACGAGGTTGGACAGGCGACCGCATATACTTCTTGTCGCGTACAACCTGGGAATCGAAACCACGCCAGCTGACTCAATAACAGACTCACGCGCTAACCATTCGGCCACCCAACCTTTCCTGTAAGGCGAAGACCTGTGGACCAAGCAACGTATGCATAGCTAGCAAAATACCAATATTCCTACAAAATTTTGTTCAAATGATAATAAAAAAATTGACGCCGAAATGTGCCTTGAAACAGCTAATTGGTTTGAACAGTTCTGATTAATTACCAGTTGAGTAGCATACAGATCTATGTTTCGTTTTGTTTTTTTATACTTTCGATGGCCTCTACTACAAGAAGACAGTTCTGTGCACCTCACGCAAAAATATCGCCGTAACAGAGAGTTTCATTGGCTAATCCCCTCACATCATCCAGAACGCGGGTTATATAACGACTCCTCCAGATCCTAATGTAGTAAAGACAAGTAAAACGAAATTTGAACTATAATCATTCTTCACAAAATTTATTCCAATCCGCTAAATATTGCAGGCTAGCGATGCCGTCGAGGGTTGGTTATGGCCTGGATAAGGTAATTAATGTCTAATTAATTATTTAGAGAACATTTGAGGCCTAAAGAAAGACCTGCAATAGGCAATTTTAGCTCAGTATAATGTATGTTTATGAGTTATAGGTTACTTACTGAATCGACAACAAAGCGTCATAAAAAAGAATCGCGATACATCAATTCAGTGTCTCTTGATTCAATACGCGAATCGTGAGAAAGTGAATCGCGATACATCGATTCAACGATATATCGTGACCGCACTACTTCGTACCAGACCATCTTGTGAACCTACCCATTGAAATCACCAGAAATGGACAAAACTGGCTATAGGGCAGTTATCGAGTACCTGTAATTGAAAGGACTAACCCCAACGCTGATACATGTCGAACTGGTCTCAACTTTAGGCCTTTTTTCCACAGAAAAGAAGTAGGTAGGAGAAGTTAATAGTGGCAGAGAGAAAACCTTCAACTTCATTAACCCAATTAACACCTGCTTTAGTTTAATTACCTGAACAAACAGGATTGGGAAATAATTATGGTCGGAATTTTGTTCTGTAAATCAGAATGAAGGTCACGAAAAGCTTAATCACAGTGCTTCGCAAAAAATTTGAAATAGGTCTAAATGTTGTTTTCACAAGGTTTTCGGAAAAGGATGCATATTTCTGGAACAGAAGGTTGCAGAACACTAGATATAAATATGTCTGTTTTAGTAATATACCGTCCAAATAAGTTTGAAATCCACAAAGCAGTGTAAAATGTATTTAAAAATGGCCATTTTAGATGCCACAAATGGGCGTTTTTATAAATAATCATTGCGTGACAGTATATTTCCAAATATTACTTAGGTTGGATTTCTCATTACTATTACCGCGGCGCTCACCGAACGTTAAAGGAGCAGGCTCTTATATATTTTGGTGAAAGACTCTCGGAGATTTTTATCCTTGTCGTGTACCATGAGGCGTTGGTCATAACTGTCTGGATAAGGGATCGACGCGATGACAAAGTCACTCACATACTTAAAGATACATTATGGGAGATTCGGTAACGAGTTGGCAGTTCTCACTATAATAGTTAAAAACTAGATAATGTAAAGGCAATTTGGTGAAAATTTCATTCAAATTGAACCACTATGAACCGAGAACTAAGCGACTGAAATTCCCATAAGCCTCGGTCATCATTACTAAAGTCAGTACGATAAACAGCATAGTCTCGATTATCCATTTAATCGTTTACTAGAGAAGGAAAGTTATGCAGTAAATCGGCTTACAATCCACTAAAGATCGCAGGCTAGCGCTGCCATCTAGAGTTGATTATGGCCTGGATAGGTTAATCAATGTCTAATTAATAATTTAGATAACATTTCAGGCCTAAAGAAAGACCTGAAATAGACAGATTTAGCTCTTGCATAATGTATGTTTAAACAATGAAATGTTTTTAAATGTCTTAACTACCTCGAACGGGTCAATTTGTTTTTATTCTGCAGCATTCAGGGCAGGTAAACAGTCTACTTTAAACCTCCACTTGTGAATTTTCCCTTTAATATGGAGTTTACATTTTTGGGGCTCCGATTTCCGGTAAAGGTCCAAGGGGAAATAGGTTAGGGCGGGGGGGGGGGGGGGTCATGGCAAAAAGAGAAAAAATTCAAATTCCAGATGAAAGTTTCACGGTAACCTATCTAGCGACGCAAGGGCGGAGACGGAGCTATCCCTCATCCCTCAACCTTCTCTGTGAAGTTCCACTCGGTGATCGGTCTAGGCTTCTAGACATGTATGTCATTCGGAACTGAATAGATTTCGTATGTGGTCAGATAATATGTAATTATTCTTGTATTACAGACCGTTTAATTGTGTGTTACACATGCGTGCCATTCGAAAGGATATGAAATAATCTCCCAGTAGCGTTACGGTTTGGGGCCCCGCGATTCCAGTCAGGCCCAGGGTCCCGCTCCAGTTAATCGGGGCTTTCCTCGTACCTTAATGGGTCTCTTGAGATTGGGTTCCTTCCACCTAAGATGGATAAGCGCAGCCAAAGTAGTGGTCAGAACAGTTGCAAATCCAAACCCCATCATTTCTATTAAATAAAAGATCTCTTCAAAATTCTGCATTGTTATGGTTAATATACACTGAAAAAAAAATATGTTCTTAAAAATTAGAAATAATGGATAATGATAAAAAGGGATATTGACGTCCCATATAAAATTAATTGTAAAGCAAACGCGTCCATATTTGAATCAACAATCCGGACCAAATAATATGATCACATGTGGACGCCAATTTTTTGTCTAGTCCAAATGAATATGAAATGAAAAGCAAAGAAAGGGTGTTTAACGTCCTACTGTTCTGCTCCTACTGGGCTAATGAAGACGGGCATACGCCTTACAATGTGCTATGAGGGAAATTTTGCCCGGACAAGGGCGCTATGGCTTACTCGTTTATCGACTCCCAACTGTCAAAGGTTCTTTTACGTGCACGACAATGTGTACACCGGACCTCGGTTTTTAGTCCCATCCGAACAACTATACGTTGTCCGTTGCTAGGTCTTCCGTTCTACACCACTGAAGGGATTGAATACGGAACCTCCAGGTTAGTGAGCCACTAACCCGATACTTAAATTAAAATGTTTTGTTAAATCCATAGATTATATGTTATTTATGGGATTATAAATATGTGTATACTAGTTACCATGACGATGAGTGATGGCGCTGGAGTACTAAATCTAACAGATATCATAGAAATAACTTCAGGTAGGTGATTATTTCTAGAACCAACGAAAAACAACCTGTTAAAAGACAAAGAAAACGTCTTACAATGTGTTGATCTGCATGAATTAATTGCTCGATATTCCAAACCTATATTCAGGAGGTAAATCTGCCCATTGCAGGCCTTTCTTTGTGCCTTAAATGTTATATAAACTATTAATTAGACATTAATCAATTTATCCAAACAATAATCAACTCTCGATGCCATCGTATATTTCAGATTTTCAACAGATTCGATTAATATTGACAGTTAAAACTGTCAAAATGATTTAATTCAAAAATGGATAATCGAGACTTTGTTTATTATCTTAACAACAGTAGTAATGACAACCGAGACTACACTGTTCTTTTAACGCCAAGAACTGGGCTCATAATAAAGTAATTTAACTGAAATTCAACTTTTCATTATCTATTGTTTTAACTGTTTTATAGCGAGAACTGTCGGCTCTTTATCTAATCGGTAAGACGCTGGCTCGCTAGCCTGGAGGTCGGGTGTTCGATCCCTGCATTGGCCGAGAAAGTTCATCCAGATTTTCCGGCGTGGTTCTCCCTTGTCAGTGATGCAGGACGGAGGGGCTGACAAGGACAGCTGTCTAGTCGTTCGGATGGGACGAAAAACCGAGGTACCGTGTACACATTGGCGTGCACGTAAAAGATCCCTTGGCAGTTGGAATTCGATATAAGAGTAGGCCGTAGTGGCGCTGTCCGGGCAAAATTTCCCTCATAGCACACTGTATGGCGTATGCCCGTCTTCATTAGCCCAGGTTGGGAGCAGAACAGTAGGACGTTAAACCCCATTTCATTTCATTTCATTTTCTTTATCTAATCTTACCTAATGCACCTTTAAATTAAACATGACAATTTGACATAAGAACGGTATATTATCAAATATTGAAGTAATATATATACAATACTGATTTTATGAAAATCTATGGTAATTGTCCTTGACATTCCTCTAGAATCTGTGAACTCAACAGATTGGATTCTTTGAGCGATTGTTATTTTTGAAACGACGATGAGTTGCCGTGAGGGGGGGGGGGCAGCGAGGGTGTGTTGTATTATAAGGTCTGTCATTGAGTCAACTAGCGTGGTTTCGATTCCCCGGTTGTACGTGACAAGAAGTAGGATCGCCTGTTCAACCTCGTGGGTTTACTTCGGGTCCTCCGGTTTCCTCCCATTGCTAAAGACCCCTACGCGCAAGCGAATTATTGAAATAAAAATTGAACCTTATGTTAGTCCTGAAATGACCTAGTTAGTGTCGAGTGGGCGTTAAACACCCATATCTCTCTCTCTCTCTCTCTCTCTCTCTCATTAATGAAAAATAAACAATTTTGGAGCATCAAATGCATCTAAAAAGTTGTAATCGATCGTAAGGCCACCAAGGTTCACATTACGTTTTATTGATTTCACGACACATTCCTGTATTTCCTTTAATCGCTTGTCGGCATCAAATAATGGATCATTTCTATTCCCGAAGATCGATGCCAAGGTGGCACCTGGCTCATTTGATCATCTATCAGAAACTTGGAAACTGGGTACCGTTAGTCATATCAAAAGGAGCTACCGAACGAGTCAGACTTTTCACACCATACCTGGAAATGGAAAACATACCTGGACAACATACCTGGATATGGACAACATAGCTGGACATGGACAATGGACAACATACCTGGATATGGACAACATACCTGGATATGGACAGCATAGCTGGACATGGACAACATACCTGGACATGGACAATGGACAACATACCTGGACATGGACAACATACTACCATTAATGCTACCCATAACAGATATAGCTATTAATATCGGCATTATCCAGACAACAGGGCGTACTGTTTGTTCTGCGAATGTCTGAAATTAAAATGAATGTTCAAGATAAGAGAGGGGGTCATGGTGGCTAAGTGGGTAAGACGCTGACTCGCTAGCCTGGAGTTTCGCGTGTTCGACCCCTGCATTGGCCGAGAAAGTTCATTGGGTTTTTCCGACGTGGTTTCCGCTTGTCAGTGGGGTGCAGAATGGAGGGCCTAACAAGGACTGTGAACCCGTGTATACTTTGACGTGCACGTAAAAGACCCCTTGTTAGTTGGAATTCGATATAAGAGTAGGCCATAGTGCCGCTGCCCGGGCAAAATTTCCCTCATAGCATACTGTATGGTGTATGCCCGTCTTCATTGGCCCAGTAGGAGCAGAACAGTAGGACGTTAAATCCCATTTCATTTCGTTGCATTTTCAAGATAAGAGGGGACCACGCTGTCTCGGTGGGTATGTCGAGACTAACCTTATGTCGAGAATGATCCTGGCAAGGAAAATCATCTAGACGTTCGGGCGGTAGGAAAAACTTAGGCCCCGTCCATTCTATTGGTTGCATGGTATGCTAGGTCCCCACTGTCGTACGATGCGTTACGATAGGATCGTCCATATTGAGTCCACGATCTGCTACGTGTAGATACGTTCTGATATAATTTTAACACAGAGATAATTGCTACGATAGATGCGTAACAAAGATTTTAAGAAACGGAAGTGACGAAAGCAAAAGGAAAACACGAGTTCTCTTTCTAGGTACTTGACTGAAGTAACGAGTGATAACAGATACATTGACGAATTTCTGCTTACTGATAATTCCTTCGAAGACCAAAAGTTGTTATATGAGACTGTGAGAGGATATCTGACAATTCAAAAAGATAACTGAATGTCATTAGATAAGAGAACCGTAATTAAGCAGCTAAAGAGTCGTGCTCGGCATAAAATGGTGTTTAAACCAACCTAAAATGTTTCAAAATAATATATCGTCTAAACCAACCTAACGCGTCACATTTAAACCATTCTAAAGGGAAGTAAGTTAGATGATATTTCGATATATTTACCACGGCAACTGCTGATGATAATAACATCTCGTGTGGAGTAAGTACAGCAAAATATGCCACATTGGCTACCAAATATACAACTGTTACTATTGCCATGGATATAAGTATTGCTGATGGTAAATTTCTAAGAATAGATTAGATAAAAAAGTCATTTTTTTTAACTTGGGGTACATATGGTTGCCATTCTACATTCTCGACGTGTCGGATTCTGAAGGCGACAAGTCGTGGCATGACAAGTCGAAATAATCGTATTTTGTCGACTTGTTGGGTTGTGAAGGCGACAAGTCGACAAAATCAACCAACAACGCGACAAACTAACCCGACAATCGTCGCTTTCACTTTGTCGACTTGTCGGGTCAATTCTTTCGATTTGTAGACTTATGGCCTTCGATTTTTCCTTTAATCAACTGACCCTTTTCATCATCCATGTTTAAACCGAACAATATATTTAATAACATTAGTTCAGTGAAAAGGACAAATGGTTATTTTCTAGTCAGTTTTTTGTCCATCTGATTATAATACAGATCTATATTTTGTTTCGTTTTTTTTTCATACTTTCGATGGCTTCTACTACATGAACATCTGACCGGTTGTATTGGAAGGTACCGTCAGAGGTAATACGAGCGACTTTTGACCCTATGACGTCACACATTCCATTAAACAATCATCGTTGATTTTTCTAGTGGGTTACCCACAGTTCCGTGCACATCACGCCAAAATCTCGCCGTAACAGACCGTTTCATGGGCTAATCCCGCACATCATCCAGAACTTGGGTTATATAACGATTCCTCCAGATCCTAGTGTAGTAAAGACAAGTAAAACGAAATTTCGAACTATAAAAAACGAAACGAAATAAATAGGATCTGTGTTTTATTTTAATCAGATTGGGTTTTTGTTTATCTCAGAGGCACAGTAAATAATTTGATTTTCCCGAAACCCCGCACAAACAATTCCAGGATCAAAGTTCCGTATCTTCGACTTACCGATTTGGTTCAATTACTTCATCAGCTAGGAAATTAAGGTAATTCCTAAAACGAAGAATGCACTTGGTCAGATTTATTCATTAAAAATTGTGGATCTCAATTTTAAATAAAACGGAATGAATTTCTGTAGCACAATTTTTGATTTGTATCGAGATAAACTATCGAAAGTATAAAAAAAATAAACGAAACGAAATTAAGAAGTTTAGTGATGTTTACATCAAATGGATATTTCTGCTTGAACAGTTTACGCAATATGTAATACGTCTTACCAGCCCCCAAAAGCCCAAAATCCAGAGTAAAAAGCGATAGCCACAGATCCAGCACTGTAGTCACTGTTGGCAAATGGATTCTGAAAGTTGCTTGTATTTCCTTTAAAGTAAAAGACTATTGCATATTATTTAAGAAATTTGTTTGTTCCAGAAAATGGACGCCTTCGTTATAAATATTATGATTTTGCATTCACTCCTAATTCCCAATTGGGGTAGGGGGGAGAGCAAATGGTTAGCGCATGCAAGTTGAACCATAAGATCTGTCAACTGGCGTGGATTCCATTCCCCGGTTGTACGTGAAAATGACTAGGGTTGCTTGTCCAACCTCGTGAAATAAGTGAAATTGCCAACAATAAAAAAAAAAAAAACACTATGCGCATCATATCCAAAATTCAAACAATTTCATACAAAATTGACAAAATTATGAATAGGTTGACAACGAGGGCTGTATTATAAACTCGGAATAGATTATTATTGAAAATGGAAATCGATGTTTTTTAGTAGTTACAAACCCAGGGACTAACTTTATTTCATATTAATGTCTTTAATTCATATTAATGTATCGGTAGAAGTTTCACTGGGTTAAAACGTTCCATGTCCAGTTTCAAAAATAACGCCAGTGTGTCATCAATGCCCGAAAGTTCAGATATTAGTTTAATGCATAGTATACTGGTATGAAAATATTTCAATCACTAAGATAATTAATGTTTCTTAAATTAACAACTTTAACGCATCAATTGGCTAGTAAATCGTTGACCTGTCATATTTTTTTTTAAATTTACAATATTAACGCATCAATTGGCTTGTAAGTCGTTGACCTGTCATATTTTTTTTTTTTAATTTACAACATTAACACATCAATTGGCTTGTAATTAAAAGTAGTTGACCTGTTATAATTTGTTAGGCTACAACATGTACAAAATAGCGTTAAACAGGATATAAGGAGAGAATGTTTATAACAGTTACAAAACGGCGTTAAACAGGCGATTAAATCAGTTTAGATCTTCTCTTGACTTGAAACAAAAATCAACCCAGATTCTTTAACTCTGTGATGTTCTTAGCGGCAAGAAGTTGTATTAGTTTATTGACACTTGGGTTTTATATTGCTTTATAATTTATTTCACAGGTCATCGTATCTGGGACTAATAGGAATAAAATGATCTGTCTTTCCTAACGATTTTAACACACCTGCCTTTCTTCATATTTGAATTATTACACAAAATACATAATCTATCTTTCCTACCTGCCTCGGGGGGGGGGGTGGATGGCTAAATGGTTAGCGTGCGCGCGCTGTATCATAAAGTCTGTCATTGAGACGACTGGCGTGGTTTCGAATTCCCGGTTGTACGTGGCAAGGAGTAGGATCGCCTGTCCAACCTCGTGGGTATTCTCCGGGTCCTCCGGTTTCCTCCCACTTCTAAAGACCCCTACGCGCAAGCGAATTATGTAAATAAAATTAAACCATATGTTAGTCCCGAAATGACCTAGTTTGTGTCGAGTGGACGTTAAACCCCATTTCTCTCTCTATCTCATACCTGCCTTTCTCCATATTTAAATTCTGACTAGAAAGTCTTATTCTTGTTATTTTACGTATATATTTTTTATTTATCGATTTAGTTAGATAAAACTGGAGTGTAAACTTATCTACAATATATTTGTATATATGACATTTTGACGATTCATTAATTTTTTCATGGCATTCTTGTTTAAAAATATCAAATAGACGAAGTTTTATTACAGACAATGGGCGTTTAGAATTTTCAAAGCCATTATTTTCCTAATATATCCTAATCCTAATAATTCTTTTGGGTTTAACGTCCACTCGACCAAAACTAGGTCATTTCGGGACTAACACATGGTTCAAGTTTATTTCAATTTGCTTGCGCGTAGGGATTTTTAGCAGTGGGAGGAAACCGGAGAACCCGGGGAAAACCCACGAGGTTGGACAGGCGACGCTACTCCTTGTCACGTACAACCGGGGAATCGAAACCCCGCCAGTTGACTCAATGACAGACCTTATGATACAGCGGGCACGTGCTAACCATTCGGCCATCACCCCCCCCCCCCCCCACCCCACCAATTAACTTTAACCAATATTTGAATATTCGAATTTTTCTTACTATAGAAAGTGGATATCTACCCAATTCATAGTATATCATAATGGTACTAGTGCTATTTCGTGTTTAAAGAAGTCTTTTGTAAAAATTCAGATTCACCTTTTCGACATCCTCAGCTGTATGAAAGCCCCAAACGTCCGACCCTTAGCATAAAATACTACTCACGTAGGTGTCGAAAACTTACAATTTTTGTTACGGAGTTAAAATAGTTTTCATTGTATTCTTTTAAAAGGGAAAATAGTGCTTTTCTGGCCAGGTCAGATACGTTTTTGGTTTGGTTTTTTTTTTTTGGGGGGGGGGGGCGTTTTTTTAAATTTACCATTAAAATTCAACAATATTGCATCTACCGTACTTACATGTTTTTCGGAATCCAAACTAACTCTGTGGTATTATGTTATATTTTTTTTTTTTATCAATTTTAGTAGTCTATTATTCAAGATAGAAGTAAACAGTTTTCCTATAGTTATTTGGATCATTAGCGTCCACTTTCTTTATTATAGACTGGCACTAAGTTTCCTATAGCCCACGTTGATGGAAAGCCTCTCGAAATGAGAACATTATTAAAAATCTCCACTACTAAGTAGGGCATCAGGAGGTCTTTACAGTGTATTGGATAGTATCGCAAGATGATGCTTTATTAAGCTTAAGTCTTTGCATACATTCTCGTATTTCACTCGCTGTTATAACAGTGTCTAATTCGCTTTTACACAATTGTGAATTTAAGTCCTATGTATTAATATAATTGGGGGATCACGTGGCTAAGTGGGTAAGACGCTGGCTCGCTAGCCTGGAGGTGGGGTATTCGATCCCTGCATTGGCCGAGAAAGTTCATCCAGATTTTCCGGCGTGGTTTCCCCTTGTCAGTGATACAGGACGGAGGGCCTGACAAGGACAGCTGTCTAGTCGTTCGGATGGGACGAAAAACCGAGGTCCCGTGTACACATTGGCGTGCACGTAAAAGATCCCTTGGCAGTTGGAATTCGATATAAGAGTAGGCCGTAGCGCCGCTGCCCGGGAAAAATTCCCCTCATAGCACACTGTATGGCGTATGCCCGTCTTCATTAGCCCAGGTTAGGAGCAGAACAGTAGGACGTTAAACTCCATTTCATTTCAGTTATTAATATAATTCATACTACTTTCGTCTACAGTAGGGCGGGTAGATGTTAAATCCCATTTATTGCTTTTGTTGATTTATTATATTGTTTAATCCTTTATGCATTGTTCATCTATCGACATGTCAGTTTTAATTACAACATTTACATGTACTTTGATCCTTTAATCTGATGATCCTTAAATATAACAAAATTGGTCAATTAATGGCAGTCACGATATATGTATATTTATGTTCCGGTATATTAAGGAATTGAAGAATCATTCTGTTATATCGGAGAGAGAATTTATACCTCTGAAACACGGATGAATTAAAAATGGATCTTTACCTTTAACTATCCAGAGAATTCCTATTATTATAACCATAAATAATGCTGCCAATTTGCTGGCAGTTATAATGGCTTGAACTTTGGTCGCCCATTTTACATTAAAAACGTTGATAGCTGTAAGACATGCTGAAATAAAAGACCGATAGTGCAAGTAATTAGATATCAATTTAAAAAATTACAATAAACCTTAAGGCAAATGTGTTTCGTTATCTGGGGTGTCAAGGTGTCCCTCTTGTAAGTGATGAAGGACACAGGGCCTGACAAGGACAACAAGGACGAAACAGTCAGTTACGGCGACTTCTTGGCGTGCCTTGCACGGCACTGTGGGTAAACCACTAGAAACACCATCACTGATTGATTAATGAATGTGATAGACTAGATGGGTAGGGTTTTAAGACAATTCGAAACCCCTATCTAGAAGATTGTATTGATGATTTAAACATACTGAAAGTCAAGTTCGCTTTGAAAAAAAACATTCTTAAATATGAAAGAAATATCCCTTTTTGATACCTTTCAATGCGTACGGAGAAACCATTCCAACACTACAATCAACCGAACACCTACCTTTATTAATTACTTTCAAGGTAGGGTTGGAATTAGCTTTATTTGCTGTTAGAAAAATGTGGACAGATTCTGAAATGACTCTTATAACAATTTTAAATGATCTAATGCTATGTTTCTTTTATATATATTTATATTATTCACATAACTTACATCTACGTGACAAGGAGTAGGGTCGCCTGTCTAACCTCGTGGGTTTTCTCCAGGTCCTCCGGTTTCCTCCCACTGCTAAAGACCCCTACGCGCAAGCGAATTATTGAATTTTAATTAAACCATATGTTAGGCCCGAAATGACCTAGTTTGTGTCGAGTGGACGTTAAACCCCATCTCTCTCTCCCTCTCTTCTCTCTCTCCGTATAACTATTGAAAGAGTCCGTCTGTTAGTGCTGAAAATCATGAAAACCACTTACCATAGACACAAACACCAATTAGACGTATAGCTATTTTAGGTGGTTCACAGTCTGGATACACTGGACGGAGTATATAGGTCGCAAATATGAGGGTGGAAGCGGCCGTTCCCACAGGTTGTATAATCATCAGATTAATCCACAAACATATAAAAGATAGAAAATCACCAAAAGCTCTTTTAATGTACATATACTCCCCACCAGATTCTGGTATACAGGCACCTAGTTCCGCAAAACATACAGCACATAAAGTTGAAAAAATCCCACAAACTGTCCATAACAACAAAGACATTCCAACCGATTGCACATTTTGCAGGATGCCAACGGGAGACACAAAAATCCCAGATCCAATGATGATTCCAACTATTATTGACACACAGTGAAACAGTGTGATTTGTTTCCGAAGCTGGACTCGAGGTGCACCTCCAGACAGATCAGCTTTATCCACAATCACCATGATGGGGATACATATGGCGACCTTAAGTTAATTCAGATACATGTACATGCTTCAAATACACGTTGTTTCACGACCTACGGTTTATGATACTGTTCACAGTGGTGTGCATGTCTGGTATCAGTTAACAATACTGAAATGTATGACCGATAGTTGATAGGTTGTGGCCCACTTACCACTGTGATAAGCCGAGTAGAACTCCGTTTCTAATCAGCTACAAGGCCCTTGTGTGTAAACAGATTATATTCGATTGGACCTACATGTATCTCCTTTCCATAGTGCACAATATAAACGCGTGTACCATCTGTGTCTGTACATGGTTTGCGTTTAAAGATCGGTTCAAGTGATCGTAAACAGATCATCTATTGGGCCCTAATAAGTTATTTATATCTGAAATTGGGGCGTTGGATGACCGAATGGTTAACACGTGCGCGCTGTATCATAAGATCTGTCAATGAATCAACTGGCGGGGTTTCGATTCCCAGGTTGTACGCGACAAGGAGTAAGGTCGCCTGTCCGACCTCGTGGGTTTTCTCCGGGTCCTTTGATTTCCTCCCACTGCTAAAGACCCCTACGCGCAAGCGAATTCTTGAAATAAAATTTAACCATGTGTTAGTCCCGAAATAACCTCGTTTGTGTCAAGTTGACGTTAAACCCCATTTCTCTCCCTCCTCTGGGGGGTTGGATGGCTGAATGGTTAGCGTGCGCGCGCTGTATCATAAAGTCTGTCATTGAGTCGACTGGCGTGGTTTCGAATCCCCGGTTGTACTTGACAAGGAGTAGGGTCGCCTGTCCAACCTCGTGGGTTTTCTCCGGGTTCTCCGGTTTCCTCCCACTGCTAAAGACCACTACGCGCAAGCGAATTATGTAAATAAAATAATACCGTATGTTAGTCCCGAAATAACCTAGTTTGTGTCGAGTGGACGTTAAACCCTATTTCTCTCTCTCTCTCTCTCCTCTTTCTCCCCCCCCCCCTCTCTCTTATATCTGAAATTAACATTGCCCTATAAAATTCTTTATCTTATCTCACCCACCATAATCATTAATAAGTATGCGAGAACATGGATAATGTATCGCAGCTGGAGAAAAGCGTATGTCACCCGTTCATTCATAAGGACGCCCCCCCCCCCACCGCGGTGTAGGTGACAAGGAGTAGGGTTGCCTGTCCAACTTTTTGAGATTTCTCCGGGTCCTCTGGCTTCCTCCCACTGCTAAAAGCGAATTATTGAAATAGAATTGAACCATATGTTATTCCCGAAATGTTCGGGTTAAGGTAAGTATTTGGGGCTAGGTCCAGGGGTTAGGACTGGGATTAGCGCGTGACCATTGACCAAACATCAAGTTGGCCTTATCAAATAGACCTAATCGAGTTTCACCCGTCACGGTGGCTAGGTGGTTAAGACGCTGGCTCGCTAGTCTGGAGGTCGCGTATTGGATCCCTGCATTGGCCGAGAAAGTTCATCGGAATTTTCCTGTGTGATTTCCCCTTGTCAGTGGTGCAGGACGGACGGCCTGACAAGGTCAGCTGTCTAGTTGTTAGGATGAGACGCAAAACGGAGGTCCCTTGTATACATTGGCGTGCACGTAAAAGATCCCTTGACAGTTGGAATTCGATATAAGAGTAGGTCATAGTGCAGCTTCCCGGACAAAAATTCCTCTAAAAGGTCTTAATTAGCCCAGTCGGAGCAGAACATTAGGGCCTTAAACCCCATTTCATTTCATTTCAATACGAATTACTATCCTCAGGGCGTCGCTAGAGAGTGCCAAAGTGCAAAATAAAAAGATGTCCTCCAAAGCATATGTTTACTAAATCAAGCAATATCAGATGAAATGCAATAGGCTGTGATTTGTTAACATAAAACCATTAGGGTGGTCCTTAAATTGCAGAATAGGGTCTACCCTCGATTTATGTTGGAATTGATGAGAAAAAAAAATAAAGAAAAAAAATTTAAAAAAATTTAGAGGGTGCTATATACCGTCTATCAAAATTTTTCCAGGAAATTGTATCTTTTTCCTAGACTCTTTCTTCTAGCCCTTCTTTTGTGGCTTCCGGTGCACCCCAGAGGGTCCGTACTCTGACTGATCTTGTTTAGCTTATACACTAAACCACCATGGTCTCATAGTAAGACAACATGAATTATTATTTCATCTACACGCGGATTGCAGATGATACACAATTGTACATTTTGTTCAAACCTATTAAAAGTGTCTTTCAAAGCTGAATATTGAAACTTGTATTGCAGACATAAAAATTTGGATGAAAAAAAGTTTTTTTTAAACTTAATGCAGATAAGACAGAGTATTTGGTTATTGGGTCTTCTTTAAACAGGAAAAAGTTAAACTTAAACTTTGGTCTAATGAGGGAGCCACGGTGGCTAAGAACAAGTATTCTAACTGTGTAGGAGCCACGGTGGCTAAGTGGGTAAGACGCTGGCTCGCTAGTCTGGGTGTCGGGTGTTCGATCCCTGCATTGGCAGAGAAAGTTCATCAGGATTTTCCGACGTGGTTTCCCCTTGTCAGTGGTGCAGGATGGAGGGCCTGACAAGGACAAGCCCGTAATAAGGCTGAACATCTGTGGCGGAAAACAAATCTACATGTCCATAAACAGATTTATAAATCTTTAAAAAACAATGTGAATAAATTAATTGATGATGCTAAAATTAAATTTTACTCTGATAAAATAGAAAATGGCGAAAACAGACAAAAAGACCTGTATAAAGTTGTGAATTCCCTTTTGGACCATAATGCTGAGCGTACTATCCTCCCGGACAATGATAATGACACTGAACTTGCAAATTTATTCTCTGATTTCTTTCAAATAAAAATACAGAAAATACGAACTGAACTTGATGATTTAAATAAAACTATTGACTTTAACGCTCATGATTTTGATAAGTTAGAAAATTCTGTTTATTTAGAAAATTTTAACTTGGTTAGTGAATCTTTTATTTTAAAGCTAATTAAATCGTCTGCTCCTAAATCTTGTTCATTAGATCCTGTTCCGACTTCTGTTCTTAAGGACTGTCTAGACGAAGTTATTCCAGTTTTTACCAATATTATTAATTCTTGTATATCATCCGCTACTATTCCCAACGTTTTCAAACGAGTTTATGTTATCCCTTTAATTAAAAAGTCTACACTGGATCCTAATGTTTTTAAAAATGACAGGCCAGTCTCTAACTTAAGTTTTATTTCTAAAATATTGGAGAAATGTATTGCTTCTCAGATAAAGGCCCATCTAGATGATAACTGTTTGTATGAACCATTTCAAAGTGCTTATAAACAATTTCACAGTACCGAAACAGCTTTAACCCGGGTTTCAAATGATATTTTAATGGAAATTGATAATAGAAAATGTACATTTTTAATTTTATTAGATTTATCTGCTGCTTTCGACACGGTGGACCCCTCCATTCTTCTACGTAGACTTCAATTTAAATTCGGTGTTTGTGGCTCTGCATTAAATCTTTTAGAGAGCTATCTTGTGGATAGAAAACAGTGTATTTTAGTTAATTGCAAATCGTCGTCTGAATCTGTTTTGTCATCTGGGGTTCCCCAAGGTTCTGTTCTTGGGCCGATTTTATTTACCCTCTATACGTCACCATTAGGAGATATTGTCAGAAAATATGGTCTCAGCTTTCATTTGTATGCCGATGATACTCAATTATATATTTCATTTACACCTAATTGTCCATCTTCTTTCAATTTATCAAAATTGCAACTTGAGAACTGTATTAGTGAAATTAGAAAATGGATGTCAAAGAACTTTCTAAAATTGAATGATGATAAAACCGAATATTTGTTATTAGGCTCAAGGCATCAATTAAGTAAATCTGCACAAGATAACCCCCCTGTTGTAATTGGTAATTGTGATATATTTTCATCTTATTCTGCTCGTAATATTGGCGCAATCTTTGATAGTTTTATGCTTATGGGAGCTCAAGTAAATAATATTTGTAAATTGTGCTATTTTAATATTAGAAATATAGGTAAAATACGTAAATGTGTAACTGTAGAGGCCACTAAGTCACTTGTTAATTCTCTGGTCACTTCTCGATTAGATAACTTTAATTCACTTTTAGTTGGTTTACCTTTAAAGCTTATAGATAAATTACAAAAAGTACAGAATACTGCGGCTAGACTTGTTACTTTAACTAAGAAATGTGACCACATAACTCCTGTTTTATATAATTTACACTGGTTACCTGTTAAATATCGAATTGATTTTAAGATTTTATTACTTACTTTTAAATGTTTAAATAATTTAGCTCCTGTTTACCTCTCAGATCTTTTAGAACTTTATACACCTGGCCGAACATTACGTACATCAGATAAACTACTTTTAAAGCCCAAAACTGTTCAACTAGTCTCCTATGGTCAGCGCTCTTAGTTATCAAGCACCTGTTTTATGGAATAATCTACCATTTAGTTTAAGATGTTGTACATCTCTATATTCTTTTAAAAAACAACTTAAAACACATTTATTTAATTAGGCTTTTAACTGACTCTGTATACAATCGTTAACATGCCCATAATCTTGTTATTTATGTGTGATTTACATTGTCACTTTGTAAAGTGCCTCTGAACATGTTATATGAAAGGGTGCACTATAAATATGCTATAATAATAATAATAATAATAATAATAATTCCTTCGGAGGATACGAAAAACCGAGGTCCCGTGTATACATTGGAATGCACGTAAAAGATCCCTTGGCAGTTGGAATTCGATATAAGAGTAGGCGATAGTTCCGCTGCCCGGGCAAAATTTCCCTCATAGCACGCTGTATAGCGTATGCCCGTCTTCATTAGCCCAGCATAGGAGCAGAACAGTAGGACGTTAAACCCCATTTCATTTCATTTGATCTATTGATACAAAAGTTAAACTTTGATTTATCGATACAAGCAGTCAACCTGAAATATTGTTGTAATTTTTAATTCAAATTTTTCTTTGAAATCACATAAACAATATATCTTTTAAATAAGTTATTTTACTTTAAGAAA